ATTGGGCTCGTCACATGGTAGGCCTTCATGGCTGCAAGTGTCAACGATTCAACTTGTTCTTTCGCACGAGACCCACTTTCCTGGTGCCTTGCCTCGAAGTCTGATCTGCGCGATAACGCGTCAGCCAAGACATTCAACTTACCCGTCTTATATTTAACTTTGAAATTAAATTCAGAGAAGAATGTTAGCCATCTCGCCATTCTAGGCGAGAGGTGCGGTGAATTTATAGTGGTCCGCATTGATGCGTGATCCGTATAAACCACAAAAGGTTCGGTGCCCAAGAGGTGCACCCGAAACTTTACAAGGGCATACTTAATTGAAAGTAGCTCCTTGTCATGCACAGGGTGATTCAGTTCTGCGGCTTTCAAAAGGCGGGACTGATACGAAATGACACGGTCAATGCCGCTGTCATCCTTCTGCATGAGCGCGCTGTCGATTGCAAATTTGCTTGCATCGCAGACGACGCTAAAGGGATTATTCGCGTCGGGCAATGCCAAGACCGGTGCTTCTACAAGAGATTGCTTCACTGATGTGAACACATCTACTTGCTCCTTTGATCAATTCCATTCTACATCCTTTCACAAAAGGTCAGACAATGGCTTAGTCTGCTCCTCATATTTCTTGCTGTACTTATGCAAGTAATTATCAAGCGAAAACGTAGCGCAGATTCTTCACTTATCGTGGGACTGGCCATTCCTTGATAGCCTTTGCCTTTTCTGGGTCTGCTCATACACCATGTGCACCTACGATGCAGCCCAGTACAGGTATCTCGGGGACCCCTATTACGCACTTTTGCAAGTTCACGTATAATAGAGCGTCACCCAGAGTCTGCAACACAGCGTCTAAAAAACGCTTGTGCGACTATATCGCGCTCAGACCGTACTCCGCCCTACTATGCACGAATACATAGTCAAAGTAATGGGGCGCGTAGGCACGGTGCTGACGCATCACGTGAGCCACCACTCAGTTGAATGTTGCCGGAGCATTTTTCAACCCTTGTGGCATCACAAGCCACTCCCACAGCATACCGCTTGGGGTGCTTACTGCCGTTTTGGCTACATCGGTATCTCTCATGAGAACCTGATAGTAGCCATCCTTCAGATCCAACGCGGAAAAGATAGTTGACTTTCTTATGGAGTTCAACAAGACATCTTTCCAACGGGATCCGCTTCTGCGCCGGAATGGTGGCCGTGTTCAGCTTATTATAAGCATGAACCACGCGCCATCCATCTGTTGCTTTACTCACACAGAAGGTCGGGCTGCAGGGAGACGACTTGCTCTCACGTACATGTCCCGCCTTAGCTCGCTTGCCGAAGAACTCATCGATGTAATCGACTTGTTCCTTCGGCAACGGCCATTGTCTGGTCACACAATACTTGGTGTCAGGCTCCAGGTCAGTATCGTGCCTGATGCCCCTTTAGGGAAAGGTCGGAAGGCGGCTCGGCATTTCTGCTGAGAACACATCGCGGTGTTTCCACAGAACATCATAGAACGGGCTGTCCTTTAGGAGTCCCAGACTTGAGCAGCGAACCGTTTTTTTTTCTTTTCGGTCTCCAAGACTCTCTCATCCATTGTAGACGACGATCAACAGTCCACCACGTTCTCTTATGGAATTGGTGCGACTATTTCGTGAATCTGTCCTTCCTTTAGTTCAGGCAGGAAGAGATTCCATGTAATTCCCCGAAAAAATTAAGTATCTCCTCGGCAGATGCCAAGGCAAGTTGGAGCACCTCAACAGAGGATGCCTCCGGCATTTTGTCTTCGACGGCCTCGAGCAACTCGTTCGTAGGTCCGTCCTCTTGGACCGAGACTGATCCAAAGGTCACTCGTTTCGACGTGCCCTTGATCGTCTTAATACATCTGGTGCTCGTTGTTCGAGTCACCACGACCTTTGACCTGGAAGAAGGTGTCGTTACTATCTCAGCTAACGCACGCCTTCCAACCGCACCAGGCTCTTGGCTCTGTGCCGGTTCTTGTGACGCTTGACTTCCTGTCAGCCCACCATCAACTGCCACAGGCTCTCGGCTCTGTGCAGGACTACCGGACGCATGACTATCTATCATCGCCCCATTCACTACACCAGTATTTTCGACCTGGGTAGGAATATGTGTCACCTGGATTTATGCTAGGGCACTTCCAGCTACACCACTCTTTTTGAGCTGGGTAGTACCTGGTGTCGATTGACATACCGTCATCGCACCCTCGACTGTGTTGGACACAGCATCAGTCACATAAGCCTCTCGCAAGAGCACATCCTTTCCGGTGTCTTGCGTAGAGCTAGCGACTGTGGGTGTACTCCAGTCTATCCATGGTTGGTGTTTAGCCAGCCAAGGCATGCCTAGGATGAGGTCATACGGACTCTCCATACGTAGCACTATGAACTTCTCTTTACAAGAGAAGTCACTAAAACTGAAGGCGAGTTCAACTTGAACTCTCTCCGATTTGACGAGCGCGCCGTTCGCTAAACGAACGATCGCCTCTTCTCGCTTGCCATCCTGGCAAAGCGACTCATAACTCGCCGGTCTCTTTTTTAGAGCCGCGAGTTTCACAAAGTTTTGTGATGCACCCGAATCCACGAGAAGGGTCATCACTTGGTCATAGCCTTGTACTCAAGCGCTATAGACAAAACGAGTTGAGGTCCGACCTTTCGGAACCTCAGGGACTATGCTACCCATTTGTTCGATTACTCTGAACTTAGGGGTAGCTTCAGAGTCCGCGACAGTAGGGAATCCCGCCCCTACTGCGTTCCCGCATTTCCCGACCCATCTTGGGCAGGTGCTGAACCCGTGCGTCGTGCACGCTGGTTTTTCGCACCTCCCTTCGGGTTGGGAGACCTTTTGCTGGCTGCCTTAGCACCAGCAGCTACTTTGGCATAGCAGCGAGACATCATATGGCCTCGCTTGCCGCACTTGTAGCAGATCACATCTGCATTGCCTAACTCCATAGGAGTGGCATCAGACCTTTCGGTCGACGGCCTGTAATATGCTGTCGCCGAGGCGCTGTTGTAGGATTGCTCCTCAACTAAGGCAATGTCAATTTCCTCTTCCATCGTCGCTGGCACCTTTCTGAAAAGGGCCTGACGCGATGTGCCATGCCTAAGTCCATTCATGAACGTGGCCACCTTGATACGCTCTGGTATCGGTTCCCCATTAATGGACGCCGACAGCGAACGCATCTCTTGCACAAATTCTTGCAGAGATCGTTTCGCATGTCGTGCTCCAAAGAAGCACGCCATAAGCAACAGGCGGCTGATACATGGCGCGAATCTTTGCCTTAAAGATCGCCTATGATGGAAATGCATCAGCATTAGCCATCAGCGCAGAGTATGCTCACTCTGACGCTTTGCCACGCAAGTTGGACATACCATTCTGGTGTCGTCTTCGATGAGCTGCGCCACTTCACATTGCTCCACTGCTAATAGCCAGTGAACAATCGTGTGAGGGCTAGTCCCATCGAGCTTCGAAGGGTCCATCCGAATGGGCCTCGGTTGAGAAGCCGGGCAGAGAGCGTCTCAACAGTTCTGTTGAGCGCCTCATTACGTGCCTGCTCAAGCCTAAGCTCATCCTGAGTCTTAGTGATGGACTCAGCGGTGGCTAGGCTGTTTACCTCAGACGCGTTTCTACGTTTTCCGAGCACAAACGCCTCAAATTGCTCCAACTGAGCAACATGTTGCTCAGGAGGACAATGCAAGAGGTTGCCCAGGGCATGTTCACCAAGTTTCTGCGCCATATGCTCTGCCAACTCCCTATGATGTTGGGAGAGGTGAGGGAAGTCACTCCAGTCCATATTCAGGACCATCTCAACCACACGCACGCTCAGAGAGACGGGTCGTGGGAAGGACTACTAGTGCTACCAAGTGTAGACGGGCACTTCTACGTAGTTGCCTCGTGCTACTAGCACACACCTTATGCACAAGCGCGGAAGCGGTTAGACCGTCTTACCTTCGCGTGCGAGGGTAGTTAAGAGGTTGGTCGTCTCTAACCACCAGTTGCCTCTCGCTTAAGCGAGAGTGCAACGAACCGACGTCACGCCTAATCCCAGCTGGGCGTCATCCCCATCAATGTGAATACACCTAGTGTATATCACAAACGCAAGGGTGTGACACATGGTGTGTCTCACCCGAGCGACAGGTCTTAAGTACTTACGTACTTTTTAAGACCTGCCCGTTAAGTATCGCATACTTAACGGGTACGTGTAACGTCGAGCCCGTTACAAGTACAATTAATTAGTAACATGTAGCGGAGGAGGTAAGCAAGAACGCGGTCGTGAAAATGCTATCTGGTAGTTGTGCTGTGCCGACAGTTTAGCCTGATGCATAGCTAGCACTGACTGCGCTGCCTGTGACGCTAACTTTATAAACTTGTGTTTTACTGGCTGGCTACTAGCTCGAACCCAACAGCCACGACTGCTACCAATAAGTACCCAATACTTGTAGCCACACACACGTCAAGATCCTGATAAATAGTTCCCGCAGTCGTCCAATTTATTATATGATGGCTTCCGGGCAGAGTCGAGTGTGCGTAGTCCGTTATGAAATACATGACCTATTTGTGAAACCAAAGTACCACTTTTATATCGAGGAATCCGCTGCTACAGTACCTTCACCATGAGAAGATGCAAAACGACCAATCTTGATCCTTACAAGACAGGGAAATGTTTTGCCATATGTTAAGATCGTTATTTTATCTTCACCACATTACGCACAATTACTCACCACACGAAAGAAATAAGATGCACCACCACTTCCTAAATATGCGTAAAGAGGTGCGAAGACAGAGACTGCAACAGGTCTTTATATAAAATGAATACTATATGCTAGTGTTAGCTAATCGATACTATTTTGGATACTCATTTCTTCGAAAAGGGTGGTGTTAAAAAACACCAGGAGTAGGGGAAACCTTACGGGAATTGCGTCGCTGCGTCAGGTCAATAGAGCACGCCATTCCAAAGTACAATTGTGAAGCCAGCAGACAATACTCAGGCGAAAAGCAATAATGCGCTTATCCACCGAAGCCGTATAAGGTGCGACCCTGACGCTTGAGGGCGTACACGACGTCCATGGCAGTCACCGTTTTGCGTCGAGCGTGCTCCGTATACGTCACCGAGTCACGAATAACATTTTCGAGAAAAACCTTGAGCACACCACGAGTCTCCTCATAAATGAGGCCGGAAATACGCTTTACACCACCACGACGTGCGAGACGACGGATGGCAGGCTTAGTAATGCCCTGGATATTGTCGCGAAGAACTTTGCGATGACGCTTGGCACCGCCCTTGCCGAGTCCCTTACCGCCTTTGCCACGTCCAGACATGTTGTTTCAATTAGTTGGTTGAGTTGTTTGCCTTTAGCTTGGAAGATTGCCGAATGAGCTACTTGAGGTGATTGGTTGCTCTGCTGTTTCCCGCCATTTTGATAGCGTCCGACCGCTCCGTCGTGTCCTCGCGTTCAGCTCTCTCATTGGACAACGTTTCGGGACCTTTACATCTTTTCACTGATTGGCGGACCAGTGAAATACGACGCTATCACTGGTCCAATATCCTATGCGTCTGTCTATGATTGGCTGGAGCTCCTCATTTGTAGCGACGTCTATAGTTGACTGCCTCTACCTCGAAAACCCATTCCCCAATTTGCTTCGCTTTAAACACATAGTCAAAATGGCTCGTACCAAACAAACCGCTCGTAAATCTACCGGAGGCAAGGCCCCGCGCAAGCAACTCGCCACTAAAGCCGCTCGCAAGTCTGCTCCCGCCACCGGTGGAGTGAAGAAGCCTCACCGTTATCGTCCTGGTACGGTCGCTCTGCGTGAGATCCGTCGCTACCAGAAGTCGACGGAGTTGTTGATCCGCAAGCTGCCTTTCCAGCGTTTAGTGCGTGAAATTGCCCAGGACTTCAAGACAGATCTACGCTTCCAGGGATCTGCCGTGCTTGCTTTGCAAGAGGCTGCCGAGGCTTACCTTGTGGGATTGTTCGAAGACACCAACTTGTGCGCCATCCACGCCAAACGTGTAACTATCATGCCTAAGGACATTCAGCTAGCTCGTCGCATTCGTGGTGAACGCTCGTAGGTTGTCGCCTCTGTTTGGTGATAACGCTGATATCTTTCGGAGGGCGTCTGTCCCTAGCAAGTAAGCTCTTTTTTTGGAGCTGACAACCTTTTCATCCTGGTGTTTTTTAACACCACCCTTACGCAAAAGTATGTTAGCGAGTTGGTATTGTTGTCTGGGTTTTTTTCGAGTGTTAATCATAATTCGGCAGATTCTAGTGCACTGTAGTGTAGTAGTTTTCTTGAATAGACAAAATGTTGGATTATTTTAAATTGGCAGGGTATGCAGCTCTTAAAATTGGACGATTTCGTTCTTGGTTCACGAGGATATGGAGACCGGATACACGTCAAAAGCGTTATCGCACAACGATATTACCCGATAATACTACTCTGCCAGAGCGAAGATACAGATGAGTGACCGAACTTTGGCAGGTTGCTGACCGTTCGTTGTCGTCATGAACATTACAGCTGCATCAAAAAAGCAGCTCCAATAATTCGACCCCGTGGGTTTTTTCCCACCTGAAGCCTGCTCGCTTGAAATTGTGCTGACGAAGACACATACATTAGTGCTACTGTAGATGGATATGTGTAAGCTTTACCAACATGTGGCGTCTTGTATAAAGCTATTGTTACAAACTTTAGGTTCATGCGGGTGTTCAAGCGCCTTCAAATGCGGTGCAGTCTAGTTAAAGAACCTGGATTCTTTCTTGCCAGTTTGAACCTCACGCGAATGTACAGTCCTGCCTGACATTAACGAGCACTATTACCATAATATACCTTTGTCGGCTCTGATAAAGAATTCTTACTTAACTATCAACAGACAGACATACCGGTAGAAACGTCGCTTACCGGCAAGTTACTTCAGAATACCGATACGTAGATGTGGCCATTTTTAGCGTCCACCAGAACACAAGTGCAACATGCAGCCACCGCACGTGCAGACAGCGGAGGCGGCACTGCAGGAAAGCCAGTCCACTACCTTTTCGATTGGAGACGTAAATGATCATACTCTGCGTGTGCCATATGGCTCTTTACGTAGTCCATCAAGAAGCCTTCGTGTAAACAAGTGGGACGCGCTGATCCTCGACTCGGAAATCCTGGGACTACTCAAGACACCTATGAAGAGCATGTTCAGCATGTTTGAGCCGGGAGCTGTGGAAAGATTTAAGCCAGAGATCGATGCGGCACTTGGGACTCTGCTATTTGCATTCAGTGTGGGCCGAGGGAGGGTATGAGGTGCTTGATTAAAGTGCTGCTTGTAGAAGTTGACATTACTGATGCTCTGCATTGGTTGTTGGAATTATCAATGCAGCCAACGCCTGGCATGAAACTAGAGAACGTCCAATACGCGCCACATGTGCTGACCAAACGACGTATAGGTGCCTTATTCCTGCTGTCTGTAGGGGTGCCATTCATCTGGAAGCGTTTGTTTCGCTACTGGTCATCTGGTCAATGGACTGTTAGAGAAGCTTTCTCCGGTGGCGATACGTCTGACAACGACGAAACGGCTCGAGCACGAATGCTGCTAGTGATGAAGAGGCTGGAGACTCTTGTTGTCACATGCCAGTTCGTGAACTTGCTCGTCTTCTTGCGCAAGGGGTCGTACCGCTCGCTACCCGAGAGGTGTTTGGGGATGAAGCTGGTAACAACACACAGTGTGTTTTTGACCTCTACGTCTGAAATCTACTAACGAGATGATTATATTTGTGCGTGCCTTACAGGAGAGCATCACCACGTCGACAGCCACGCGGTCGATAAATTTTGAATACATGACTCGTCAACTGTTATGGGACGGATTGCTGGTGCGTCATTGCCAAGTTTTTCTGCCGAGTTATACATTACGCTCAGATTACTTGCTTTTCTATGGCTTACAGGAGTTCGGCAATTTCATCCTGCCTTTTATGACGTGGAGAAGCCGTCGCACGAGTACAGCACTGCGGGGAAACTTTCCTACTGCAGGCACTCGCTCGTCGCAGTGCTGCCTGTGTGGCATTTCTCCGCCACAGACACCTTACATCACGTCGTGCAAGCACGTGTACTGTTATTACTGTCTGCAGACTGCTGTCGCCATGGAAGACGATTACCCGTGCGTTCTGCTGTGAATGCTGTTCATGGGATTATGCTCGAGCACTGTGTATACGAACGTGCGTGTACTGACGTTTTTGAATGAATGTCTATGTGCAGATGTGTAGCTTGCGGGATCAAGTTCGATTCGTCCCAGCGACTACGGACGTAAAATAATTTAGTGTTCATACAACAAGCCCATTAAGTACACTATTAAGCTTAGCGTCCACTTCCGTCCAGACAATGTTGCGCAGATAGATTAAGTTGCGAACCAAAATCAATGTTGCTGTAGCATTGCGACACCAATGAATGAAAACGACATATCCACGTTAGCCCAGTTGCTTTTCAATTTTGCCAAGATGTCACTAAGAAGCTCTCGACTATGCCGCTTCCTGTTGCTGACCGCAGCTACAGTCTTACTACTTGCATTGCCAGTCTGTATCACATCCGCAAAAGAGAGAGAAAAGGTCTCAGGAATTCTTACTGCGTCAGCGCCGGATGCCAGTAAAGTGACAGTGCCCGAGTTTGTTGCCACAGATAAATGGCAGGAGCTGCTGCCTGGACAAGGTGTGCCACGGGTAAGTCTTTCGGCTTCATTATTTCTCAGCAAATATTGCTTTAACGGCTATTGTATTGATACTTACAGGGTCTTCACGTGCGATTGAACCTCGAGACAGGAAAGCGCGAGGCAAAATTGGTGAATCCTAAGGAGCAAGATACCCAAGAATCCATGCGATCGTTGATCGTTGATCCTAACGCGAAGGACACTACGGTAACAGTGTTCACTGATATCTCAGGAGATATCGTGTCTGACGACGAGACTCTCACTGTCATCGAGGAGGAAGGCACTATCGACGCTACTGTAAATGAAGAAGAAGCTGAAACTAAAGTAGTCGAACCGAATTGGAACCACGAGAAAATATATGACGTGTTGCAGGCATTGCCTGAGCCGCCTAAGGTCGAAGGCATGGATATCCATGACGCGCACGAAAAGCTGTCCCCTGCAGAGTTCCGCCGGCAGATCGTTACTCTCTGGAAGAAACGTCAAGCTGAGCTAAAAGAGGCCCTCGATTCGCTCCAGGATGATGCAAAGTATCTGGGTAAATTGCTAGAGCAGTTCAAAGAGGCTGAGAACAATGGTGATACGGAGGGACAACTAAATGTGCTTGAAGTGTTGGAGTGGGAAGTGCAGGATTTGGACAAGACCCACGTATTTAACTTCATTGGCGGATTTGGCATCATGGCTGAGTACCTGAATTCGACGAATTTGCCCGTCCGAGCGCGCACCGCATGGGTGTTTGGATCTGCAGCTAAGAATTATAAGGACGGTCAGGAGTGGGCGATTGATGCCGGGGTACTGCCAAAACTGCTTAGCTCGTTAACTCTGGAAGTCCGGAATGCCGTCGAATCAGCAAATGAAGTTTTGGAAGTCAAGAAGAAGACTGTTTACGCGTTGTCCTCAATTGTGCGAGCCAATGAGCGTGGACAACGACTCTTTTTGCTTCATAACGGGCCGGAGCTTCTGGCAGGGTTGTTTACTGACGCACACCCTGGTGAGCTTCAGATAAAGGTATGACTTATGTTGCAGCTGGATCGCTTAGAGCAGTAGGTGTAACACTTTGTTATTCGACGCAGGTACTTCTGTTCGTGTATGACCTGCTCGCGGAAGCGGCTGAGCGCGAGTTGCTTACTGGTGAAGAGCCAGCGTCTTCTGCATTGATTGAGCTCGAAGGAGTTTTCAAGTCCGCGGCATGGTGTGAGCGTTTTGCAACGACTTTTGTAAAGATGGTATGTGGTGTTTGCTCGTGGCGCGCTTGTCATGAAACTCGCTTGCTTATATGAAATCTGCCACATTCAGGCTCCTCTTCTTGCTCGTCGGAAAGTTATCGAGCTTGTGGACGCCATGCGTTACCAGCTGCCTACGTGCCAGGATGTGTTTGAGACTTCGGGTGTCAAGTCTGTGGTGGAGAAACTAGCTCAGGGGTATGTCGATGACCAGAAGCTCAATGAAGCGGAGAAAGAGGAGCTGGCGCTGTTTTTTCAAGACTTTCTAGGCCGTGCCTGAATGCATTTTGCTAGCAGAACAGATTGAACCGTTGGTTAAGCTTTATAAGTCTTGCGTAGCTTCTTATAGTTGGCGTGAACTTCAGTCGATACACTAAAATCAAAGTTGACAACGGAGACTCATTATCACAATGCGCCATGCATCACGTAATGCGCCAGAGCCGCTCGGCGTCCTGCGTGGCCACGGCGCCCCCGTCAATAGCGTGAGTTTCCTGTCCGCCTCGACTATCGTGTCAGGTGCTGGTGATGGAGCCGTGAAGATCTGGGACCTGAAATCACGTCGAGAGCTGGCAACCAACGTAGTTGCGCATTCGCATGCCGGCGTGTTGCACGCGGCCGCTTTGCGAGGTGCCGCTGCATCCGAGCAGAAATTCGTCACGCAAGGTCGCGATGGATTTGTCAAGCTGTGGGACGTACAATCTTTTGATGCTGCAACAGATCCACTAGCCACGTTTTATTGTGCGTCGCACTCGTTTACCAAGTTTGCAACGTTGCGCTGGCCAAGCAAAGATTCAGCCAACTCAAACTTAATCATATGCCCCAGCAGCGTGGATAGCAAGGTGCTTGGCTATCATTCTTTGTTTGTTAAAGTCTAACTACAACTAATACGTTTCTTACGCAGCTGCTGGTCTTTGACATTCGGGTCAAAAGCTCTTCCCCAGCACTAACACTCTCTGTGCCAGATGCTGCAACGAAGAGAGGCATGTGTATGTCGCTATCGCTCTTTGACAGCAGCGTTGCAAAAAGCAACGATGACGCCGGTGGCAGTGTGCAGACATACATCAGTGCAGGCTTTGAGGGTGGACAGCTTGTTATCCTGGACTTGCGGTCGGGCGGGAAGATAGCTTGCGAGACCACCGTTACTCAAGGCGCGAACGCACGTACGTACGTATCATCTCAGACTCGCATTCATTTGCTATGTACTAAAACTGGGCGCATGTCTTGTGGACCTAGTGCTTTCGGTCGACATCACAGACGACGGGCGGTCGATCATCTGTGGCTCGTCGGGTCACGAGCTGTACGAAGCAAACTTTGACGCAGCTTCGTACACGCTCCATTCTCGATCTTTCTTCACCTGCACCCACGGTGGTTTCAGCAGTGTTTGTATTCGGGGGGATCAGCGCATCGTAGCTACTGCTGGCTGGGACCATCGCGTGCGTGTCTTTCATTTGCGGAAGCTCAAACCCCTCGCAGTGCTCAAGTATCATAGCGACAGTGTGTTTGCACTGGACTTCAACGGCAATAACTCACTGCTCGCTTCTTGCTCTAAAGACCGCCGGATAGCACTCTGGTCAATCTACCCTCCATCCGCGACCGCTGCTGCTAGTAGCTTGCGGCCATTTTGAAGAGAAAAAAGGATGCAATTGAAACTGGTCACGACGTAAACTCAACAGACTTTTTGAGATTCGCGTTGTAGTACAGGAAGTGATGGTAGCGAAAATAGGTGAGCAACTCAGCAAAACCCACATCGCGTTGCGCGTGACACTCACGTCCACGGTGACCGTACTGCTGGCAAACGCGGCACTTGTGTCCGCCCGTGCAATGATTGCCATTGCCGCACAATCGGCATGGTTTGTTGCGGTTTGGGCAGTCAGCACCACGGTGCGATCCACGTTCGATACAGTAGCGACACCTGTGCTGAGCTGCAACATGTGACTTGTTTTGACAAAACGAGCACGCAGGTTTGTTTGTCTTGTCGTGTGCGCGGGCCTTGTGTGCATGCTCGAAAGCGCGATCGATAGATTTTGTGACAGGAAGAAGCGAGAAATGCCCCGGTGTGCGTCGACCAACACCCATCCCGTGCTCGCGGAGAAAGATCTTGATGCAAGCGTCCGCGTATCCCTCAGCTGTGGGCGGAAAGGCATGCACTGTGTCGGATGGGTGCATAATGATTAACAATTGCTGCGGGTCGAAGAGTACGCGCAGCCGAGCAGCAAAACCAATGTCACCCACACGGGGACAGCCAAAGCCTACGAAATTAATCTTGCTTGCGTCCCAGCCATTCATCCGCGCATGATCGCCCAAATACAACATCATAATCTGACCAAGCATCCCTCCCATGCTGTATCCAGTAACGTGCACAGGTATGCCTTGCTCGACGTACTTCAAAATAGTAACGAGTAGCCCTTCCTTGATCATGTCCTGCATGTAATCGTTTATAGCGCGGTGTACACGGACGATACGAGCCTTGCTCAGTCGCACAGGGTTAGTTTCTTCAGACCCAGTACTGTCCGTGTCGCTGTCTCGATCGCGGCGTCGGGTGTGCGTCTGTGCGTGCACTGGCACTGCTGTCGGCTGATCCAGCACTAACGAGTCAAAGCGCTGTTTTCGTGGTTTGCGCATGAGCTTTTCCAAAATTGAAATACCAGCAGGTTCTGTAAGTCCACGGTCCAATGCCACAGCCATCATGTTTTGTATGCTCTGCCGAATGCGCGTCTTCTCGCCGTCCGACCAGGCATTTCCAATTTTACTCCATATGTACTTCAATAGCTGTGAGGCAGGTTCATAGTCGCCTGAGACCGATGAGGTTACAAGGTTGATAGCCGACGAAAACGATATGCCCTTCATTGCCGTCTTAAACTCCTGCAGCTCGTCATCAGCCCACCCCGACCAGAAGTCTCCCCAAACATCACGGATTGTTTCCGGGTTACCTGCGGGGCTAAAGGCCACCACCACGTCGTGTGTTGACTCGCCACAGGGATGTTGTACCTCTCCTTCCCAGACGTGGGCTCGAGCACAACGACTTTGGTTCTGGATAATGTGTTTCAACTCGTAGACAGGGGCGATAGCATCTGGCGCTCGGCGATCAGCACGGATCTTGACACCTAGCCCAAACTGTACATTCTTGTTTCCGTCGGCATCCTCGTTCACGACGTCGTTCTCCTTGAGCATTGAAAATTTTGCTGAAAGCAACAGTAACTGCTTGCCACGAGACAAAATCTCACGTTTTCGGCGGAAGCTGCGGTGCATGTCTACAATAGCAGATGCAAACGCGTCGTTGATGTCTTCGTCGTCGGGACAAGTCACAATGGCTTCCTCCTGCTCTGTGATCAGTAAAATTTCGCGCGAATGGTGATATCCTGCAATCACGTCGACACCCCACTTCTCCAAATCACCATGTGCAGCCTCAATTGCCTCGCCACTTGCAAGCTGGTGTTTGCAAGTAACCAGGAAAGCCTTGGGGCACCAGTCCTTGCGAATATTTCGAATTATGTTAGGGACTCGCACAAAGTTGACGGAGAACTCCTCACTTTTCTTCTTGGCAACATTCTTGGCAAACTTTTTTATATGCTTGATTTTGCTGTGTTTGGACGAAGAGGATGACACCGATGACGACGCCGATGTACCATCTGTATCATCCAAGGATTCGGTTGCTGTGGCAGAAGGGTCCATAGGAACGTAGAAGTCCATAAGAGTGGCAGCCAACACAACGATACCACGATCTTTGACAACTTCCATGGCTTTCGCTGCAAGCCGCGTCAGCATTAAGTATTGTTGCACGGAAGTGAAGCTCAGATGAAGCACACGAGTGCTGCACTCAGTGTAGAGCTTCACAATTTTTTGGAACTGCAACTGCTGCGGAATATCGACGCCAGAGAGAACTAACCCAATGTCCTCCAAGCGGAACATATCCATGAAGGCGCCGTCCTGTATGTACTTTTGAAAATGGCGCGTAAACGGCCGCAGTGAATCCTCTCGATGCACAAAGATAACAGCGTAGCCCAGCTGTAGCAGATACTCGGCGCAGGCGGGACCTTGTTGCTCCTGTACCTGCGGCGCGGCATCCACGAACGTATCGTTCTCGGGGTCTAGCGGGACGATCGTGGCGCCAGACGTGATGAGTGCGATACCACGACGATCGGCCACCTGCGTGGTAATGAATTGCTCAGTTTCCTTTTGTATGGCGCTTAGCTTCCAGTGTGGATCCACAGGCGTCTTGTCAAAGAATTCTTTTACAAACTCGCTCGAATCTGTGGGCACAGAGCCGCTTATACGATGACGCAGTGTGCCCCAGAGTGCCATGTCCTTGTGATGCGGTTGAAGTATTGAAAGTGCTAGTGCTTGTTATCTTTAATGATAGTTTCAGACTGACGATATTGTGACGGACGTTCGCAGTCTTTGACTTTCTTTCATTCGCTGATGTTGGTGGAATTGGAGAAAAGCTCGCCATAAGTACGCGCGTCATCACCGCCTTTTTATATTACAGGTCCCCCTCTAGCGACATAAATTCTATAACCAAACAGAGGTTATATTATTCGGGAATAACTTACGGATGTCAATCGGGCGATTTGTGCCGGACACGCGTTGTAGCGTTCATCCGATGAACTAAGCATATATGCTGTAAAATAACCTTGATAAACAAATCCATGTACAATTTCGCACAGATACAGCCTTTTTTAATTATCCTCGCTATTTCGGCCATGACTACCACATTCTGCTGCACTAAGCCATACGAGTAAAATCTGAGTCTGGTCATCGGCGCAACGAAAGATGATACATAGCGTTTTTAGTTGACACTAAGTGGCATATCTGACATGGTGCATGTAAAAGAAAATGAATCTTCAACATATCCATGTCGATGACCACGTTCGATACACAAACAATCTCAAGCGTAACATAATGTCAAATGGTGCTGAGCACTAACGTGTTCATCCTGAAGAGATGAAGTGTTGCCCGGTAAGAATTCGGCTGACTATGCAGTTCTGTTTGGTGAGATTGTAAGATAAAATTCCAATCGCTGCACCTTGATAAGCTGCCGTCTGCAGCAGAGAACGAGTCGTGCACCGTCTGTCGTGCAAGCGTGTCTTGATCTATATAGGCACGCATGGAATAGCTCGTGCCATGATGCAAAGCGAGTAATATCGATGCGAGATCGCACTTTGAGTGTCCACGACAAAGTAATGTCATCTTTGTATGTAGATCGGATAAGCTTTAGTCATATTGGACCCTAATCAGACCTCAGCCAGAAGAAAACGTTTATCAAGTAGAGAGATTCGGATCGACCTGATTGCAGCCGATTCGCTGTGGTACAAAGGAAATTGAAACTGATACAGCATGTCGAAAGAAAATAGCTCGGGCCAGCAGTTTGCTCTATATAGCACTACTGGAGAAGCCGCTTGATTTTTGTTTCACCAACCACGGCAGAAATGTCTAGAGAGCAGGGCTTTGTTCACGACCACGTACGTCAGCTGCAATATCGCATTGACGCTGACCCGACGGATCCCATAGAATATATGGGACGAAACCATTGAGATGCCTGTACGTACTTAACCCAAATTAACGTTACATACGTACAACATTGTTCACGTGGGCCCAAAACCGAAAATGAAGCAGCGGCAAGACGGCATTAAGAAGCCTGTGGAGATTGTAAGTGAGCTATCGCCTCATGGTCTACCAAAGCGTGGTTGGAATGGCGTTACAATTCCATTGAACGCACGTAAGGACTCAATGGTGGCGACACCTCGCTCTGTGACTACAACGCCCACGAGTCGCATGACGTTGCCCAGTCCCACCGAATATCCCAGTCTCTTCGACGTGCAAGGTCCGAGCTCTACACGTTCTGTCGATGGGTTAGCAATGCTCAGCCAAAAACACGAGGTGGAGATTCGTATGCCACAATCGGCGCGTGAGAGCAGCAGGAATGGATCTTGGACCTCGTCAGGAAGGACTGCATTTAAGAGTAAAGAGTGGCTAGAGCGTGAGCTGGACGATGCTCATAGTGAAGAGGATCAAGCTTACCTCTCGGTGTGCCATCATAATTTACATTCGGTGCTGACAAATCCTAAGGCCAATACTTGGGGCAGCACTCTACTGGATGCTTTCTATCCAACGCTGGATGTCGATATCGTGTTGGCACCGTTCCCAGGCCTTGAGGATGTGTCGACACGCGATTTTGAGCCGTATTTGCATAAGTTTGGTACTAATGCAGCCAAATATGAAGAAAACCATGGGAAGCCAGTCAGCGAGCAGCTCTCGTCAAACAACGTGCCGTCGGTCTCCGTTGCAGATGGTAACGTTACTTTGCGGGTCAAAATACGCAGCTGAGCGGACGCTAAAGCAGCGAGTCTGGTATGCTTAGAAGCACTGAATTTTACTAATTACCTCGTTGCTCGATGTTGCAGAGGACGTGACAAAGTGTCTAGAGGCTGTACCGAACATGTTCTTCCGTTCAGCTTTTAATCTCTCAGATTCTAACACTTTTGACGAGGTAATAAATCTACCAAACGCTACGTCCCTTCAAGAAGAGGTAAGTTTGGCTGTTCATTGTTTTTTAAATTTTGAGCTGTAACATCACTAACGTGAGAAAGTAATTTTGAATAATGTGAAGCTGACGACATACTTGGATCGCGTAGAATTTGCACTTCTTCGTCAGGTATCGTCTCGCTCAGATCGATTTTTTGAGGCATCAGCAGACCAGGAAGTCATGAAAAAGTCGATTAAAGTTGCTTGCGATCAAGTAGCAACGCTAAGGTGGGTGGGTGATTGCCCGGACACTTGCGTAATGGTCCGTCTCCTTGTTGTTGTATATCTTGTTAATAGAAGCTTATGAAATGCGAACCTTAGAAATACGATGGGTCGGCTACGAAACCTTCTTGCAGATAAAACTCTTGATATCGTGAGCTTACACCGACGTCAGAAATGTATCAAGGAGCTCCATGATTTAATGACGATGATTGAGGAGGTAAAGAGTGCCGAGTCCGCTGTCGAGGCTTTAGTACAGTGCCAAGACTACACGAACGCTTTAACTTTGATCGAAAGCTCACAGGCAATTTTGAGGGAACATTTGCATGGAATTCATGGACTTAGTTTGCTTGATGAGAAGTTTCGTGGTTACCGAGACTTCATCAGTAGGCAGATATCGCAGCATTTTATCTCGATTATTACGTCTCCCGAGTGGACGTTTCAAGATAAAGAAGAGAACTTCGATAAAAAACGACTGGGAAACATTGACGACGAGAAAGACAATGTGCAACTAAAGGTTACGTGTCTTGTAGATGTGCTATTTCGATTGGATGCACTGGACGATACTGTGAAGATATATCTTGACCAATTGAACGAGGAAATTCGGGTTGTTGTAAAAACAGTTGTTACCGAAACGATTGCAGTATCGTATGGCAGCAATGGTTCGACTGATCTAGGCGTATCTTCTGGTAGTGAATCGAAAGTGTCGATTCAGCTCAGAGCATTGACATCCGATGAATTTCTTCAGTGTGTGCAGATGATCTTTGAGCACATGATAATGGTACTGAAGCGTGCTGTGGTTGTCCAGGGCATTTTGGTGAAATCGATGCAAAAGAAGATTGATGAATTGATAGAAGAGAAAAAACGAGTGAAGGATGAAGCGTATAGTGCTGGTACGCAAGACATGGAGGCTACAGAAGGTATGGCTTCATCGGATGGACGATCACCATCTAAAACTGTTAGTGACAAGCATAAAAAGCCTGGTGAATGGAAGAAGAAGAAGACGCGGTGCGTAAGAGTGATTCGAGAAATTGATGAAGTCGTGCGCAAAATCTGCGAGTTTGCACAGCGCAGTGTATCAAACCTGTTTGCTGTAAGAAAAGAGATCCAGGCTGTATATACTATGCCTCAGTTGCGCAAACTGTACGATACCACCATGGACTTCGTTATCAGTATTGAGAGGCTTACTGGCAAGACAGACTATACTCTCCGTGGAGCTCTATTTTCTCAGTTGAAGCTTTTCCTGGAAAAGTACCACCAGATACAGGTGACGAAATTAGTGTCAACCTTAGATCGTGAGCTGTGGAAAAATACCGAAATCTCCGAGGCACGTCATAAATATCTCGTTGATCTTTCTAGTGGAAAGGGTGTTGCTCTAGTGCTTTCTGACGACCGAAAGATTGCTGACGAAACTGCTCCACCGCGCAAGATGGTGTCCATTTGCGGCAAATCGTTTCGAGTTGTATGGTCAGTACTTCTCATGCTGGAGATAGTGATGAACTATATGTCATGTGCTGCCAATTTTCCTGTTTTAGCAACCGATGTGCTACTGCGATCTATCGAGATGTTTAGGGTTCGTTGTGTGGACTTCTGTTTGGCTTGTGCTTTATTTGGAGACACAAACTAACAATGCGCTTCTTGTTGTTTCAGTTATTTAATTCCCGAACTACCCAGCTTGTACTGGGTGCTGGAGCCATGCAGATCGCTCGCCTTAGGAGCATTTCTGCCCGGCACTTAGGTAAGCACTTTCAAACTCATTCTTGTTTGCCCTAGTGTATTGAGTAATCTGATGAAGTGTATGTTGGTATTTGTGTGGCTAGCTCTGGCATCGCAATCATTGGAGTTGTCCATGACTCTCATTCCCCACATAAAGGCTGCTCTTGCGGCGCATTTTACTGACCGCCAAAAGCTGCTATTAGAAGAATTTGACCGCGTACTGCGCGACTACGCTGAACACAACGAGAAGATATATAGCAAGTTTACGGGTATTGTGGAAGACCAGATCATGAAGCGTTTTCTGGAAAACGTTGCTACAGAGGTCAGTTGGATCGGAGTTGCAGTACCGTGTGTCGTTGCTAATTTTCCATGCCATGTGCTTCTTCAGGTTGACTATGATCTTGCCAGCCTCGTTGTCCCGACGAATCCGATGCGCGGCATTACGCAGAGTACACTTAAACTTCATGCAGTGTTGCATCCTATTCTCTCGCCGCCGCAGATGAAGGACGTCATGTCGCGTGTATTCGACATGTTCACACAGAAGTTGCCTGACTGCTTCAAACTGGTACAGCCTCGAACAGCAGCAGGCAAGAAACGGTGTGTGGTCGCAGTGACCTCCTTTGCGTACATGGATCCTATTGTAACGTGCATCCCTCGTCGTTTTTTGTTACAGTGTTTTGGAAGACGTCGACATGTTCGTGAAGAGCTTTAATGAGGTCACCGAGCTAACTTTTGACGGCGGCAGTCTCTTGAGCCATTTCAAGAATGCCTACAGTGTGTCCTAGAACAAAAAAACAACGGAATAATATGTGATTTCTGCCGAATCCTTTTCGCCTGCCTGTGTAAGGTATAGTCGCACAAGCATGTTTGCCACGGCATTTGTCTCATTGATGGTACTGTGGACTGTGTCACGCATGTAGTAAAGTACTTTCAGTATTCACGAGTGACAACGACAAAATTGCAAGATCCTGCGTGAGGCTGGACAGATATTTGTTACTGGCTGCGTAGGTTGGCTAGTTGGATCCGTTGGTCGTATCGACGGCCATCATGAGCGTGATGGTGTCTCCCTTCAGCAAGATGCGACCTAATGGCGTACGCTTGAGGTTTTTCACATCCAACTCCTCGGCGTCATCCAATACCAGGTTCATGTACTCATCGAAGCCCATGATGCGGCCTTCAATCCTCGTGTTCACCTGCTCGTAGAGCCATACTTGGATGCGCGATTTCTGTGTAAACAATCAAAATTACACTATTAGAAAGGTACATTCATTTTCAAGATAAAAAGCTCCAAGGCTGCGTACGTTCTGCAAGAATCTAAACATCAGATTAATGGGTTGGGTCATCAATTTCTGCACTTTAGTACTCATAGTGACTGGGGGGGGGATTGTCAAGTGGGTCAGTCTCTATCTGTAGCAAGGGTCAATACAAAGTAAAGTGTTTAGTCAGTGCAGAAACTTATGATCCACATGTTATACGCCGAGCCAACGTCAACTACTGTAGTCATCGTCACGTCTAACACATCACACGCACCTCTAGCGTCGTCGCGCTTGTGTTTTCTCTACGAAATTGTATAAAAGCGCTGGATGGGATCTAGACGTATTTTAGCCAATGCATTTGTACGTAATCTTTGATTGGTAGAAAACTGTTAAAGTTGCCGTCGTCATACTGCATGACCAAGAGGTGACCTCTGATTCTTCATGCTCATCGATCAATCAAAGTAGGCAAAGTCGACACTTGAGTAGTAACTACATTATACACTTCACAGCCGATTATCCTCCACTAGCCTCTAGTTAATGATATCCTCCGTCATCACATGAGTATGACCGAAGATTGTGTCAGTAGCTTCTTAGCTAAATTCCACATAGAAATACTTAGACCTTCTGCAAGCTCATTCTGGCAATACATTCTCGCTCTGTGCAGTGCAAGACCTACAACAATTTTAGCGTCTACGATCAAGATCAATCTCTTAGCATCATCTCATGCGATGACACAACGGTGTCGATGTCACACTTCAAGGTCATTCACTTTTCGCGGTATTTACCGGTATACACCACGTCCGATTTCGTCTTTGGATGATCATTGCGCAATTTGCTCACGTCCTCCTCGATCTGTTCAAGAACATGCGCATATTAACATCATTGCGGCCGTTGGCGACTCATGCTCATGCACACGCTCGTGCACTGAGGTCCGTGGATGGCATGCAGCAGCCTGGATGGTTCAACCGTATGCTGCTTACTAACGAGTACAACCTGCCGCGCCTGCCGGTGCCACAGCTTGAGGAGACGGTGCAGCGCTATCTGGAGAGTGTTCTGCCACTGGTAAACACTAGGGACTGGGAGGAGCATGCTGGCCTCGCCAAGGCGTTTCAAAACGCTGAGGGCCGCCAGTTGCAAGAGCTTCTGCTCAAGCGTGAGCTTAAGCAGGCCATGGGCCGGGCCTACCCCTTTAGTTACATTGAAGAGGACTGGGACAAGATGTACCTCGGAGGACGCTACCAAAGCCCAATCAACGTGAATCCGTCATACGGTCTGCTCGATGAGACGGATGGTAATCTTGACGGTATGCTGCCTCGGAGCGCCGCCTTTGTACGCTCCATGGTTAAGTGGTGGACTAAGGTAAAGAATAGCGAGTTGGAGCAGGACAAGAATCAGTGCATGGCCGGCTTTGCCCGCCAGTTTGGTACGGCTAAAGTTCCCAAGAAGGGGATGGATGTACTAATATCACATCCGCGAGCGACACATATCGCGGTCATGAAAAGGAATCAGTTTTTTAAATTGAACGTACTTAGTCCTGACGGCAAACAGCTGCTGTCTCAAAGGCAGCTAGAGGAGCAACTGGATTTCATCTTGAATTCGACGTCCAAGGGCAATCACGATGACTTGGATCTGTCCACACTCACGGCTGAAGAGCGTGACACGTGGGCACAGGTCCGCGATGATCTGGTTGCACACAACCCCGTAAATGCCGAGACACTTGAGGTGATTGATTCCGCATTGTTCATACTGGTGCTAGAGGATCGAAACCCTACCGATATGAAGCAGCGCATGAATCTCTCGCTGCACGGTCTGGGTTCTAAACGCTGGTTTGACAAGCTGCAGGTGATGGTGCAGCCAGACGGCCACTTGACTGTCAACTTTGAGCATTCGTTCTCTGACGGTACAACCTGGAACCGGTGGTTGCATGAATGCTGGCACGACATGCGTGATTCTGACTCCGGTTTCGCACCACTCGAGGAGATGCCGGAGTACGTTGGTGCCTCCAAGCCAGAACAGCTTTCCTGGAAGCTTTCAAACAACTTGGTGGAAAATGTCAAGAAGGCAGAGCACCACTTTGTGAACTTCTCGGGTAATCTAAACTCGGAATACTTGGTGTATGAAAATTTTGCCAAAAGGAACTGCAAGCAGTGGAAGCTTAGCCCGGATGGTATTGCTCAAATGGCACTTCAACTAGCATTTTACCGCGCACACGGCAAGATTGCTCCCACGTACGAGTCGTGTTCTACGCGCATTTTCCACCATGGACGCACGGAAACAATTCGCTCAGCAACTCCTGCTGCTGAAGCTTTCGTCAAAGCTGTGGAAACCGGTGCTGCGACTGACACTCAGCGCACACTGCTGGCGACAGCAGTAAGTCGTCACGTAGAGATGGCTAAGATGGCGCAGAGAGGATTGGGCGTGGATCGTCACCTGACTGCGTTAAATTCCATTGCTAGCCAGAATGACATCATCAGTGACTTTTTGGCTAGCCCTGTGCGTGCCGAAAGTACGAACTTCTTGATATCCTCAAGCAATGTGACCACACCATTCCTGCAATACTTTTCGTTCGGCGCTGTGGTGCCCCATGGCTATGGCGTGGGCTATTTGCTTCATAACAAAAGCATTAATGTCAGCCTCACACACTACAAGGATAGTGGTATCTCCGATGGCAAGAAGTTTAAGAAGGCGCTGGAAGGGTCTCTCGACACCATTAAGGCTCTTGCTGACAGCCCAGCTCCGTAAAAAAACAAGTGCACGCGATAGGAAAGATCCGTGAATTAATGGGTAATACACAACGACGATGGTGCTGGGCAAGTACTGCTTCGAGGAGGAGGCTTTTTCTATTGATGTTTTCGAAGTAGCGACTCTTTTAGAGGACTGTCGAGTACGTAGCCCCATTGGAGACGATTTATCAGGATTTGAGACACTTCCAAACGGCGCTAGAGAACCAGCTCGTGGCCATTATCAATGAAGATTACGCCGAGTTCCTGCAGCTCTCGTCCAAGCTCAAGGGTGTAGACGAGGCGGTTGCTAGCGTACATGCACCCATTTTGGCGGTCCTCAAGCGTGTAGGTGAAGTGCAAGAAGCTCTGGTACGTGGCTACTGCTATGGAGGAGGCGAAGAGCAGCGACAATGTGACCCTTTTGCGTTTTCTTGAGTGCGTTCTGTAGAGCGCATTGCAAAACAAGATCCAGACGCAATTGAAGATTGCAAATGAGTTGCAACAACAGGAAAAGGACCTGCAGTCCAGTATTTAAATCTCTGAGAAATTGCTGCTGCTGGAAGATCTACTGGAGATTGGGTCACCAATTGAAGGTGATGACGAGGAGTCAAGCTTGGACAAAGACGGACCCACTGACTTCGATGAGGACAGTGACGATGATTTTGAGAACTTTGAACAAGTGAAGAAACGACTACATGCAACGAGCGCTGCTGAAGGTTGCGCAAGATTGGAACGAGCAGCGCAAATTTTTGTGCATTTGGACCAAGAATTTTTGAACTACATGCACGTTGCCACAATTTAGGTAATAGACATGCTGAAACGCGTCGTGAGTCACTCACTTTGAGCATGCGCTGTATAGAAAGAGAAGAAGCGTCTAGCGGTCGTTGAAGAGACACTTCTTCGTCGCCTAGAGACGGAATCTGTGGCTGAATTCTTCCCGATACGTATTACAACCGCGACCATGCGATTAGCGAGCTCACTTTGAGCTATTTGCTGAGAGCATATGTGCTACTTGACAAAAGCCATATTCCAGAAGAATTGATTGGTCGTCTGCTTGTTCATCCATTTGCAGAGGAACATCTTATGCGTGGAAAGCTGGATGGTCGAGCTCGTGGTTCGTGCGAGGGCCTACCACAGATCTATGAGTCCATTTTGTACTTCATTACCAGCAAGTTTGCGGGCACACTTGCATTGTCTGTCTGTCAGGGCGAGAGTAACTGCTCAGTAGATATTTTTGGGAACGCAATTTGGAAGTCTTTGCAGGAGATTTTGTCAACAAAATACGGCATCATTTTCCAGGCAGCTGGCCCGCAACGCTTCCACCAAAGCTTCACTATAAGCATGCGTTTTCTAGCTGATATCGAGGAGCGCTTCTGCAAAAGTGAGATCATGAAAAGTCGCTTCCGGTCTCATGAGAGTGTGGTGGAGTTCAAGGAAAAGTGGAACATCGACGTATACTTCCAGCTTCGAGCATCTCAAGTCGCTTCAAGTGTAGAAAAGTCTTTTGGGTTGAAACGTGAAGATTCGGCCTCGTTGGATTCACTATACGGCAGTGTGTCCATCATTGCTGACACATCGACATTAGGGTTCGAGAACTCAAAGTGTTTGTGGAAAGCACTTCAAGAGTGCTGGAGTGAGTGCATCTTCCTGGCACCTCTGCTTCCCAACTTCTGCAAACTTAGCATGCAGCTTTTCGCGTACTATATTGGCATGTGGAAGGAGCCGTTGCAGAATGCCGTCAGGGTACTTAACAGTGGAACCAAGGTAGATTTTAGTTCTGTGCCGCTTTGTTGTTTGAGTACGGAAGGAGATCTATTGCTTGCTGGAAGCGACTTTCGCGTGCTTTACAAAAAGGTGAGATTGATGATGTGCGTTGTGGCCGATTACGGAATGATACATGATAATTGATCTGTTGCTGATATGCCGCTCAGATTTCTCAAGATTTCTCAAGATCTCTTAGCAATTGTAAGGAATCACGTTGACGACTTCATAGACGATAGCCAAGCCTTCGTGACCGAACTTTTGCAACAGGTATGCTTGCCGAATGCGCGTCTTCTCGCCGTCCGACCAGGCATTTTCAATTTTTACTCCATATGTACTTCAATAGCTGTGAGGCAGGTTCATAGTCGCCCGAGACCGATGAGGTTACAAGGTTGATAGCCGACGAAAACGAAATGCCCTTCATTGCCGTCTTAAACTCCTGCAACTCGTCATCAGCTCACCCCGACCAGAAGTCTCCCCAAACATCACGGATTGTTTCCGGGTTACCTGCGGGGCTAAAGGCCACCACCACATCGCGTGTTGACTCGACCTCGTAAGGAAAACTTTGTGAGTCAAAAGAACGATCAAAGATTTCTAAGTGCATTACGCAATCGTGGCAAAGCGGCAAAAAATGCGTCAAGTATGAGCAAACGAGTACCAGATTACTTCACATGCTCGGGGCTGGAACACTTACTGTAAGTAAGGAAGTTGGCGTCGCAAATGGAGGTGTTCATCTTTCGAGCTTACTGTCCCAGTTTGTGCTCGAAGACAAACTTGGACTATTAGGTGTTCAATTACAGGAGGACACATTGTACTGGACCATAGAGGTCAGCCGCGTTAGCATTATCTTATTGCTGCACGGAAGTGAAAGCTCAGATGAAGCACACAAGTGCTGCACTTAGTGAAGAGCTGCTCAATTTTTTGGAACTGCAACTGCTGCAGAATATCGACGGCAGAGAGGACCAACCTATGTCCTCCAAGCGGAACATTTCTATGAGACGCCGTTCTGTATGTACAACGGCGCCTCATAGAGATGTTCCGTTGAAAATGGCGCGTGAAGGTGACGCAGGGTGCCCCAGAGTGCCATGTCCTTATGGTGCGGTTGAAGTATTGGATGTGCTAGCGCGCTTGCTGTCTTCAATGATAGTTTCAAACTGACGATGTTGTGCCGTACGTTCGCAGTCTCTGCTTTTATTCGCTGGTGTCGGTGGAGTAATGAAAATAGCGAGAAAAACTAACCGAAGGACCGCACGCAGTTTGACGAGTCAGAGAGCGCTGAAGCCATTGTCAGCCGCATCTAGAAACGCCACCAACAGAGTCGTAGACAGTACGATGGCGAGGAAGACAGTGGTGATGCGATTCAGAGCGAAGTGGCGCAGCATTCACTTCTTCCATTCATCCAGGATCCGCGCATGTGGGTGTTTAAGTGCAAGCCTGGTCGCGAGCAGCATCTTGTGGTGGCACTCATGAACAAGTTTGTTGAGTTTGCACGCCTTGGTGGACCTTTGATGGTCAAATCTGTGGTGGCCTCCAACTCAAAGGGCTTCATCTATGTGGAGGCGGAGCGCAAGCCGCACGCGAGAGATTGTCTGAATGGTTTGCGTGATGTACAGCAATGGTTGATGAAGCTGGTGCCTATCCATGAAATGACGTCGATTTTGGATGTTTAAACGCGGAGAAAGCTGCTAGTCGCTAGCATTTGGGCGCGGATGAAGCGCGCGGGATTGCACAAGGGTGATCTGTGCAACGTTATTGAGATCCTTGACAATGGGGCGTGTGGTGTGGTGAAATCGATTCCGCGGCTGGATTTAGTTGTTTTGTCTGGAGGGGAAGAACTCAAATAGGAAAAAGTCCACCGCAAAAGTTTTTCCATACGAACATGGTTCCCAGAGCGGACGTCGCCCGTCGCCGGTATCCTTTCACGGGAGAGAGGATGGACACTTTTGGCAACGACTATTACCAATAGCCTTTCCCTTATATAAGAGGTGAACATTGCTACCATGCTGACAACAGATGACGCAAACCCGACGCTGGATATGATCAATCGTTTTTCGTCTGTTGCAGGAGAAGAGAGCGAACATAGTGCTGAATATATGCTGGCTTCTGTCGAGCTGATGATTGGAAAAATAAGGTCGAGCTCACTAAAGGTGATACGGTACGTGTGATTGAGGGTGACCTGATCAACCTCATGGGTGTCGTGCTGAACACTAACACAGCCAACGACACCGTCCGTGTCATGCCGCTTCACAAAAAATTCAGAATACGATCTTGGACGTTCAGCTCAAACAGCTTATGAAGTACGTGATGGTTGGTGATCACATTAAGGTGATATTTGGCATGTATCGGGTGAGACTGGCACGGTCGTAGCAGTGGATGATAGTGAAGGTGCTTCTGTTGCTGTTGTGCTCGTGATAGTATGGCTCGTGAAATTCAAGTGCGCGTTCGAGATTTGCAGGAGTCTGCCGAGATTTTTCAAGTATTGGATTCATACAAGGGTAAAGATCCTTACGACCTTGTTGCTCTTGCACATGGTGACGTAGGCGTGATTACGAATGTCGGGTACGAAAGCTTTACAGTACTCTGTCCGAATGGTCAATCCAGGACTATCTCCGATCAGGAAGTTTAGCGTAAGATTTAATCTTCACGCAAACAGCAGCACTGGACAAGAAGCACAATCACGTTAGTGCTGGCGAAATGGTTAATGTTGTGGAAGGAACGTTTTCAGACCACAGTGGAATGGTGAAGCATATTGATCGGACATATCTTTTCGTTCACATAATCGCATCACGACTAACTCAAGTATCTTTGTGACACGTGCGCGTGCTGTCAGGAAGTAAGGCGCGTTTGGATATGATTTGAATTTTACGGTGCCTCAGCTAATGGGAATGGAACCAATGACTCCAGGCTTACACCTGGCTTGTCGGCGATGACCCCTGGTCTAAACCCTGTGACTCTAGGAATCAATACTCTGGAATACAACCACAATTCAATGACTCCTGGGTTTGTGTGGAAACTTCCATGGGTCGTATGAACTCTGTTGCCACACACTGACATGATGGGAGGCAACGAATTTTCCGTCACGCCTGGCGTTAACCAGGATGCAAACGACATTGCGGGGGGACCTGCTACGGAGCAGTAACATGGAAGATGGAGGACGTAGAGGTTGAAGTGATCATTGGTAAATAGAATGGCAGTGTGGGCGCCATTACCAGTGGGAGTGGTAATACTTGCTCACTCGGTGTAGATGGTCTCGTGATCACTGTGTCGTTAAACGATGTGCGGCCGGTGATGCCGGAAAAACAAGATACTGTGGTCATCTTGTCAGGCGATGAAGCAGGCACTAAGGGCTCGCTGCTCGGTCGAGAAGCTTTTGCGCACTCTCAATTCAAAGAGCAACGACTCTATCTATCTACACTGTTATTGTGCAAGTTGCTTACCGTGGGTAGGTATGTGAACATTCATGAAGCGATACCAGACACCGTTCACGATTCGATTGTCGTGTTTTGATGAGTTGAGGAGACAAAACCAATGACGACAAGCGTAATACTGCATCGATTTTCGTTGGACTTGCAATGCACGGCGAGAACTAACCAAGTTATGGTCATTACGCAACAGCTACAAGAGGCAATGAAATCCCGACGACTAGTCATACTGTCATGCATGGTAAAATATATCGAGGGCAATTTTTTGGTATCACCATGTAAAAAGAGTGTAAGAGTGAGATAAAACAACGAATCCAAAAGAAATATTAGACAGTTACAAGCCGCTAAATCTCTTTGGACAATCTGGGGATGCGATGAGTGCCACTGACGTAAAGAAAAGTTGACATGCAAGAAGAGGTGCACGAAGTTGTTGTGCTTGCGACGCAATGCAGAGATTCGCGAGGCGACGGACTGGTTCAATCAAGTTTTGCTAGCCACTCCTACCGTCAAAGGCCCCGTTTCCATAACGATGACCAGCTTCTTTCGATCTTTTTCTTCCGCCGGCTGGACAACCCAATCGACACGGCCACTTCGGCAATTAACCTTGACGCAGCCGACTTGTGCGTGGCCCCACTCGATTTTAAGTTTTGCTAATTTCACGCAGAACACCAATAAGATTGCCCACTCACAAACATCATTTAGCCCATCAATGATCGTCTTCATCACATCAGAGCCCACATTGCTGTCCCGATACTTGCACTCACAGAAAAAAAGTGGCGGTCCAGTCGGATCCTCCATGTTGCGTACGTAAATGTCACACCTTTCAGCATTCTTAGCACGAACGAGATGACCGAAGTTACAGCCCTTGGCGCGAGTATCTAAGATACATTGCGGCCACTCAGCATTCGGTGGAGCCAAGAAAGGTATTTTCGAGTGAGACAAAGCTGCCAGATCAGCGTATTTGTCCAACAAATCGCTAGCAACAATCGTTTGCTTCGTATTACCAATGGTCATCGTCACTGGCCGTATTTTTTTGTCTTGACATTCACTGAGCAACCCAGCGAAAAATTCATCAAAAGGAATTCCTTGCACTCCATTTCGCCGTGATGCACAGAAAATCATATGAGCGACCATGTTCTCGTACGTCTTATAATCATTGCTGATCGCGTCGGTGTTTTCTCCTGACGTGAACCCGTGTCCTTTCAAGTACATGGAAAAGATGGCTAATGTTGAGTAGTCGATAGACATGTGACGATCATAGTAACCGGAGTAAGTCTTTCCACCCAATATCGCAAGATAAAGCAGCATGTCCTCATCGATCTCCGGGAAACAGCAAAGCGGTTCCCACGACTCGCCATTAACCTCAAGTTGGCGATTTATTATATCCACTTCAGTTGCCTGAGGATCCACTAGGTTGGCGAAGTGTAGATGCATGCAGTGGGTCCCAACAACAGGAGTAATTTTCCTTTTCTTTAGTGGAGATGGAGACGAGCCATCACTGTCAACATTAGTGTACGATATCGCTATCAGCTGCGCATCCTTTCCGTTCTGCTTCCCCATGAACTGTTTTCCTTTCTGTGTCTTTAGGCTTACGTAATCAAATGCCACGTCCAGCAAATCGCAGAGTTCGATATCATTTGCAGAATTTTCTAACGCATATTGCGCCGCGCTGTCGGCGAAATATCGGGAAAAACGCCCGCGAGAATTGGCCACAATGCTTTTCAAAACGGGATACGTACCTTGGATGCGATTCCAAGAAAGCTCTTTATCAGCATCTGCAAATGGAATTGGTTGATATGAAGGGAATCGAGACATTACCGTCATCCATGCATGCTCTCCATAATAGCTTCCTTTTGATTGACCCACCAAATTGGTGATCTTAGCGTTCGTCCCCATTACAACCACGACCAGGCCACACACACGAAAAACATTGCGTTGGAATGCCGCTATGTTCTTTCCACCGCCATCACTGTTCACGTTTGACATCATTTCATCCAACACAAAGAAAGGCAACAACTTCCCATCTTTCTTCATCTTTTCGCGAGTAGCAATGACTTTCGTCCGATTGCACTTTTCCACGTACCATGATGTTTTCGTATGAAAACGTATCATCTGTCCTAGCTGATTCTGCTCTTTACTGCAATACTGCAGCAACGCACGAATAAATCCAAAGGTCCAAAGACTTTCACTATTGTAAAAATCGGACTTGGAGTTCAAAATGTTCTCATCCGACTTTTTCATTGGGTCGTCCTTGTTTGTCACTTCACGGAACGCTTCAGAAATTAACGAAAAATTTTCATACAAGCTCTGACAAGATTCCCCAATGAAAACAGGCCAGTAAAACCACGGGCGGCTTCCTCCCAACGCAAACGCCAGCTGCGACTTCCCCATGCCAGATGATCCTTGCACACAAATGAACGGCAGCGTTGACGTGCCGGAGAGGGTATAGAGTGCGTCGATTTTGTTTAAAATCTTCTGGCAATAGTCCTTACAGTTGCGCTGGATCAGCTTCCCTCGTTGCTGGTAGTGCGTCAGCTCGTCCGTGTACTGAGCACCGTTTTTGGCATCTTCGATGCGTAATTCGACATAATCCCCTGCCCCCACCACCAGCACGTGAATTTCTTTTGATTTTGGAGTGCTTACGTTTTCAAGGAAAATGTCAGCAATCGAATCTTCCCCCTGCAGCTCTTGGTCCTTTTCCGTTAACTCTTCAAGAAGAGGAGTCATCATGCCCTCCTTAAGTTGCTTTACATCTTCCGTGGCAGAGGACAGCCAGGCGCCGTCCTTCTTCGTCGCAAAGAGACGCAGCTGGTCCGCATCCACATTCTTGAAGGCAATCGCCTTCTTTGCCTTGATATCTTTTTTTAAGAGAGCCACTGTCTTCCACTCTTCAATAATGATAGAAATTGCGCTTCCGCCTATGCCAACAATCGCGCAGTTTAACAAAAGCATTTTGTTTTCAGCTGAGAATCAGAAAGAAGAAATGACAAGAATTATCTATTTGTAAATGAATTGATTGGTTGTATGTGACATCATACTGAGACCAAGATATAAGGCATTCTTCTATTCTGATTGACTTACTAGATGTTACTTTCTACATTATGATTATAGTAGAGCCTTCTTAAAATGATACTCCTTAACTAATGATAACTTTCCTTAAGTGCGAACTAATGCCAAGAAGTGATACTGTCTTACCTACTTACGTGTCTAGTTGATACATACCTCAAGCTTAATGGTCCAGCCTTCGCCTTCATAACGCAAGTCACCCATGAATTCAACAGGCGCAATTGCACGTTCTTCGTAGATCACACCATAGACGTGTTTTCGCAGTGTAAACTTCGTGACAAAGGAATTCGCAAAACTGCATGCGGTATGCAGCTCAGTTCCCGCTTTGCCGCTGATTGTGCCGATTGAACATTTTATCGACACGACCAGCCAAACACTTGCCTCTCTTTCGACATCTTCACTTGGCAGTCCACATATCCTATCGTAGCTTAGTCTTCGATATCGTCATTGGTGCCGGACGAGATTGGAGTTACGGGCATAAAGTACCGGCGTATGGCGTCTTGAAATCGTTTTCCATAAAGACCTGGTTCAATGATTGTGGGAGAAGATTGTCCAGCAATCATACCGACAGACTTGCCAACACTCTCCACACGCTTTATTAAATCAAATTGACGTAGGTAGTCAACGATGCCAACAGTCATTTCCGACGGGCTCTCCATCTGGTCTCCAGTATCGTCATGTGGATAGCTTAGCCCCACAACCATCGAGTAGTCCACGATGTTGATAGAGCAGAGAAATGCAGTATCATTCTTCACCGCTTTTAGTATCAAACGATGATCCTCTGCGAGTATGCCCAAAGGATGACCTTTGGTGAACTCTAAGAAGTTACCATCAAGAAGAGCACGGTTGCCATTTTGAAGAACTTCTGAGGTCGATTGCGGTCCAATAAATCGGTTCCGAGAACTTCCTTTGAGATCATAGGTTCGTGTAAGCTGCTTTTGGTAGAACACGTTTTCCATGACTCAGATGTAGTGTACCATCTTCTGCCCAGTATCTTTTCGGATTGTGGTTGTCTGGTAGAGTCCAACGGTCTTTGACAATATGCTTGCCCGGCCGTCAAAGTAAATGCTTGCCATATATTTGAAGTACCCAGGAAGACAGCCCAGGAAGCTCTACCAAACACGTAGCACCATCTAGTTAGCATTTGTTTATCCGGCCAATCTGATCAAGGTATACATACGCACCTGCATTTCAGTCGATGAAATGTGTTTAACAACAAAGCGGTCATCTAACGTTCGGTAAAACGAGGCACCCGATTTACCACCATTTGCGTCCCAGCTTGCCACATGAGATATTGAAAACACGTATCTCTGAAGACTACCATAGAATAGTTCGCGCAAGACCTCAAACTAAGCACGAACATCAACGTTGTCAAGTCAGTTGTCACAGCAAACACACAGTTGATTTTGCTATGAACTTACCTGGAGCGGGAAGTACGCAACGGTTGATATCTCCCAGCACGTGTTGGACAACATTGACGCTGATTTGCCTGAAAGGAGTGATAAGTGCAGCGGCATTTCCACTGCCACAAATTTAAACGGCACGTTCAATGATGATTCGAGAGCGGCAAGAGACCAGTTTGTGGACATCGCGCTTGCATCGTCCCGTTTTTGCTTTTGCAAACCAACTGACTCGACTGCTTCGTTATGAACACGTAGTTTCCATCCGTCCATCTCTTCTTCATACGAATCTGTCGATAAGGCGTAAGCAATGCTTGTAATTGGTTTTGCCTCGTCAACCAGGACCACTCGAGATTTTGAACGATGATGAAGACTCGGGTGGCCAGCAGTCAGTGCTTCAGGAAGGTCAATCGTGAAGTCATTTCCTGGTTCACTTCGTCCGAGAACGCGGTAAAGGTCCCACAAAGCTTCCTTCCATCCATTCCGCGGGCCCTACAGAAAAATAACACGACAGAAAATATGACAAAGATGGCCATGTCAACTATGAATACCAACTACGCACCTCTTTTCCATCTCCATTACCGTGGACAACGACAGGGAATGGTAATGATGGTCTCTTGAATAATTCAGTGCTAGCAATAGTTGTTGAAGATGCCAGCACCTTTTCCGTGCTCGATTCGGACTCAGAACTTAAAGCTCCATTACTTCGGTGTCGAGGCAGTTGCTCAGTATCTTTACTCCAGTCGGACTCTGTCGCAATGATGCTTGGCGCCAGGGTTGATTCTTCTACGACCCGTGAAGATGTAATGGGCGACAAAGAAATAGCAGGATGAAACTTAATGCCTCGAAGAGTAAAAGACCTACTATTTGGAGATGGTGGAGCCGTATCCGTCGAAAGATGTTTCTTAATCAACTTGCGAAGGCGCAGCATGCAGGCAACCCATTTGCATGCTAGTAAGTACAAAGCACGCTGAGTAACATCACAAATTCTCAGCGCTTGAGTAATATCACAAAGTTCCAAACTGTCCACTGTTTTCTCACCAATTCGCGCCATTTGGTAGGAAAAAATGGCGTCACCGCTTTTTACCATTTTAGAAATGCACATGACTTCAAGGATGATACGAGCGTGGTAACCCTTATCCGTACGTTCAAAAGCTTCCACTGCCTGATTGATTCCCTGGACTTTCTCCGTAAAAGTACTAATAAGTGACCTCAGGAGCCCTTTTAAGATTTCAAGACGAGCCGTAACTTCCTTCTTCAAAACCGCCTGCTCCATTTTGATACATAACTGACGATGGCCATTGCCGTGCTTTAACTCTGAATGGCTAAGACGAAGCGAGACCTGCTTTGAGAAATCAAAGCGTGCCACGGACTTACCAATATTCAAGAAAAGCACGTGTGACTCCATCGAGACGTGCGTACACGTTGTGCTTGATGAATTCGGTAGCACAGATCGTTCTGCTTCCGAAAAGAGGACTTCCAAGAATCTGGCAAACGAGTACTTGTAAATGTACTTTTCCAACGGCATAAAAGGCGTAATCACACCATTACATCCACGACACCATCGCCAAAATATCACTGTAGGATATCCGTTCTCCACCGATATCACAGTTTCGTTATCATTCCCGGATGTATGAAGAACGGATTCTGGCGTCATTATCGCACGCATGTTGGTGTTTCTTTCGGAACGCATTGATAGTGAGAGCTCGCTCATCGAGCAGAACGATTTATCCGTGCCCCCAACGTCGCTCACATTACTTACTGACAACGATAACGGCTGTTTGTTTTGATCCGGCAGTTCTTCGAATGAAATTGTTATCGTTCCCATCCGGCAACTAAACGAATGAACGTGATCTGCCATTAAATAGTTGCATTTGACACTCTACAAGAACGTATCAGCATAACAAGTCACAAGTTACAGTCAGTCGCTCAAGCATAAACGTATGAATATATCGCCAACACAATCACGTACTTGACATTTTAGGGAGAGGGCTGCCAATTCTTGGTTGAGAAAGTTGCCAAACGATACATCGTCATCCGAGCAGGCTGTAATGCGAAGATGCTTGGCTTCGACGCATTGATGGTAATGAGGGTCCAGAGATCCAGGATCACGAACACGTAAAGTGGATGTTGTACACCAGGTAGTACGTTGCTCATCAGTAAGCGCTGCATTTTCGCTGAATGACATATCATTGTTCAAGTTAAGATCGGATAAAACGTGAGCCTCTAAAAGCAATTGATATGTCATCGATAGCACGGCTCGGGTCAGCTGCTTTAGTAGACGTAATGTCTGCTTTGATGGCCCAGTAATTAACACTGTGCAACCGTTTAGCGGATCACATCCGTCTAAGTACAGGTAAGTGTCCGTTCGCAAACGGCTTGGAACCGCAGGTGCTTTCAAAAACACACCTGCTGGTGCCTGCGATGATTTTTTCGTTGGTATCAGCCCCGGTTCCGGAACTACCGGGATCGACTTCACCGTGAATGAACGGCAGCTGCCGATGACTTGTGCAGGATCCGCTTTATCCACATGATCTACGGATGTTAAGACCTCAGCTCCAGTATGGCGAGCAATTCGGTGTAATAATTCACTCTTGACATTAAGCACGATCGATATCCGGCGTTCACATAACAGCTCTTGAGCATGCCTTGACACAGTTTTTTCCACAAAAATCACATCGGGCTCTAATTCCGATATCTTTTCTACCAAAATGGCCATGTAATTTTTTTCCTGCTCCATCAACGTGTCTAATGAGCTCATTCGCCCAATGCCGTTCGAGCGATCGTAGCTTATTCCACAAGCAAACAGCAAGATACGAGGGTTTTCGACTTGGCGCGCCATTTGCTTGTGGCTTAAGTGCTTGCGACACACAGTGCCAGCGAGCCATTTGAAACTGTAGCTCGGCTCCTTCTTGTTTGTCTGCACAGTCGCTCCGACTGCAATGCTTTTCACTTTCACGAGGTGTGCGTAGTTGAAACCACTAATAGTGCGAAAATTCATACTGAAAAGCAAATGTCCCGTCACAACAAATGCAATGTCTTCCAAGGTTTTCACCAAATAATCCAGACCAATGAATTCAGACTCTGGCAAACTATTCGCGACGGATGATGCAAAATGCTGAATGCCGTCACGAATTTGCTTGTGAGCCCTTTGCTACATTGCAAACGTCAAGATAGTCATCAGCAATGGTTACTGTCATCAATTTTTCGCTTCCTTACCATATGTTTATCTAACGCGATGTCTCGCTGTGTGTAAAGGTTATTACCGTTACGGGTATTGATTTCCCTCGCCGTCTTTTCCGAAACAGTTGAGACCTCGTTGTCAGCCGAAACATTCTTTACCCAATTGTGAAAAGCCAACACTTCTGTGTCCAGTCTACCATTTTCGATTGCACCCAGCAATTCTGCGCTAGAATGTCGTATTCTAGTTCGTACTTGTGGGCGGAAATTCCGGCGAGTATCGACGCTATCAGATTCCTCATATAAATCGATAGACTCGGTTGTAAGGCATGCTACGTCCGTCAGTTGATCCAAGCCTGTAACATCACTTGTGTTCGAGTCGATAGGTGACAATGACAACATCGGTTCCTCGATCGGATCAGCCGATGGACCAAATATAAGGGGCGATGGCTTTGTAGAGCCAACTTCCCCACTCAACCGGCGTGACAAACGGTCAAACCGACCAGACAAAGAATTTCTCGACGTCTCATTTCCATCCAAACTTTCGCTCGAGTTAAGTCTTTGTTCGCTTTCATCTATCTTCTTCTTCCCACCAGCTGCGTCTGCAAATTGGAAGCAGAACTTACACACTCGAACGATACCTGGAAACCTGTGAGGTGTACCATCAATAAAGTGGTTGCTGCACTCGTGACAAAAGATTTGCCCGCACAGTCGGCAATGGTGACGACGTCGGAAGAGAGAGAATGCTGCAGAGCAGTCATAGCATACCTGTGTAGACACAAGCGAGAAACCATCAAATCAAGTTCAAACATACCATAATAAGTAGCAGTTGTTACTCTCAAACAGTCTCACCTTGCAGAGGTGGTCCGGCATCCAATACTGATTGCCAGTTGACATAGGAGGAGGACGTATCTTGACTGGAGACGCTAAGCAATACCAGATTACGTTTATAAGTTTGTCATGATAATAAACAAAACTGAATCGATTGCAATATACCAGCAACAGTTTGAGCATCGTCCCCATTCTCCGCATCATCATTCGATGCCTTTTAACCCAATTGTGACCCCAAAAAAGCACCAAATATTGTGAATTATTGCTGCAGCAACTAATAACTTGCTGTCTTTACAGCAAGAGTATCATCGCCATATGAAGCAAAGGCTCACCTGGAATGTAGAGGCCAAGAATCCGGGCATTGGGAACGTTGTCAAGCTAGAGAAGGACCAAATAGAATGGGAAGATTCGTTTTTACTGATAAATTCCAGGAGAAAACTCTCTAAACTTCGTACCGCGATGGATCTCGGTCTAGATGTTGGTTTGGCATTGACTGTACGTGTTGTTCTTCGTCTTCCATTTTGTATGACAACAGGAGAAGGAGATTAATGCATGCAGGGTCAGGACAATTCCTCTACTTGTAAATTTGGGAACTTCAATAACCATATTTGGGTACGTTTTGTTTTAAAAAAGGACACTCCATTTTTTGATTTGGGTAATACACAACGACGATGGTGCTGGGCAAGTACTGCTTCGAGGAGGAGGCTTTTTCTGTAGACGTTTTCGAAGTAGCGACCTTTTTAGAGGACTGTCGAGTACATAGCCCCATGGAGACGATTTATCAGGATTTGAGACACTTCCAAATGGCGCTAGAGAACCAGCTCGTGGCCATTATCAATGAAGATTACGCCGAGTTCCTGCAGCTCTCGTCTAAGCTCAAGGGTGTAGACGAGGCGGTTGCTAGCGTACATGCACCCATTTTGGCGGTTCTCAAGCGTGTAAGTGAAGTGCAAGAAGCTCTGGTACGTGGCTATTGTTATGGAGGAGGTGAAGAGCAGCGACAATGTGACCCTTTTGCGTTTTCTTGAGTGCGTTCTGTAGAGCGCATTGCAAAACAAGATCCAGACACAATTGCAGATTGCAAATGAGTTGCAACAACAGGAAAAGGACCTGCAGTCCAGTATTAAAATCTCTGAGAAATTGCTGCTGCTGGAAGATCTACTGGAGATTGGGTCACCAATTGAAGGTGATGACGAGGAGTCGAGCTTGGACAAAGACGGACCCACTGACTTCGATGAGGACAGTGACGATGATTTTGAGAACTTTGAACAAGTGAAGAAACGACTACATGCAACGAGCGCTGCTGAAGGTTGCGCGAGATTGGAACGAGCAGCGCAGATTTTTGTGCAATTGGATCTAGAATTCTTGGACGGCATGCACGTTGCCACAATTCAGGTAATAGACATGCTGAAACGGATGGTTTGTTGCGTCGTGAGTAACTCACTTTGAGCATGCGCTGTATAGAAAGAGGAGAAGCGTCTAGCGATCGTTGAAAAGACACTTCTTCGTCGCCTAGAGACGGAATTTGTGGCTGAAATTCTTCCCGATACGTATTACAACCGCGACCATGCGATTAGCGAGCTCACTTTGAGCTATTTGCTGAGAGCATATGTGCTACTTGACAAAAGCCATATTCCAGAAGAAATGATTGGTCGTCTGCTTGTTCAGCCATTTGCAGAGGAACATCTTATGCGTGGAAAGCTGGATGGCCGAGCTCGTGGTTCGTGCGAGGGCTTACCACAGATCTATGAGTCCATTTTGTACTTCATTACGAGCAAGTTTGCGGGCACACTTGCATTGTCTGTTTGTCAGGGCGAGAGTAACTGCTCAGTAGATATTCTCGGGAACGCAATTTGGAAGCCTTTGCAGGAGATTTTATCAACAAAATACGGCATCATTTTCCAGGCAGCTGACCCGGAACGCTTCCACCAAAGCTACACTATAAGCATGCGTTTTCTAGCTGATATCGAGGAGCGCTTCTGCAAAAGCGAGATCATGAAAAGTCGCTTCCGGTCTCATGAGAGTGTGGTGGAGTTCAAGGAAAAGTGGAACATCGACGTATACTTCCAGCTTCGAGCATCTCAACTCGCTTCAAGTGTAGAAAAGTCTTTTGGGTTGAAACGTGAAGATTTGGCCTCGTTGGATTCACTATACGGCAGTGTGTCCATCGTTGCTGACACATCGACATTAGGGTTCGAGAACTCAAAGTGTTTGTGGAAAGCGCTTCAAGAGTGCTGGAGTGAGTGCATCTTCCTGGCACCTCTGCTTCCCAACTTCTGCAAACTTAGCATACAGCTTTTTGCGTACTATATTGGCATATGGAAGGAGCCGTTGCAGAATGCCGTCAGGGTCCTTAACAGTGGAACCAAGGTAGATTTTTGTTCTGTGCCGCTTTGTTGTTTGAGTACGGAAGGAGATCTATTGCTTGCTGGAAGCGACTTTCGCGTGCTTTACAAAAAGGTGAGTGATTGATGATGTGCGTTGTGGCCGATTATCGATGGATACATGGTGATTGATCTGCTGCTGTTGTGCCGCTCAGATTTCTCAAGATCTGTTAGCTATTGTGAGGAATCACGTTGGCGACTTCACAGACGATAGCCAAGCCTTCGTGAACGAACTCTTCCAAGAGGTATGTTTTTTGCTGCGTGATAGTGCTAGCCCTCACTCTAACTAAGACAAATGCCACTTTTGCTACAGCCGCTTGCATCACTAGCAGAACTTGAGACAAGTTGCTGGTCCGCTGCTGTCACAATGGTTGCTGCAGATTGCAAGAAGGTTCTTCCAGCAATCCGGTACGCCATGTCGCATTTTCAAGAGCACAATCGAGCATAAAGCTAAATTTCGTTTACTACCTCTGTCACGACAGCACGGTGAAGGGCCAGTATCAGATGACAAACAAACCTCCACCAACAACCCCGTCGACATATGTACCCAGCATCATCCGGTACAACTAAGTCCGCCAGCTGTGTTGATAGTGGCAACGAGAGCTAACGCGTTCTTACTTTTTGTTCGTTTGCAGACCAATGCAGGAATTTTTGGAGAAGTGGGGTGTTCACTTTGATGCGAGCAAAAGACAGAATTTTCTGCAGGCCATTGTGGAAGACGTTTGTACGATATACTCAACACTATCGTCGGAGCTGTTGCGGTCGGCTGCTGAGTTAGAAGAATCGCTGAAAAGTCGCAAGCTGCAACGGCACTCTGGATCCCACTCTGCTTTGGCAAACGACGCCGTCTCGGACACGGAGAAAATGCGCATGCAGTTGCTGCTTGATCTTGAAGAGATTCAGCGGTAAGTGTGCTAAAGTGGTGCTGGTTGGGTTTCATTCTACTGCTACTGATGAGAATTATATGGTTGCATATGTAACAGAGAGCTGACGGTGCTCGGGCTGGATGTCAATCGTTGCAACAAGCTGCAGGAAGGTCTTGCTAAGCTCAGCGAGTCGACAAGATGAAGTCAAAGTTATTTGATTGGCTGGAAAGTTGTGACGAAATTTAAAAGACCAATTTAATTCGACAATAATATGTGGTGGCAGTTGAGCGCGTCACAATTGAACTGCTCCTGATGGAGAGCGGAAGCACGTCGCTCTGGCGTTGGGGTCTGTGTATCACTGTGACGTCATTATCTCTGTGGAAAGTCGTGGAGCTGATAGTGAACGGTGAAGCGTGTTGGGACCGAGTTTATTGCACAAAATCCAAGAAGAACAAGTACTTGGCTGGCTTCCCGGGTCTCGTAGGGAACACGCCACTTGTGGAGCTCACCAGTTTGTCCAAGGTCACGGGCTGCAAGATTCTGGTACAGTGTTGAACTGGACAATGATGCAGTGTGTTTTGATGTCAGTTGCTAATTGCTCCTGTCCTTATTGTTTGATGTCATCAGGCGAAGGCTGAATTTTTGAATCCGGGTGGAAGTTCGAAGGATCGAGTTGCAAAGAGAATTGTGGAGGATGCTGAGTCCCGAGGACTGTTGAAAGAGGGAGGCACTATCGTGGAGGGGACGTCGGGAAGCACGGGCATCAGTCTGTCGCTAATGGCAAGAGGTTGGCGAATCGTCCTGCTGGGAATGACCAATACCGAGGTCGTCGCGTTGTCTGTTGCTAACGCTGTATGGCGGTATTGATGCTGTCAGCTCGAGGATATAGATGCCTTATTGTGATGCCGGATGACCAAGCAAAGGAAAAGAGTCAGCTTTTGGTGAAGCTTGGTGCTGAGGTCGTGCTGGTGAAACCGGCGTCCATCGTGAACGCTAAGCATTACGTGAACGAAGCCAAGCGGTTGGCACGTAGCATTGAAGGTGAGGTGATAATCGGTGTTTGCATTGGTTCACGTAGCTGTGCTAAGACCCCGGTTTTGCTAATATTTTCAGGAGGATACTTCTCCGACCAATTTGAGAATACGGCTAACTTTGACAGCCACTACACCACAACTGGTCCGGAAATTTGGCGCCAGACGAATGGAACGGTGGACGCTTTTGTGATGGCAGCAGGTGAGTCTCTTTTTTTATTCATTTTGTGAAGTATGGTTTTGATCGCATCTTGTGCTTCACTTCAGGCACTGGAGGCACCATCGCAGGAACGTCGGCATATTTAAAGAAGCAGAACCCCGATGTACAGGTATTTCTTGCTGACCCTCCAGGTTCCAGTTTGTACAACAAGGTACACCTCTTGTCCACAGAAATTTTGGCCGCTCTTTTTTAATCTCGTCATGGCCTTAGGTTCGAAGCAATATTTGTTATGCTTCGCAACAGGCTGAGACCAAAGTGCGTCGACACCGGTAAGATGGTATTTTTTCCTATGTTCCTACCAAGTGCAGCCTCACTGAATCTGCTCTACAACTTTTCTCGTATCATCTCTCCAGATACGACACCATCGCTGAAGGTGTGGGCATCGACCGTTTAACACAAAACTTTATGCTCGCCAAGATTGATGATGCCTTCAAAGTAACGGATCAGGAGATGGTAGAGATGTCACGCTTCTTATTACGTGAAGAAGGCATCTTTGTAGGAAGCTCCAGTGGCCTCAATTGCGTCGCAGCTGTGCGCGCCGCCCGCAAGCTCGGGCCGGGTCATACTATCGTAACAATCCTGTGTGATTCAGGCCAGCGTCACCTCACTAAGTTTTGGAACGAGGACCACATCCGTCAGAACTGGCAGCTGGAGCCCAGGGCCACACACCTCGAGTTCCTGGACGGCTCGACGGGGCAGCCGTAATGGCATTGAAAAATTAGATTTTTTTCTTCTTTTTTTTATAAATTACAGCATTTTGATTGGGTACCGCAGATCAAGTTTAGCGAATTTGCTATTCAAAATATGAATTTTTTTCTTTTTGCAAGAATTATGCAGCAAAGAAGTATCGAAAGAGACACTTGAGTTTGCGACCACTTCATCCTCCTTCATTGATTATCCAAACATGAGTTGCATTCATGTGCTCTATATCTTCGTCTACGCTACGAAGCAGCGGTGATTTGCTCTCTTTTTTTGAAAGGATTTGGCGAAGATACAGCACTGTCAGGTGATGCACGTCACCTCGCTAAATTTCAGACGTCGAAGCACTGTTTCAAGACCCAGCAGCTCAATCGTATCACCTAGTCCAGCGCCAACATCCATGCCGGTTAGATAATAACGGACCGGCATCAGCACCCTGCGCAGATCATCACCACAATACACACTTCAGTCGACGACATCCTAACTTATTTTCTCAAGACAGCTCACTTTTTCAGTCCAAGTTTTCGATTTTTTGCAACAGCCTTGATGCTTTTTGTGATATGATCCTGCAAAAAAGACAAGCTAGTTCAGAACCGAGATTCGTCAAGATGCACAAACTACACACCGGCGTGAATTCTTCGTCCGAGAGATTGCACAGGTTTAAACATACATCCGCTACAAGATCTGCCGTGCTCTCATCAATGTACATGATTTTCATGTCTTGTGCAACCGAGGAGCTGAGGTCAGGATCCGTAAAGAACGGCATACAGAGTAAGCCAAACTCTGGAAGGACACTTACGCGTTCCTAACGAATAAAAACGTAAACATAGTGAACCACGACTGAGTAACGACTTGAACAACCTAGAGTGTAACCCGCATTGTGTTGCGGCGTACCTTCATCAGATACATCGCTCGCCAGATGTAATCAAGACCGAATTTCTCGACCACATCAGCTGGAGTTGATGGCAGGCCTACTTCTTCAAGATCAGAAGAAATCATCAGCAAGACGTCATTTACGACAGCCAATTTGTGCTTGTCCGATGCAACTTCTTCCGCAAATAGCGTCCGCACATGACGAGAATTGATCCAACGAAGACGATCCACATTTACAACTGAGCCTGCTTTGTTTACGTGGTCAATCGAGAACTACACCAAAAAGGTCAAAACATAACAGCGAGGTCAAATATCTCTTCACACAATACAATAAGACGCCAGCCTTTCGTACAAGTTTTTCCAGCTCTTTCATCGCGAATATTTCTTGATTGTTCCCGTCAGCAGGATTCCAGCCTAGAAGAGCAACAAAGTTCACCAGGCCACTTGGTATGAAGCCCTTGTCCTGTGCACGCGAATTGAAATGAAGAGTCAATATAGATGTAGTCTACGGTGGACAGACAAACCATACCCGAAAATCCTCGACGGCGACATCGCCCTGACGTTTGGATAGTTTAGTGCGGTCTTCATTGAGTAGAAGACCTAAATGCGCCCACTTTAAAACGAATTGCCCACACAATCGTAAGTGACCCTACTTTGTTGTAGCTCCATCTCGGTGCAGCTGCTACTTACAGTCGGAGCTTCATACCCCAGTGCCTTGTACAGGATGACATGCTTCGGTGTCGACGGTAGCCATTCCTCACCACGAATAACGTGCGAAATACGCATGGCATGGTCATCCACCACGTTCGCCAGATGATATGTCGGATATCCATCACTCTTCATCAAAACCTGATCATCAATACCACCATGGTCGAACTGCACGTAACCACGCAGCATATCCTTGACAGCCGTCTTGCCGTCTGGGATTTTCAGACGAATTGTATATGGCTCGCCACTTGCTACTCGTTCTTCCACCTCCTTTTCGTCCAGGCCAAGACAAGCACGGTCGTACATCGTCGCTTCCCCATGACGGGTCTGCGACTCACGCAGCTTTCGGAGACGCTCACTCGTGCAAAAGCAGCGATAGGCATGGCCAGACTACGTCAAAGTAACAGTCATCGTTTTAACATTTACAATACAAAAAACAAGTGACAATTGCAGTTCTAGTCACCTCGATCAGCTTCTTGGCTGCCTCCTGGTAGATCGGAAGTCTCTGCGACTGGATGTACGGACTGTACGGACCTCCGACATTGGGACCTGCACCACACCATCAGTACACCAGCACACCTAATAGCAACAAACAGTAGCAGCTTTTCCATACCCTCGTCTTCTTCGACTCCACACCATTTGAGACTGTCAACCAGCGCCTCTACAGACCCCTCCACTTGACGTGTCTAGCATCCAAAAAAAAATAGACAATGAGCATAATCATTTCAATACAAACAACCAACAAGTGCAGTCTCATATACTTTATCCGTGTCTTCAATGCGTAAAATGAATTGTCCACCGCAGCTCTTAGCAAACAAATAATTGAAAAGCGCCGTGCGGAGACCACCAAGATGAAGGAAACCGGTGGGACTCGGAGCGTATCGCACACGCACGTTAGTGGATCGAAGCGTGTCATTGTTATTTGTGCGAGAAGAACAGCTTCGTAATCTTAAGAGCGATGGCCAATGGGGCACGCGGTGACGCAGTCGCGGGAGCAACATGAACTGATCCGAACTGATCCCAATGGCACGAAAAGTAACGATAACAATACTAATGTTCAAATTTGGTACAACGTTTTTTAGGCTTATGAAACAATCTAGAATATGCACTGTTCAGAGTTGTCACTTTTTGATTTAGATAATAGAAATGATCAGATGTATAAACGCTAGCATTATTATTTAACTACACTGTTAATTATCGTCCCTACTATATGTAGCCACTTATTCTTGATGCTGGAATCGATGAACGAGCAAACTCACCACCTCCTTGATAGACTTTCCTTGTACATGAATGCTGTCGACAATGTTACTATACGACTGTATCATGGACGCGAGATAGCTTTTCTTGCGTTGATTTAATTGAAATGCTAGTTGCGACTTTGGTAGCCCTGACGTTAGTGTGTTCTCATCCTGCAGTTGAGTTGATATCCATTGACGCAGCTGCAAGTCAACGAGGTGAAGCACACTTTGCTGTGTTGATAGTCGATCGCGGTGCTAAGGAAGAGAGCGTGTAGTAGATCGATAATCAGCCAGAAAGTGAATCTGAATCGCACCTGCTGAGCTGCTTTTCTCTGCGCATCCATTTGCGCAAGGCGTCGTTTTTTTCCTTCACGGGATGCTTGCTGAATCAGCGCGTTCATTGCCTCTTCAATGTTGGCGGCATCTTCCATTTGTTTCACCTCCCAAGTGTTCACTTCCCACGAGGTTTGACAGCCATTGGGTGCCTCAAATACTGTCACCATCCGTTCAAAAACCTCATCAGGAACTCGTGCACTATCACCCCGAACAGCATTTCGTTCTCGGCAGGTTGTTATCGGGGTGTTTACGTACACTAGACCAAAGCCGCAGTTTGCTACACGTCACCAAATGATACATGAGTGACAGTATAGCTACAAGATTGAGTGGAGAGGGAATGCATTACCCTTGGTGGCGAGATGAAAGAAGCGCTTGCGCAGACTTCGGTACTGGAAATTGTCGTCGATAAGAAGCACCATTTGGTGCGCGGACCCGCTCCTCCTAGCCGATGTGTATTCCTTTAAACATTTGCTCACTCGCAGCACCATCTTTTGCTGGCATGCTTTCCATATTTCAGGGTCAAACTCACTTAGTCTGCTATCTCCGTTATCGATCATCTGTTGCTCGTAGAGCTCGTCAAAAGAGATATATTGATACGACCTTGATGGGGTGGTGCATCTTGCCACTAGATGCTTCACAAGTGTCGTTTTCCCGGCAGCAGGGAGTCCACAAATCAGCAGAAGAACTGCATCACTCGAACTATCAGACATATGTCCACCCACACGAAAGAAAACTCACGACTGAAACAAGACCAAGCTGAAAAGGTAGAAATGTCATCTTGCTGACAAAGTTTCATGAGCTCATAAACGACGGAACACCCTCTATCATAGCTCCTCTGGCCCCCTAATCGTAAATCACATGGTCAGTATCTCATACAGCCGTAGACATGGTAGTAAGATAAGAGAAAAGCTTCACCTCGTTCGTAAGCGTGCACTAATAGCTGATTTCTTGATCGTCGAGTGGATGCTGAGTCGATGGCGTTGTTGCTCAGGAGTAAACGCTCGCTCCTGCGTGGAGCTGTTCTTCTCATTAAGGCTGTTTTGTTCAGTACGAGCCAGGTCGGTATTGAGCCGTCCATCTGCAGTCCCTTTTGTAGGCGTCTCCTCTGTCCACTGTCGCTTTTGAGCGCTTGCTCTTGCACGTCGCCGAGACTCCTGCTCCTCCTACAGGTATTGCTTAAGAGGTTAATGTTGCTACTCTGAAGTGGCCAAGATTGACTGGTTAGTGCTTACCGCTTGTTTCCTGCGAGTCAAGACGTCGACACGACGCTGAAGACGCCGTAGCTCGCGCTGTTGGGCACGATGCAGCAGCAATTTGCGCCACTCACGGGGCACATCCACCAGTAAAAAGCGCAGGAGGAAAGCCAGCACCGGCAAGAGAATGTTGCACAAGACGCACAGAAAACCAAAGAATGCCATGAGCTCCAGTGCCAGTACATACAGCGACATCATGCTCATGTTCACCACCAAGTCCGTTTTTTCGGCCAATTGAAGTGGTGTGAAGATTCAAGACTGAAGCAGCATTGACTCGATGTAAGAAACACTCGACGAATATCTCAACGTTCTCTGCCTTGTCGATAATTTCGATTGCTTCTCTATCAGATTGCTATTATATGATCGACAACAGGTCTTCTATCGCACCATTCGTCGCTCAAAATTACATAGCGGTACGTGGAGGCCATTGGCCTTACTTTCACAACAAATTTGGGCTCGCCGCTATCCTTGCCTGGTGGTAGCCACCCTGGAACGTAGGTGGAAGGTCGATGCTGGCACCCAAATCAAGCAACATGCGCTCCAGTCGAGACACAATCACGTCAAAGGAAGGTCGATCGGTCGCGTCTGACTTCCAGCATTCAAGGATGAGATTGATGTACTCGCTGTCCATGCCCTCGGGGATTGGAGGTCGGATGCCGGCGTTGATTGTTTTGTTGTAGAACTTGATCGGAGCCATTCCGATGAACGGGTTCTGCAATCCGCCGGCAATTATTTCCCACATTACAATAGCAAAACTACGGGCACACAAGACACGAGCAGTAAGCCAGTCAATTACTCGTTACACCATACGGGGTAAAGCCCAATCATACCTCCAGTTGTCAGCCTTGAAGGTGTACCCCAGATCTTCGTCCAACAAAACTTCAGGAGCAACCCTAACAAATAAATGCTCAGATGAGCTATCCAAGCAGGTATTCATTCCCAATCAAAACGTTGAGTATAACTTACCACCCTGTTGTACCGCACTGTGTAAATGCAGTATCGGTATCCAGCACCTTGCTGATGCCAAAATCGGCCACTTTAACTCGCCAGTCGTCATCCACCAAGAAGTTGTGAGACTGCAAAGATCAACAAGTCAGCTCACCAACGTAATGCAATGCGTAGTACCAGAAAAAAAACTTCTCACCTTGATGTCGCGATGGATGATTCGCTTCGAGTGTAAATATTGTATACCTCGCGCCGCATCAAGCATCATCCGGACTTTAAACTAGAAAAGTAACAATTCTTAGGACTCTCATGACTCGACCAAATTAATTCAGGAAAACCATACCTTCCAGGGAATTGTCTCGAAATTGTTGCTGTGAATTACTTCGAATAAACTGGGCAAATCAAAGAGATTGCAACTTTGTCAAACTGCGCACAACCACAGCAATTTACATCGGCAAAATGCGTACCTTTTGCGAGAACAATACTCCGTCAAAATCATCAGCTTAGGGTCCGTGCATGCACCGATAAATAACACAATATTCGGGTGTTTTAGCTTTCTCAGTAACGCCACTTCTCGTCTGTAATCACCAAGGATTTTGTCGGTCAATCGAGCGTAACGGAACGATTTCACTGCTACCTCAGCAGCGTTATTCCGATTCATCCAAAGTCCACGGTAAACAGTAGCGGCTTTTCCACAACCCAATTCGTTCTCTTTGCCGCTAAGGATGTGAATGCTTTCATATGGAATCTCCAAATATTGATTCTGAGACTCAAGAACTCGCGCTTGTTCCTGCAACGTCAATACATCTTCTTTCGCTAACTCCTCCGAAATTGATCGTGTCAAGGAGGCAGGCGAATCAGCGCGATCGACAACCATATGCTGGTTTGTTGGGGATGAAGAATCGATTTCGGTCATGGCGTTAGCAACACCTTCTTCAGCAACGTCTGTCATACGCACAACAGGCTTCAGGCCTTCACCAGCTTTCCGTCGAATTAAATAGTGAGTCACGGATAATATCTTCCTAAGCTCTGCTTCTCGCGCTTCCACTCCTCGCTGGACTTCGTGCCGTCGTTCAGCTGAAAGACTCACTGCTGCAGCACCCGAATTGATCTACAGCAGTAAAATGGTAGGAATGAAACAAGTACACGCAGCATTTGTTTCTTCAAACAAGATTGTACCTGTTCAAAAAGTTTTGCAAGAACAGAATTTTCGCCGTTGTCCTTGTCGTCAACGTGAATTTTGTCACCATGAGCAAGTCCAATGTCTTTTCGGATCCCTGCGTTTTCGTCCTCAAGCATGAGTGCTGTGGATAGTTGCGAATCTGTAAAACATGTCGATCAAACAGGTGTCAACTTTTGTTTCTATATACTAGAGACAACTGTCAGGCACACACCTTTAGCAAGATTCTCTGTTTGTCGAATCCAAACGATGCGCTGGCGATCTTTCGGGATTCCAATGTTTGACGCGATTTCCTGGCGAAGCACACCCACCGTAGCATCGAACGGTATTTCTAAGCATACGGGCGCTTGTGTATCACCTGACGCTTGAACACAAACCTTTAACAGAGGACGTTAGGAACAGTAACAAAGTATACGTGCATAATGAATAGTGGCACGCACGACTCGCAGCAGCATGCAATCATTGTCCACTGCCCGCCTGATACGCTCGCGAATCGCTTCTTCCGATATTTCCGACAGCGTGCTGGCAAAAAAGTGTACCTACAATCAAGGCAACATCATTGTAAGTCTACGCATCATAATCGTTGCTTCATTGTTAGCAATAACGTACGTGGTGGGGAAACACACGGTAAATCTCGCTGCCGTGGACATGTGCAGTCACAGCGCGCTGAAGCTTGGAGCTTGACGCAAAAGAATCTCGGCGCTGGGGTGATCGCTCGCCATTTGAGCTCGGCCCAAACCATAACTCAATTTCATCATCCGAAGTTCCTCCGCTCCAACTACTTTCCACGCCTTGCCATGTGACCAGTACGTACTTCGATACAATTCGCTCAGTTCCGCGATGCAACGGAACGTCCACTCGTAAGTAAATGTACATTGTACTTCCCTCCTCTAGCACCGAAGTAATTCCGCCGATCCCCTTTAAAGCATATAACCCTGTCTGTTGCATTATAAATAAAAGGTTAGGTTCACACGCGCTAGGAATGCGACAGCGCCTATGGATACCAGACATACCATGCCCCTTTCTACAACAATCATCCTTTGGGTCGAGCTCTCTAAATCCGAGTTATCGTAGCCACATACAGCCCAATTAAACGGGGAAGTATCCGACCGAATGTCCTGCACAGTAACTTTTACTTCTGGAGTGAACTCAATATCATTCGTTACAAATCGTCTTGACGAACTTCGTGGCCGCCGTCGAGGGGTCTGCATAAACACCGATCCATCCCTATCAAGCGAGAACAGTTTACACATCACATTAAGATTTAAGAAAGAGCAACAAGTGAGCAATCCAAGCCAGCTATTCATTCGTACATGAGCTCTTCCGGGTTGTGCAGCGTGACATGTGCAACTGCGCCCATATGTTTCTGCATGCAGAAGTGGAAAAGTCAGTCTCCATCCATCAGAATACGCTTAATTATCTCGTTACCCACTCACTCGAATGACATAGTTAAACTCTGCATACTTTGTACGAAGGTAGATCGGTAGATCTCGTCCCTTCCAACAAAACGACAGCACGTTAGTAGGTGCTGAGTTTTCGTCATAGCAATCGACGCTTGTAAGTCCGTAGCACAGCGACTTGGGCGAGAAAAGCTCCGTGGGCCACATGGACTGATCAGAGATGCTGCCATTTCCAGATGCAAGTACTTTCAGCGTATTCCTCTTCTCTCTTTGGTCCTACAGTCGGTAAAAAATGCAGCAAATGGGTCAAAAATACACGAAACAACGCCCCAAAAAGCAGCAAAAAGCAGCAATCACCAACCGCAAAAGAAAAAATGACCCACGTGGGCGAATTTTTCGTCTTGATATCACGCAGGAAAGTGTCTACTTGACTGAAGCGCAAGTCCTGTGCCTTGACGGTTCGCACGAACGTATGCGGCACTTCCATGCCGTTACGCTTCGTGTGGGTAAAGCACAGAATTCTGATTCTCGTGTGTGAGAGCTGCAATAGCCTCTCTCTCTTTTCTGTTATGTGTAGAGCGCTTTGCTTCGTATTGGGAACAAAAGAGTGAGCTGATCTGTCGTCGTCTTCTTTTGCTGTTCAAATTAATACGTAACACATGAAAGAGAGTGAGTTGAATTTCTGCAGAGTCATGTCTTTATTCTGACGAACCTTATTCGTGTATCGACTATTATTTACCTTGTAAAGTCAAGGCAAGAGAGCGTCGACGGCATGCGCTGCGACTGTACTGGCCGTTTTGCGACGTGCAGATCGTAGAGTCGCCTTTGTTGGGAAATGATTGGCTAATATTACGTATAGCATGTGGCGATTGGATGAAATACGGCGGTAATTAACCCCGGCAAAAGACAGTAATAGGCCAAGAAAATGGACTAGAAAAGACGGAGTGTCTGTCCACCAAGACGTCGAGGGGGGTCACAAGTGGTTGATGAATCTGTCGTACACATGCAAAGTACATGGACATTGTGCACATATGAATTTGCCATCGTTTAGTCACTAGAAATGTATACAATTGAGCTGTAGCATTCAGTGGAAAGCAGAGCAAGCGACAAGAAGAAGAAGAAGAAGCAACTACAAGTATAAGAAGAGGTCGCGCGCATCAGTACAAGTACTGTCAATGTAATAACAGTCTCCTGCTGCTGCTTGTTTTTTTCTTTATGTGTAATAAAGCTCAAGTCCCATGCCATCGTGAATCTCATAGTCTTCGAGCGTGATATGGTCCTTGTAAATCGTATACCACTTTTGAATACGAATCTTTTCAGGTCGCGTGCCCACCTGTGCTGCCACCAGCTTCTTTAAATCTCCCACTGTATCATCCTCATTGCACTTGACGCGGATCTTCTTGCCCAGTCGGTCGTTTAAGGTCACCTCGATCATCGTCGTCGCGATTCGCCTTCGCAATTACTAAAAGATGCTGATTGGTTTGAAATGAGACTTGGTCGTAGTTTTAATATCTTCCAATCAAAAGGACAGTCGACTTTTGAAAAAACATGGACGTGCGGATCTACTACAATCTACTCGATGATATCGCTCTGGACCTGTGCTTTGAGGTGCATGCCCAAATCTCACTGTACGGATGGAGTCTCGAGGAGATTTACGACGTGGAGCCCATTGAACGACAAATTGACACGACTGTCGTAGAGCAGGACAGTGTGTTTGTGAGCTGTCTCCAGTGCAAACGACAGGTAAGAGACGAATATTCTTGCATTGGATCGACCATAGAAATGCTGATAAGGACGTCCGTACTGTCTGCAGGTACATGCGTCAAGGTATACAAACCATTTGGAGAAATGCTTGACAGGCTCGCGACGGATGATAACACCAAAACAGCGACAAGACGCAGCTCGGGAGACAGAGCGAAAACAGTTGCAGATACTGAGCAAACCTCAGCTGTATAGGGCCGGTGCCCCGTAAACATACTATGTTGAGCCAATAGGACCTGCCAAACCGATAAGTTGGTTTGGCAGATCACTGTCGTCAAACTCAAGCCGGGCACTCGCTTCGTCGAGGCGATCCTCGTCTTCCTACCCTATTTTCTGCTTTTCATTCCCAATCAAATCGTAAGCTAGCCGCAGTTTCTTCGTAAGAAGCTGCTGCTCTTTTTCACATACCCCTTCTTGATAGTATTGGTCCTGACTTGCGCTCACTTCGAAGAGAAGTTCGAGTACCTTGTTGTTTAAAATGGGGTGCGTGAGGGAAAGCTTGATGCGCGTCACACACTCGCTACTCGGAATACACCGGTGGGTTGACGCATCTGAAGCTCACGACGTCAAGATGACTCAGGAGCTCGAAATCAATATGAACGTAAGCTCGTGGCTCGATATGAGGCGTATCCGAAAAACAAGACAACGATGCTAGTGAGACACATGATACCTAGAGTGAAAACTCACAGGCGAAAGAGTAAGACGAGATCGTGATGTATCGGCCGGAGTACTCGATTGCTACTGTAAGCATCTGCTTGTCTGCCAAGCAAATCGTTAGTATATATGAGCCGTAATGTTCAAACTATCCACACCGCTCAAGATCTCACGCAAAATCCCAATCATACCGCGATCGCAGCGATTCAGTAGCTAAGGACAGCATGTCCATCGACAAGTGCACCCGACTGCAAAAAGAACAAGCTCCTCAGACCAAACCGAAACTTGTACATGGCAGAGAGCTGCAACAGCAACGCTCGTAAGTACCTGGTATCGATTCCTCAAGGTCTTCATCCCAGCCCAGTCGTTACAATCCACACAGCAGTACTCGGATATGCTGACCCTAGGAATCTAGCAATTCTCCACACTGGACCAGCTACATCGTCCAAACAGCAACGATATCAGCGTACAGCGTGCAGAGCCGTAACAACACAACGCTGCTGCTATTCGCACGGCTGAACAAAGCGTTACAATGCTGCTCAAACATCCAAACTCGGTGCTATCGTGGACAAACAAAGCGCGAAAATCAACACGTGCAGACGCTTATACAGTTTGCTGCTGTCGACGCGACCAAAGCGCTTATCATGCACCACCACAATGGTTCAGAGCGCATGACCCCACTCATTTTTCTTGCTCATTTAGTCACTAACCTCGCTGTAGGCGTCTCGATTTGTCATGACCGTCTCCAGGTCGCTTCAGTGTGACCAATGACGTCCACCCAGACGCTCACACCACTGCAGTCTGTCGTTTGTGCTTAATGCACCGGAATTTGACTCTTTTAGCTTAGCCTCGAGATCGAACTAATGAATCAGCAGATGGAAAACCCACAGGATTTGAGATCTACAGTTGAATGCACGGGTACGAAGCGGAAAAATGAGCTTTTTCTCGATGATCGATCGATGTTGTTTCGAAACGACCGACAGGAAAATAATTCATCGACATGACAATTTGTTTTTTTGATATTTAGAGATTAACGTCACGACAACTCATCACCGTTTCATAAAAATAGGACTGTCTATTTAAACGACTCAAAACGTTTCATCGCATTTCGATGCATAAGCATGATCTGCGAAAAGTTTACATCATCAGCACGACTACGTCATGCAGGTTCAAGTGCAAAGCCGGTACTGCTACTTCCGGTTCTACCAGAATTGACTTCGAATCAGATTCTTAAGGTTTAATGTAAAGTAGGTTACGATTTTTTGGATAAGGTCTACCTGCCAGTAATGTAGCTTATTGGTTTTGTCGCTCGTAGTGCAATTTCCGGAACAATTATTACAGCTGAAGCCATTCTCTTGGGTTTAGGCGACGCGATTGCTATGATAGTGACTACGTTTCCGTACGTTTCCGGGGCGTACCATCTGGTCAGCATTCATTTACTTGAGAAATGTATGCTTTTAATAATGGCACCACATTTATCCTGTCTACGTAATCTGAACCGTTACTCAACTTTTGCTCGCGCCGAAAAGACTCGACAAGAGTAACAGGTACTTGCAAAACCAACGCATCAGAGAAAGTATCAACGGCATAACCTCAAAATAACATTGTCCCCTGACGAAAATACTCTTGCCATCTCACTCACATCTTGATTATCACCTGCAAACGTTGCATATCAAAGTCAAAAAAACCATCTCTTGCATTGAGCAACAAGTTTATCAAAAAGGACGTCCGAGAAAGTGCACACACATTGTCTAGATTGATTATCTCAGTTGCACAAGAGCGTTGCTTCAAGAAGACCTTACACTCAGCTCAGCCTTGACCCTAGTGAGAAAGGGTCCTACCTTCGAATCGAGTCATGGACCTTGCTATTCGTGTAAATGTACGCTATGCCGCTCCTGTTAATTCCCAGATCAAGGATGCTCTGCTGCTATTCAAGAGCGCGCGCTGGGTCCACTCTATCATCCGGTGCATTATCCCACAACTTAATAGCGTGTCACCTGCCGCCATGCACCTCATGGAGACGCTGAAGAGCCATCCCGTCGACGTACGGGAGCAGCAAGAGGAAGAATGCACGGTCTGCGTCGTGTGTATGGAGGCGCTTTCGTCCCCATGTGCCGAGCTACCCACGTGCTGCCACCAGTTCCACGAACATTGCATCGAGCCGTGGCTTAAAATGCACAGCACGTGCCCGACGTGCCGACACCAGCTCCCTATCGACACGTACACAAGCTACAGTGTCTACGCCATCAACACCACCATCGTGTTACAGCAGTCCCAGTCCAGTATACCAGCTGCAGAATTGTTGGAGCTGTCGGCTAGTAACCAGGTGATTCGAGCCATTGTAAACGCGCGAGTGAGGAGAAATGCAGCCTCAACCAGAGTGGCCACAACTGGCTCCCAGTCAAATGACGCACCGGTTTTCCAGATGGAGCCCCCAGTCATGAACGCGAGCGTATTGCATCGTGGCTCCGACGTATCTGCAGCATTACCGCCTTGTATCACTGAACCCATGGTACCAGTGATGCATCGGAATGCCTCTCGGCGTCGTTCTCGAGAGCGGGAAAGTACTCAGACGATCAACAAGCGACGACGACTGAGCGATTCTACCGAGGACATTTCGACGTCGTGACTTTTGACCTTCGCTTCATCTGCACACACACATGAGCACTTTAACTAGATAAACATCGATATTTAGCAGAGATCACGGTCCTGTTCGTGACGGCGTGCCGTGGGCGCACAGTGCAGACGTGCTTGCTGTTCGTACAGTTGGCGTTACCCTCTTTGTAGCAAGTAGCTTGCCGTAGCTGCTATTATTGAGACGCTTATTTAATGAAAAAACAGGAACATGGATCCTCACGTTCGTTTTTAGATCTTCAATCAAGCTTGCAAATACCAGCGTAAGCAGGTAGCCGCTGCTACACTTCTTCATGGACCAGGACGCATAATCACCGAGATAACAACTCCGGTGTTAGAATCGACCGTATCGATAACACTCGCATGAGCTCAAATAGATCAGCTGTTGACTCGGCCTTTGCGTCAGGGGGTGTTCCACAATCCAGTCAGCGATGTGATTAAATGGCGTGATAAGGCTTGCGATGGTAGCCGGTAAGCGGCACGGGTGGTTCTTCTTATCTTGAAAGTGGCTCGCAATGAACATCACCACACAGACGACATGCAGCAGCATCACATAGCGGTCGTCTTCACCTCGATTTTCTGCTGTAAGGTTCTTGTCGGCCATTAACCGGGAGCCACTGGCACACGCAACAGGCAGTAGGAACGTTAATGCACGAAACCACTCAGAAGCGTTTGGTACACCTGACGTCTGCGACGCCCCGGTGCTTTCGTTTCCGCCACGAATTAGAATGAGATTGATCAAAATACCAAGGCATAGCGTCAGAGTTGACACGTTGGCAAATTCAGTATTTCCATCGGCAATGTCAGCACATATAATGCAGCAAAACTGCATCAAACGCCGCAGAACATCAACATTTTCCGACATGATGGAGGCGCCATCTGGCAACGCACTGAGCTGAAGTAAGCCTGGTAGCAGGAAGTGCAGTTGGTCGATACTACTGTCTGTCTTGTGGATTACGGCAGCGTTCTGCATCATTTGAGAAACAGCATCCACTTCATCGTCCGAGTCGATCTCGTCGTCTGAATCGACAAACTGATTGCTGCCAGATTGTAAAGGCTGGGCTCCATCTTCTGCGACCCAGGCCAGCAATGGTTTGTAGCACACCATGAACGGAACCAACTGAATCACCATATCCACACTTGTATCGGAATCCTCAGCGATCCAAGCACTCACAACACGCACACTAGCGCAGATTACAGCATCCAGATGATAAACCGATTCTGCGTGCGACTCACGGAGCTCACGATAGCGATGAGTTTGAACGTAGTCGCGAACCAGCGTTAGCAACTCGAGTACCACCACGAATATCTGATTAAAAGCACCCTTCATCTCCAGCAGGATGTCGTAAGGAAGCACGAGCTCGCTCTCGTAGTTAGAAACTAGACCGCTGATAACCATTTCCACGACGCCGTAGCAAATGGGCAATATTGCGAGTACGCGTTCAATCTCCTTTGTACGTCTCTTCGCCTCCTCGACATTCTCTACCTTGGTCTCATCGATTTGAACTAGCGAGAGCTCTACCTCATCCAGCATGATCTTAATCTGCATGAAGTCAAGCAATATACGCTTCAGAAAACAACTTAGTCAACAAGCAAAGATGCAACGAATACGCACCTCAATAGACACAAGTTTCAGTAGGAACAGAATAAATTTGCCACCGGACACTTCCTCAGGTGGAGCTTGGCTGCGAAGGGTAGTGCCCGGAAGCATCCACGCTGTACCCGAGTGCTGCATTAGCTGGAAGATAAGTCGCAAGCATTTGTTTCGTTCCTGATGGGGCCACTTTGTGCGTAGAAAACGTAGTACACCTGTCCGAATATCAGACAGGCACCGGGAGCTGAGAAGCTCCATCGAGGCGTCGCCAATCTCGATCAACCTCATGTAGCTGTTCAAGATAGACAGCACTTGAATAGCAGTGTCCCCCCGTACATGAGAAAAGTTGGAGCATATAAACTCAAAGTCATAGCTGGGAATACGCGCCCAAAGTTGAGGCTTACTAGCCATTCCATCGACAACCTCCCAAAGCTTTTCCAAAAGCGCGTCTAATTGCTCTTCGTGCTCTGCTGACTTGCACTCTGCAATTAGGTCTTGATTTGAGCGCAACCGGCTCAGCTTCTTCATCGTACTAAAAAGACGTCCAAGAACGCTCTCGTGGATCATGACCTAAGCAAGAGCACAGGGAGACCTTTTAGGCACCACTCACATGCAGAGCTTCTAATTAATGATCGGACAGTCGCACCTTTTGGCCCTTTTCAGTCTGCCCAATGCCTGTTAGAATACGAACACAGTCCAAAGAAGAGTCATACGGCATCGACTGCGACACCAGCTGCTCCAAAAGAAATCGCACAAGCTTTTCCTGTGCAAATTGTGTAGCCACACTCGGATCCGCGCAGAAGCTACCAATTGTTCAATACACATCGCAGCACATTAGTCAGCACCGTCGAGCGATACATCGACAATAATTTGAATCAAATTGCACGGTACCTCGCTATTAAATTCATCCCAAGGCTCTGAAAGGATGAGAGCGTCTCAACGTCATCGGGGCCTGCAACACCAAAAAAAAGAGGTGATAACGCCATAATTAGGTGAAGACGAGCACTCTCAGCGTCGTGTCATTAATATCAGATATTATATAAACTGTAGACATACCTCTAGTGTACAAGAGGCGCATACAAAAGCTCACACCGACGGTCGCGAGCACTTCTCGTCGAACCTGATGAGACTGCTCGGCGGGCAGGTCTCCCAGCTTTGTGATCATGAGCAGACCGGCAAACTTGTGCTCATCCGTTTTACCTGCAAGCATCTGTAAGCACTGCGCGATCTTTTCCTCAACTGCTGCAGTGTCATTGACTGCCATGGGCACGCTTACGCCTGTAATCTCTGCTGTCATTTCCGTGGGCTTTTAGGTCACTGCAATAATGATGTGACCGACATAACGTATTTGTTAAAATAAAATTTATTGTTGAAAAATAGACAGCTTTAGTGCAAAATGTCCGTCGACTTTTCAATTATTACATAAAGTCCTCTTCGTAAGCGTTGACACTGCTGAGATCCGCGGCAGCTGTCAGCTTCTCACCTGCGTCGATATTGTCTCTCAACATCAAAGACCTGAAGTTCAAAAATAACATGGTGTGAAGGTCAGATCAGTTGAGTGCTAGATTATGCCAGCGTTTGAAATCGTACGAGTAGCTGCGTAGCTCCTTCTGCTGCTTGAACCTCTGTTTTGCTTTGCGCTGCTCCACTTCCAGCTGCAGACGCTGCTTTTTGCGCTCTGCCTTGTACAGTAGCTCACGCTGCCAACGCTCTTCTGTTCAGTGCGAGAGTGTTATAAAGACGGATTAAATGCACCCTCTATACATCCCAATACAGCGACACCTTCCAAGTCAGGATACAACTCCTGCTTCGTTTTGTTGAGCCGCTTGACAATATCCTTGTTCTTCTCTTCGACTTTATAATACCGAACCTACAATGAACGCCGTCGTATTGTCAGGATACGTGCGCATATAATGCTTCTATATAGAAGTCACTAGAATCACCAACACTTACTCGCTCAGGGTGGTTGAAGCCTACTTGACCAACCTCCATTGAGGGCGTCTTCTTCAGATTCCGCCATCTTGTGTAGCACTATGCGTCAAATTACAATAACACCATTACAATAAACAGATTAGAGTGGTACATTCCACAAGGCCACAAGCAATACTGCTTCGTACAACACTGATGCTCTTTTTCTTGTTTCCTTCAATCGAGTTTTCCTACAATGCTGAAGTGAGCGATGACCACTTTTGGTAGCACCAAAATTTGCATCCGACACACCTTGACCAGCTGAGCGCATTCCTCTAGACACGTCTCGGAAACATCGTCCACTTTGGTTTGGCCCTGGCTCACAAACAAACGGAGACATTGAGCAACGATGCAAAACTATACATAATGCGACTCCATTCCTGACTGACCAATGGAAGCCGAAGGTAGACATGTGCAGACGACAAGTCGTTGACATGGAACCTGTCGTTGAATTTATTAAAAAAAAAGTGCCGGGGCATTTATAATGATACAATTCGCAAAGCCTGCTCACCAAATATCCTCGAGGAAGCCGTAACGAATGAGGTCCTCGTTCTCGAACTTGTCTTTGCCCATATAAATAGTATGTCCCTCTATGCAAAGATTTTGTGCGTGACATTATCAGAAAAATCAAAGAAAGAAGTGCTCTTCCTCACCAGAAGACGTGAAGTAGAACACCATATCGTTGTCACACTCAATTTGTCGTTTATGATGCAGCTGCTATTTCAGCCAATCATGCAATTTACTAGAAGTAGCCGTTATAAGTGACTGAAAAGTATCCAAAAATCTTACATGCTATGCGTTTTAAATTACATCAAATTGCATCTGATCTCGATTGACGATTTTGATATACAGTAGAACCTGTCTAAGCTAATGTCCTCAAACCCGATAGATTTTATCAGCTAACAAAGGCTATCAATTAAGCCAGCGCTACACCAACTATATGGACTTTCTCGGGACTGAAGATTGTTTGCAGCTTATACAGGTTATCAGTTAAGGCAGTATCATTAGTTCTACTGTAACCTGAAACACGTCCCTATGCATCAATCTTTAATCTGGTCAACAATTCGAGTGTGGGATGACTCGCCAAGTGCAAGCGGCTGGCGAGGTCTGACGTCGAGCGTTTTACCGTCGCAATGCGTCTTTCTCTAGCCGAGGATAGGGAATACTAATTTGTAATTCTTGATATCATATGAGACATTATATATATATATATGAGGTCTGCGGAATAATCGGGTCGAGCTTGACCGCATAATCTCGTGTGGTTTGCGGAATACTGCTGTTTCCTGTGATTTGCTGCCAAGGTACCGTAGCGAAACATTTTCTATTTTACCACCCGACAAGAAGACTCCCTCATTTGATCGCCTTTATGAAGTGTGTGTTGATTGCGTTTGCCGCTGCCCTGGCATTGATTGAGGCTGCAAAAGACGACCCCGCGTACTTTTGCGACTCGGACTCGTACTGTGCTAAGAAGTTTCCGGGTACAGTTTGTATCTCGGTTAATAACTACGGCGATGTCGTGTCCAAGTGCACACCCAACACTGCAAAGCGTCCAGCCTGCCGTGGCGCCCAGCCCGGTCTATGTCCATCATTTCAGAGTGCCGACATTGGCTACCTGAATGCACACTGTGTGTTCGTATCGAAGGAGAATCTCGATTTACCCTCGAGTGGCTCGGACTTGGGTCGTCGTCGCCTTATGAGCTTAGCTACAGACCCCTCTTCAGGGTCGACCAGCAACAAAAAGACGGTGGATGAAACCGCGTCATCAAGTGCAAAGGATCCCGTCTCGTCGACCGCCACCGACGACGAGGATGAGGACAAGAAGGGCACCTCGACTACTAGCAAAGCTAGTGCTATGTTCTCCGCTACGGTTGGCGGAGAGGCAGTGAGCGGCCAATTTATCTGCTTGGACGTTTCTGACTGCCCCAACAAGGCTGCCGATCCCAGTACGTGCGAACCGAAGGAGTGTCAGGCACCTAACTCAAAGGAGGTATGCACTTACCACGGCACTTGCACATACAAGAACAAGGAGAAGATCACGAAACGTTCCTGCGCGTGCTACGCTGGATTTGAGGGTGAAAAGTGCGAGAAGGAGGTTTCGAACGCGTGTGATGTTGACTGTGGCACGGGCGGTGACTGCGTGAATGGTGAATGCGTATGCAAGGCAGGGTTCAACGGTAAAGATTACAAGGGCAAGAAGGGCAAGCCGAACCAGCGCTGCACTCTCTGCACGAATGACCTTGCGTGCCAAAATGGAAACACTTGCAACACTGAGACTGGCAAGTGCATCTGTGGCCCTGGATTTACCGGAGACACGTGCGGTGCGACTGAGGATTCATGTACAACCCGTACGGACTGTGGTATTGGCGCTTGCCAGGTCTTGGCCAACGGATCGTCAGCCTGCTTTTGTCCCACGTGCAGTCCGTCGTGCTCGCTTTGCGACGTGGGCATCGATGCCACCTTTGATTGTTCGACATGTGCGACCGATGACGCTACGTTTATGCAGTCTTCCAAGCTGCTTGTGTTCATCTCGACGCTTGTCGTGATCATGCTTGCCAATTTGGCTTTGTAATAGAAAACTCACTCAACTAGCAGTACCAACCCGCCATAGCATCTGCTTTGCAGAAGTTGCTGCATGGCGCACTAATCACGAAAAATGGACCTTTACATACTTGTTTTTTTCGTCCAAGTACATGGATAAATGCTTTATCCTTCCCGAGTTGTACTATGTGCGGTCTTGCGTAGGAGTGTGATGGCAAGCGATTATCATTTTTGAACGGGCTAAAGCTACGAAAAAGCTACCCCGGCACGGCCTGTATTTCAGGGTACAAAACAAAGCCGAAGTGTCCGATATCTTCTTCTGGAAGCGCGGGTTGTGTTCTTTTCCTCCGATCAGCATATCCTTAACCAAGAATTGGAGTTCTCTTTTTTAAAGCAAAACGTACCCAAGTATGGTGCATGAAGTTCCCAAATTTACGAGTAGAGGCATTGACCGTGCATCAAACTCCTTCTCCTGTCGTCATACAAAATGGAAGACGAAGAACGACACGTACAGTCAATGCCACACCAACATCTAGACAGAGATCCGTCGCGGTACGAAGTTTAGAGAGTTTTCTCCTGGAATTTATTTGTAAAAACGGATCTTCCCATTCTATTTGGTCCTTCTCTAGCTTGACAACGTTCCCAATGCCCGGATTCTTGGCCTCTACATTCCAGGTGAGCCTTTGATTTATATGGTGATGATACTCTTGCTGTAAAGACAGCAAGTTATTAGTTGCTGCAGCAATAATTCACAATATTTGGTGCTTTTTTGGGGTCACAATTGGGTTAAAAGGCATCGAATGATGATGCGGAGAATGGGGACGATGCTCAAACTGTTGCTGGTATATTGCAATCGATTCAGTTTTGTTTATTATCATGACAAACTTATAAACGTAATCTGGTATTGCTTAGCGTCTCCAGTCAAGATACGTCCTCCTCCTATGTCAACTGGCAATCAGTATTGGATGCCGGACCACCTCTGCAAGGTGAGACTGTTTGAGAGTAACAACTGCTACTTATTATGGTATGTTTGAACTTGATTTGATGGTTTCTCGCTTGTGTCTACACAGGTATGCTATGACTGCTCTGCAGCATTCTCTCTCTTCCGACGTCGTCACCATTGCCGACTGTGCGGGCAAATCTTTTGTCACGAGTGCAGCAACCACTTTATTGATGGTACACCTCACAGGTTTCCAGGTATCGTTCGAGTGTGTAAGTTCTGCTTCCAATTTGCAGACGCAGCTGGTGGGAAGAAGAAGATAGATGAAAACGAACAAAGACTTTACTCGAGCGAAAGTTTGGATGGAAATGAGACGTCGAGAAATTCTTTGTCTGGTCGGTTTGACCGTTTGTCATGACGGTTGAGTGGGGAAGTTGGCTCTGCAAAGCCGTCGCCTCTTATACTTGGCCCATCGGCTGATCCGATCGAGGAACCGATGTTGTCATTGTCACCTATCGACTCAAACATAAGTGATGTTACAGACTTGGATCAACTGACGGACGTAGCATGCCTTACAACCGAGCCTATCGATTTATGTGAGGAATCTGATAACGTCGATACTCGCCGGAATTTCCGCCCACAAGTACGAACTAGAATACGACATTCTAGCGCAGAATTGCTGGGTGCAATCGAAAATGGTAGACTGGACACAGAAGTGTTGGCTTTTCACAATTGGGTAAAGAATGTTTCGGCTGACAACGAGGTCTCAACTGTTTCGAAAAAGACGGCGAGGGAAATCAATACCCGTAACGGTAATAACCTTTACACACAGCGAGACATCGCGTTAGATAAACATATGGTAAGGAAGCGAAAAATTGATGACAGTAACCATTGCTGATGACTATCTTGACGTTTGCAATGTAGCAAAGGGCTCACAAGCAAATTCGTGACGGCATTCAGCATTTTGCATCATCCGTCGCGAATAGTTTGCCAGAGTCTGAATTCATTGGTCTGGATTATTTGGTGAAAACCTTGGAAGACATTGCATTTGTTGTGACGGGACATTTGCTTTTCAGTATGAATTTTCGCACTATTAGTGGTTTCAACTACGCACATCTCGTGAAAGTGAAAAGCATTGCAGTCGGAGCGACTGTGCAGACAAACAAGAAGGAGCCGAGCTACAGTTTCAAATGGCTCGCTGGCACTGTGTGTCGCAAGCACTTAAGCCACAAGCAAATGGCGCGCCAAGTCGAAAACCCTCGTATCTTGCTGTTTGCTTGTGGAATAAGTACCGATCGCTCGAATGGCATTGGGCGAATGAGCTCATTAGACTCGTTGATGGAGCAAGAAAAAAATTACATGGCCATTTTGGTAGAAAAGATATCGGCATTAGAGCCCGATGTGATTTTTGTGGAAAAAACTGTGTCAAGGCATGCTCAAGAGCTGTTATGTGAACGCTGGGTATCGATCGTGCTTAATGTCAAGAGTGAATTATTACACCGAATTGCTCGCCATACTGGAGCTGAGGTCTTAACATCCGTAGATCATGTGGATAAAGCGGATCCTGCACAAGTCATCGGCAGCTGCCGTTCATTCACGGAGAGGTCGATCCCTGTAGTTCCGGAACCGGGGTTGTTACCAACGAAAAAAAATCATCGCAGGCACCTGCAGGTGTGTTCCTGAAAGCACCTGCGATTCCAAGCCGTTTGCGAACGGACACTTACCTGTACTTAGACGGATGTGATCCGCTAAACGGTTGCACAGTGTTAATTACTGGGCCATCAAAGCAGACATTACGTCTACTAAAGCAGCTGACCCGAGCCGTGCTATCGATGACATATCAATTGCTTTTAGAGGCTCACGTTCTATCCGATCTTAACTTGAACAATGATATGTCATTCAGCAAAAATGCAGCGCTTACTGATGAGCAACGTACTACCTGGTGTACAACATCCACTTTACGTGTTCGTGATCCTGGATCTCTGAACCCTCATTACCATCAATGTGCCGAAGCCAAGCGTCTTCGCATTACTGCCTGCTCGGATGACGATGTATCGTTTGGCAACTTTCTTAACCAAGAATTGGCAGCCCTCTCCCTAAAATGCAAACGTAATTGTGTTGGCGATATATTCATACGTTTACGCTTGAGCGACTGACTGTAACTTGTGATTTGTTATGCTGATACGTTCTTGTAGAGTGTCAAATGCAACTATTTAATGGCAGATCACGTCCATTCGTTTAGTTGCCGGATGGGAACGATAACAATTTCATTCGAAGAACTGCCGGACCAAAACAAACAGCCGTTATCGTTGTCAGTAAGTAATGTGAGCGACGTTGGGGGCACGGATAAATCGTTCTGCTCGATGAGCGAGCTCTCACTAACAATGCGTTTCGAAAGAAACACCAACATGCGTGCGATAATGACGCCAGAATCCGTTCTTCATACATCCGGGAATGATGACGAAACTGTGATATCGGTGGAGAACGGATATCCTACAGTGATATTTTGGCGATGGTGTCGTGGATGTAATGGTGTGATTACACCTTTTATGCCGTTGGAAAAGTACATTTACAAGTACTCGTTTGCCAGATTCTTGGAAGTCCTCTTTTCGGAAGCAGAACGATCTGTGCTACCGAATTCATCAAGCACAACGTGTACGCACGTCTCGATGGAGTCACACGTGCTTTTCTTGAATATTGGTAAGTCCGTGGCACGCTTTGATTTCTCAAAGCAGGTCTCGCTTCGTCTTAGCCATTCAGAGTTGAAGCGCAGCAATGACCATCGTCAGTTATGTATCAAAATGGAGCAGGCGGTTTTGAAGAAGGAAGTTACGGCTCGTCTTGAAATCTTAAAAGGGCTCCTGAGGTCACTTATTAGTACTTTTACGGAGAAAGTCCAGGGAATCAATCAGGCAGTGGAAGCTTTTGAACGTACGGATAAGGGTTACCACGCTCGTATCATCCTTGAAGTCATGTGCATTTCTAAAATGGTAAAAAGCGGTGACGCCATTTTTTCCCACCAAATGGCGCGAATTGGTGAGAAACCAGTGGACAGTTTGGAACTTTGTGATATTACTCATGCGCTGGGAATATGTGATGTTACTCAGCGTGCTTTGTACTTACTAGCATGCAAATGGGTTGCCTGCATGCTGCGCCTTCGCAAGTTGATTAAGAAACATCTTTCGACGGATACGGCTCCACCATCTCCAAATAGTGGGTCTTTTACTCTTCGAGGCATTAAGTTTCATCCTGCTATTTCTTTGTCGCCCATTACATCTTCACGGGTCGTAGAAGAATCAGCCCTGGCGCCAAGCATCATTGCGACAGAGTCCGACTGGAGTAAAGATACTGAGCAACTGCCTCGACACCGAAGTAATGGAGCTTTGAGTTCTGAGTCCGAATCGAGCACGGAAAAGGTGCTGGCATCTTCAACAACTATTGCTAGCATTGAATTATTCAAGAGACCATCATTACCATTCCCTGTCGTTGTCAACAGTAATGGAGATGGAAAAGAGGTGCGTAGTAGGTATTTAAAGTTGACATGGCCATCTTTGTCATATTTTCTGTCGTGTTATTTTTCTGTAGGGCCCGCGGAATGGATGGAAGGAAGCTTTGTGGGACCTTTACCGCATTCTCGGACGAAGTGAACCAGGAAATGACTTCACGATTGACCTTCCTGAAGCACTGACTGCTGGCCACCCGAGTCTTCATCATCGTTCAAAATCTCGAGTGGTCCTGGTTGACGAGGCAAAACCAATTACAAGCGTTGCTTACGCCTTATCGACAGATTCGTATGAAGAAGAGATGGACGGATGGAAACTACGTGTTCATAACGAAGCAGTCGAGTCAGTTGGTTTGCAAAAGCAAAAACGGGACGATGCAAGCGCGATGTCCACAAACTGGTCTCGTGCCGCTCTCGAATCATCATTGAACGTGCCGTTTAAATTTGTGACAGTGGAAATGCCGCTGCACTTATCACTCCTTTCAGGCAAATCAGCGTCAATGTTGTCCAACACGTGCTGGGAGCTATCAACCGTTGCGTACTTCCCGCTCCAGGTAAGTTCATAGCAAAATCAACTGTGTGTTTGCTGTGACAACTGACTTGACAACGTTGATGTTCGTGCTTAGTTTGAGGTCTTGCGCGAACTATTCTATGGTAGTCTTCAGAGATACGTGTTTTCAATATCTCATGTGGCAAGCTGGGACGCAAATGGTGGTAAATCGGGTGCCTCGTTTTACCGAACGTTAGATGACCGCTTTGTTGTTAAACACATTTCATCGACTGAAATGCAGGTGCGTATGTATACCTTGATCAGATTGGCCGGATAAACAAATGCTAACTAGATGGTGCTACGTGTTTGGTAGAGCTTCCTGGGCTGTCTTCCTGGGTACTTCAAATATATGGCAAGCATTTACTTTGACGGCCGGGCAAGCATATTGTCAAAGACCGTTGGGCTCTACCAGACAACCACAACCCGAAAAGATACTGGGCAGAAGATGGTACACTACATCTGCGTCATGGAAAACGTGTTCTACCAAAAGCAGCTTACACGAACCTATGATCTCAAAGGAAATTTTCGGAACCGATTTATTGGACCACAATCGACCTCAGAAGTTCTTCAAAATGGCAACCGTGTTCTTCTTGATGGTAACTTCTTAGAGTTCACCAAAGGTCATCCTTTGGGCATACTCGCAGAGGATCATCGTTTGATACTAAAAGCGGTGAAGAATGATACTGCATTTCTCTGCTCTATCAACATCGTGGACTACTCGATGGTTGTGGGGCTAAGCTATCCACATGACGATACTGGAGACCAGATGGAGAGCCCGTCGGAAATGACTGTTGGTATCGTTGACTACCTACGTCAATTTGATTTAATAAAGCGTGTGGAGAGTGTTGGCAAGTCTGTCGGTATGATTGCTGGACAATCTTCTCCCACAATCATTGAACCAGGTCTTTATGGAAAACGATTTCAAGACGCCATACGCCGGTACTTTATGCCCGTAACTCCAATCTCGTCCGGCACCAATGACGATATCGAAGACTAAGCTACGATAGGATATGTGGACTGCCAAGTGAAGATGTCGAAAGAGAGGCAAGTGTTTGGCTGGTCGTGTCGATAAAATGTTCAATCGGCACAATCAGCGGCAAAGCGGGAACTGAGCTGCATACCGCATGCAGTTTTGCGAATTCCTTTGTCACGAAGTTTACACTGCGAAAACACGTCTATGGTGTGATCTACGAAGAACGTGCAATTGCGCCTGTTGAATTCATGGGTGACTTGCATTAGGAAGGCGAAGGCTGGACCATTAAGGTTGAGGTATGTATCAACTAGACACGTAAGTAGGTAAGACAGTATCACTTCTTGGCATTAGTTCGCACTTAAGGAAAGTTATCATTAGTTAAGGAGTATTATTATAAGAAGGTCTACTATAATCATAATGTAGAAAGTAGCATCTAGTAAGTCAATCAGAATAGAAGAATGCCTTATATCTTGGTCTTAGTATGATGTCACATACAACCAATCAATTCATTTACGAATAGATAATTCTTGTCATTTCTTCTTTCTGAATTCTCAGCTGAAAACAAAATGCTTTTGTTAAACTGCGCGATTGTTGGCATAGGCGGAAGCGCAATTTCTATCATTATTGAAGAGTGGAAGACAGTGGCTCTCTTAAAAGAAGATATCAAGGCAAAAAATGAAGACATTCAAGTTCCTGCGCGTAACCTGCGTCTCTTCGCGACGAAGAAGGACGGCGCCTGGCTGTCCTCTGCCACGGAAGATGTAAAGCAACTTAAGGAGGGCATGATGACTCCTCTTCTCGAAGAGTTAACGGAAAAGGACCAAGAGCTGCAGGGGGAAGATTCGATTGCTGACATTTTCCTTGAAAACGTAAGCACACCAAAAGCAAAAGAAATTCACGTGCTGGTGGTGGGGGCAGGGGGATTATGTCGAATTACGCATCGAAGAGGCCATAAACGTTGTTCAGTACACGGACGAGCTGACGCACTACCAGCAACGAGGGGAGCTGATCCAGCGCAATTGTAATGACTATTGCCAGAAGATTTTAAACAAAATCGACGCACTCTATACCCTCTTCGACAAGTCAGCGCTGCCGTTCATTTGTGTGGAAGGATCATCTGGCATGGGGAAGTCGCAGCTGGCGTTTGCGTTGGGAGGTAGCCGCCCATATTTTTACTGGCCTGCTACTCCCCTTGGAAAATCTTGTCAGAGCTTGTATGGAAATTTTTCGTCAATGTCAATAGCGTTCCGTAAAGTGACAAACATGGATGACCCAATGGAAAGTATTTTAAAGACGGACATTCTGGACTCCAGCTCAGATTTTTACGATACAGCGAGTCTGTGGACCTTTGGATTCATTCGTGCGTTGCTGCAGTTTAGTAGTAAAGAGCAAAATCAGCAAGGAAAAATGATACGTTTTCATACGAAAACATCATTGTACGTAAAAAAGTGCAATCGTGAGACAGTCGTCGCATTTCGCGAAAAGATGATAGAAGAAGGAAAGTTCTTACCTTTCTTTGTGCTGGATGAAATGATGCCTAACATGCACTTTGGTGGCAATGGGAAGAACCTGGCGGCATTCCAACGCAATGTTTTTCGTGTGTGTGGCCTGGTCGTGGTTGTAATGGGGACGAACGCTAAGATCACCAATTTGGTTGGTCAGTCAAGTGGAAGCTATTATGGAAGGCATGCATGGATGACGATTATCTCTCGATTCCCTCCATATCAACCAATTCCGTTTGCAGATGCTGATAAAGAAACAGCTTGGAATCGCATCCAAGCTAAGTATCCCGTTTTGAAAAGTATTGTGGCCAATTCTCGCGGGCGTTTTGCCCGATATTTCGCCGACAGCGCGGCGCAATATGCATTAGAAAATTCTGCAAATGGTATCGAACTCTGCGATTTGCTGGACGTGGCATTTGATTACGTAAGCTCGGAGACACAGAGTGGAAAGCAATTTATGGAAGAACAGAACGGAAAGGATGCGCAGCTGATAGCGATATCGTACACTAATGTTGACAGTGATGGCTCGTCTCCATCTTCACTAAAGAAAAGGAAAATTACTCCTGTTGTTGGGGTCCACTGCATGCATCTACACTTCGCCAACCTAGTGGATCCTCAGGCAACTGAAGTGGATATAGTAAATCGCCAACTCCAGGTTAATCGCAAGTTGTGGATACCGTTGAGTCGCTTCCCGGAGATCAATGAGGACATGCTGCTTTATCTTGCGATATTGGGTGGAAAGACTTACTCCGGTTACTATGATCGTCACATGTCTATCGGCTACTCAACATTAGCCATCTTTTCCATGTACTTGAAAGGACACGGGTTCACGTCAGGAGAAAACACCGACGCGATCAGCAATGATTATAAGACGTACGAGAACATGGTCGCTCATATGATTTTCTGTGCATCACGGCGAAATGGAGTGCAAGGAATTCCTTTTGATGAATTTTTCGCTGGGTTGCTGAGCGAATGTCAAGACGAAAAAATACGGCCAGTGACGATGACCATTGGTAATACGAAGCAAACGATTGTTGCTAGCGATTTGTTGGACAAATACGCTGATCTGGCAGCTTTGTCTCACTCGAAAATACCTTTCTTGGCTCCACCGAATGCTAGTTGGCCGCAATGTATCTTAGATACTCGCGCCAAGGGCTGTAACTTCGGTCATCTCGTTCGTGCTAAGAATGTTGAAAGGTGTGACATTTACGTACGCAACATGGAGGATCCGACTGGACCGCCACTTTTTTTCTGTGAGTGCAAGTATCGGGACAGCAATGTGGGCTCTGATGTGATGAAGACGATCATTGATGGGCTAGAGAAAGTTTGGAAGAAGAAGTGGGCAATCTTATTGGTTTTCTGCGTGAAATTAGCAAGCTTTGAAACCGAGTGGGACCACAAACAAGTCGGCTGCGTCAAGGTTAATTGCCGAAGTGGCCGTGTCGATTGGGTTGTCCAGCCGGCGGAAGAAAAAGATCGAAAGAAGCTGGTCATCGTTATGGAAACGGGGCCTTTGACGGTAGGAGTGGCTAGCAAAACTTGATTGAGCCAGTCCATTGCCTTGCGAATCTCTGCATTGCGTCGCAAGCACAACAACTTTGTGCACCTCTTCTTGCATGTCAACTTTTCTTACGTCAGTGGCACTCATCGCATCCCCAGATTGTCCAAAGAGATTTAGCGGCTTGTAACTGTCTAATATTTCTTTTGGATTCGTTGTTTTATCTCACTCTTACACTCTTTTTACATGGTGATACCAAAAAATTGCCCTCGATATATTTTACCATGCATGACAGTATGACTAGTCGTCGGGATTTCATTGCCTCTTGTAGCTGTTGCGTAATGACCATAACTTGGTTACTTCTCGCCGTGCATTGCAAGTCCAACGAAAATCGATGCAGTGTTACGCTTGTCGTCATTGGTTTTGTCTCCTCAACTCATCAAAACACGACAATTGAATCGTGAACGGTGACTGGTATCGCTCCATGAATGTTCACACAAGCAAGACTTACCTACCCACGGTAAGCAACTTGCACAATAACAGTGTAGATAGATAGAGTCGTTGCTCTTTGAATTGAGAGTGCGCAAAAGCTTCTCGACCGAGCAGCGAGCCCTTAGTGCCTGCTTCATCGCCTGACAAGATGACCACAGTATCTTGTTTTTCCGGCATCACCGGCTGCACATCGTTTAACGACACAGTGATCACGAGACCATCTACACCGAGTGAGCAAGTATTACCACTCCCACTGGTAATGGCGCCCACACTGCCATTCTATTTACCAACGATCACTTCAACCTCTACGTCCTCCATCTTCCATGTTACTTCTCCGTTAGCAGGTCCCCCCGCAATGTCGTTTGCATCCTGGTTAACGCCAGGCGTGACGGAAAATTTGTTGCCTCCCATCATGTCAGTGTGTGGCAACAGAGTTCATACGACCCATGGAAGTTTACACACAAATCCAGGAGTCATTGAATTGTGGTTGTATTCCAGAGTATTGATTCCTAGAGTCACAGGGTTTAGACCAGGGGTCATCGCCGACAAGCCAGGTGTAAGCCTGGAGTCATTGGTTCCATTCCCATTAGCTCGAGGCACCGTAAAATTCGAATCATATCCAAACGCGCCTTACTTCCTGACAGCACGCGCATGTGTCACAAAGATACTTGAGTTAGTCGTGATGCGATTATGTGAACGAAAAGATATGTCCGATAAATATGCTTCCCCGTTCCACTGTGGTCTGAAAACGTTCCTTCCACAACATTAACCATTTCGCCAGCACTAACGTGATTGTGCTTCTTGTCCAGTGCTGCTGTTGTGCGCGAAGATTGTATCTTACGCTGCACTTCCTGATCGGAGATAGTCCTGGATTGACCATTCGGACAGAGTACTGTAAAGCTTTCGTACCCGACATTCGTAATCACGCCTACGTCACCATGTGCAAGAGCAACAAGGTCGTAAGGCTCTTTACCCTTGTATGAATCCAATACTTGAGAAATCTCGGCAGACTCCTGCAAATCTCGAACGCGCACTTGAATTTCACGAGCCATACTATCACGAGCACAACAGCAACAGAAGCACCTTCACTATCATCCACTGCTACGACCGTGCCAGTCTCACCCGATACATGCCAAATATCACCTTAATGTGATCACCAACCATCACGTACTTCATAAGCTGTTTGAGCTGAACGTCCAAGATCGTATTCTGAATTTTTTGTGAAGCGGCATGACACGGATGGTGTCGTTGGCTGTGTTAGTGTTCAGCACGACACCTGTGAGGTTGATCAGGTCATCCTCAATCACACGTACCGTATCACCTTTAGTGAGCTCGACCTTATTTTTCCAATCATCAGCTCGACAGAAGCCAGCATATATTCAGCACTATGTTCGCTCTCTTCTCCTGCAACAGACGAAAAACGATTGATCATATCCAGCGTCGGGTTTGCGTCATCTGTTGTCAGCATGGTAGCAATGTTCACCTCTTATATAAGGAAAGGCTATTGGTAATAGTCGTTGCCAAAAGTGTCCATCCTCTCTCCCGTGAAAGGATACCGGCGACGGGCGACGTCCGCTCTGGGAACCATGTTCGTATGGAAAAACTTTTGCGGTGGACTTTTTTCCTATTTGAGTTCTTCCCCTCCAGACAAAACAACTAAATCCAGCCGCGGAATCGATTTCACCACACCACACGCCCCATTGTCAAGGATCTCAATAACGTTGCACAGATCACCCTTGTACAATCCCGCGCGCTTCATCCGCGCCCAAATGCTAGCGACTAGCAGCTTTCTCCGCGTTTGAACATCCAAAATCGACGTCATTTCATGGATAGGCACCAGCTTCATCAACCATTGCTGTACATCACGCAAACCATTCAGACAATCTCTCGCGTGCGGCTTGCGCTCCGCCTCCACATAGATGAAGCCCTTTGAGTTGGAGGCCACCACAGATTTGACCATCAAAGGTCCACCAAGGCGTGCAAACTCAACAAACTTGTTCATGAGTGCCACCACAAGATGCTGCTCGCGACCAGGCTTGCACTTAAACACCCACATGCGCGGATCCTGGATGAATGGAAGAAGTGAATGCTGCGCCACTTCGCTCTGAATCGCATCACCACTGTCTTCTTCGCCATCGTGCTGTCTACGACTCTGTTGGTGGCGTTTCTAGATGCGGCTGACAATGGCTTCAGCGCTCTCTGACTCGTCAAACTGCGTGCGGTCCTGCGGTTAGTTTTTCTCGCTATTTTCATTACTCCACCGACACCAGCGAATAAAAGTCAGAGACTGCGAACGTACGGTACAACATCGTCAGTTTGAAACTATCATTGAAGACAGCAAGCGCGCTAGCACATCCAATACTTCAACCGCACCACAAGGACATGGCACTCTGGGGCACCCTGCGTCACCTTCACGCGCCATTTTCAACGGAACATCTCTATGAGGCGCCGTTGTACATACAGAACGGCGTCTCATAGAAATGTTCCGCTTGGAGGACATAGGTTGGTCCTCTCTGCCGTCGATATTCCGCAGCAGTTGCAGTTCCAAAAAATTGAGCAGCTCTTCACTAAGTGCAGTACTTGTGTGCTTCATCTGAGCTTTCACTTCCGTGCAGCAATAAGATAATGCTGACGCGGCTGACCTCTATGGTCCAGTACAATGTGTCCTCCTGTAATTGAACACCTAATAGTCCAAGTTTGTCTTCGAGCACAAACTGGGACAGTAAGCTCGAAAGATGAACACCTCCATTTGCGACGCCAACTTCCTTACTTACAGTAAGTGTTCCAGCCCCGAGCATGTGAAGTAATCTGGTACTCGTTTGCTCATACTTGACGCATTTTTTGCCGCTTTGCCACGATTGCGTAATGCACTTAGAAATCTTTGATCGTTCTTTTGACTCACAAAGTTTTCCTTACGAGGTCGAGTCAACACGCGATGTGGTGGTGGCCTTTAGCCCCGCAGGTAACCCGGAAACAATCCGTGATGTTTGGGGAGACTTCTGGTCGGGGTGGGCTGATGACGAGTTGCAGGAGTTTAAGACGGCAATGAAGGGCATTTCGTTTTCGTCGGCTATCAACCTTGTAACCTCATCGGTCTCGGGCGACTATGAACCTGCCTCACAGCTATTGAAGTACATATGGAGTAAAAATTGAAAATGCTGGTCGGACGGCGAGAAGACGCGCATTCGGCAAGCATACCTGTTGCAAAAGTTCGGTCACGAAGGCTTGGCTATCGTCTATGAAGTCGTCGACGTGATTCCTTACAATTGCTAAGAGATCTTGAGAAATCTTGAGAAATCTGAGCGGCATATCAGCAACAGATCAATTATCATGTATCATTCCGTAATCGGCCACAACGCACATCATCAATCTCACCTTTTTGTAAAGCACGCGAAAGTCGCTTCCAGCAAGCAATAGATCTCCTTCCGTACTCAAACAATAAAGCGGCACAGAACTAAAATCTACCTTGGTTCCACTGTTAAGTACCCTGACGGCATTCTGCAACGGCTCCTTCCATATGCCAATATAGTACGCGAAAAGCTGTATGCTAAGTTTGCAGAAGTTGGGAAGCAGAGGTGCCAGGAAGATGCACTCACTCCAGCACTCTTGAAGTGCTTTCCACAAACACTTTGAGTTCTCGAACCCTAATGTCGATGTGTCAGCAATGATGGACACACTGCCGTATAGTGAATCCAACGAGGCCGAATCTTCACGTTTCAACCCAAAAGACTTTTCTACACTTGAAGCGACTTGAGATGCTCGAAGCTGGAAGTATACGTCGATGTTCCACTTTTCCTTGAACTCCACCACACTCTCATGAGACCGGAAGCGACTTTTCATGATCTCGCTTTTGCAGAAGCGCTCCTCGATATCAGCTAGAAAACGCATGCTTATAGTGTAGCTTTGGTGGAAGCGTTCCGGGTCAGCTGCCTGGAAAATGATGCCGTATTTTGTTGATAAAATCTCCTGCAAAGGCTTCCAAATTGCGTTCCCGAGAATATCTACTGAGCAGTTACTCTCGCCCTGACAAACAGACAATGCAAGTGTGCCCGCAAACTTGCTCGTAATGAAGTACAAAATGGACTCATAGATCTGTGGTAAGCCCTCGCACGAACCACGAGCTCGGCCATCCAGCTTTCCACGCATAAGATGTTCCTCTGCAAATGGCTGAACAAGCAGACGACCAATCAATTCTTCTGGAATATGGCTTTTGTCAAGTAGCACATATGCTCTCAGCAAATAGCTCAAAGTGAGCTCGCTAATCGCATGGTCGCGGTTGTAATACGTATCGGGAAGAATTTCAGCCACAAATTCCGTCTCTAGGCGACGAAGAAGTGTCTTTTCAACGATCGCTAGACGCTTCTCCTCTTTCTATACAGCGCATGCTCAAAGTGAGTTACTCATGACGCAACAAACCATCCGTTTCAGCATGTCTATTACCTGAATTGTGGCAACGTGCATGCCGTCCAAGAATTCTAGATCCAATTGCACAAAAATCTGCGCTGCTCGTTCCAATCTTGCGCAACCTTCAGCATCGCTCGTTGCATGTAGTCGTTTCTTCACTTGTTCAAAGTTCTCAAAATCATCGTCACTGTCCTCATCGAAGTCAGTGGGTCCGTCTTTGTCCAAGCTCGACTCCTCGTCATCACCTTCAATGGGTGACCCAATCTCCAGTAGATCTTCCAGCAGCAGCAATTTCTCAGAGATTTTAATACTGGACTGCAGGTCCTTTTCCTGTTGTTGCAGCTCATTTGCAATCTGCAATTGCGTCTGGATCTTGTTTTGCAATGCGCTCTACAGAACGCACTCAAGAAAACGCAAAAGGGTCACATTATCACGGCTCTCCACCTCCTCCATAACAATAGCCACGTACCAGAGCTTCTTGCACTTCACTTACACGCTTGAGAACCGCCAAAATGGGTGCATGTACGCTAGCAACCGCCTCGTCTACACCCTTGAGCTTAGACGAGAGCTGCAGGAACTCGGCGTAATCTTCATTGATAATGGCCACGAGCTGGTTCTCTAGCGCCATTTGGAAGTGTCTCAAATCCTGACAAATCGTCTCCATGGGGCTATGTACTCGACAGTCCTCTAAAAAGGTCGCTACTTCGAAAACGTCTACAGAAAAAGCCTCCTCATCGAAGCAGTACTTGCCCAGCACCATCGTCGTTGTGTATTACCCAAATCAAAAAATGGAGTGTCCTTTTTTAAAACAAAACGTACCCAAATATGGTTATTGAAGTTCCCAAATTTACAAGTAGAGGAATTGTCCTGACCCTGCATGCATTAATCTCCTTCTCCTGTCGTCATACAAAATGGAAGACGAAGAACGACACGTACAGTCAATGCCACACCAACATCTAGACCGAGATCCGTCGCGGTACGAAGTTTAGAGAGTTTTCTCCTGGAATTTATCTGTAAAAACGAATCTTCCCATTCTATTTGGTCCTTCTCTAGCTTGACAACGTTCCCAATGCCCGGATTCTTGGCCTCTACATTCCAGGTGAGCCTTTGATTTATATGGTGATGATACTCTTGCTGTAAAGACAGCAAGTTATTAGTTGCTGCAGCAATAATTCACAATATTTGGTGCTTTTTTGGGGTCACAATTGGGTTAAAAGGCATCGAATGATGATGCGGAGAATGGGGACGATGCTCAAACTGTTGCTGGTATATTGCAATCGATTCAGTTTTGTTTATTATCATGACAAACTTATAAACGTAATCTGGTATTGCTTAGCGTCTCCAGTCAAGATACGTCCTCCTCCTATGTCAACTGGCAATCAGTATTGGATGCCGGACCACCTCTGCAAGGTGAGACTGTTTGAGAGTAACAACTGCTACTTATTATGGTATGTTTGAACTTGATTTGATGGTTTCTCGCTTGTGTCTACACAGGTATGCTATGACTGCTCTGCAGCATTCTCTCTCTTCCGACGTCGTCACCATTGCCGACTGTGCGGGCAAATCTTTTGTCACGAGTGCAGCAACCACTTTATTGATGGTACACCTCACAGGTTTCCAGGTATCGTTCGAGTGTGTAAGTTCTGCTTCCAATTTGCAGACGCAGCTGGTGGGAAGAAGAAGATAGATGAAAGCGAACAAAGACTTAACTCGAGCGAAAGTTTGGATGGAAATGAGACGTCGAGAAAGTCTTTGTCTGGTCGGTTTGACCGTTTGTCACGCCGGTTGAGTGGGGAAGTTGGCTCTACAAAGCCATCGCCCCTTATATTTGGTCCATCGGCTGATCCGATCGAGGAACCGATGTTGTCATTGTCACCTATCGACTCGAACACAAGTGATGTTACAGGCTTGGATCAACTGACGGACGTAGCATGCCTTACAACCGAGCCTATCGATTTATGTGAGGAATCTGATAGCGTCGATACTCGCCGGAATTTCCGCCCACAAGTACGAACTAGAATACGACATTCTAGCGCAGAATTGCTGGGTGCAATCGAAAATGGTAGACTGGACACAGAAGTGTTGGCTTTTCACAATTGGGTAAAGAATGTTTCGGCTGACAACGAGGTCTCAACTGTTTCGGAAAAGACGGCGAGGGAAATCAATACCCGTAACGGTAATAACCTTTACACACAGCGAGACATCGCGTTAGATAAACATATGGTAAGGAGGCGCAAAATTGATGACAGTAACCATTGCTGATGACTATCTTGACGTTTGCAATGTAGCAAAGGGCTCACAAGCAAATTCGTGACGGCATTCAGCATTTTGCATCATCCGTCGCGAATAGTTTGCCAGAGTCTGAATTCATTGGTCTGGATTATTTGGTGAAAACCTTGGAAGACATTGCATTTGTTGTGACGGGACATTTGCTTTTCAGTATGAATTTTCGCACTATTAGTGGTTTCAACTACGCACATCTCGTGAAAGTGAAAAGCATTGCAGTCGGAGCGACTGTGCAGACAAACAAGAAGGAGCCGAGCTACAGTTTCAAATGGCTTGCTGGCACTGTGTGTCGCAAGCACTTAAGCCACAAGCAAATGGCGCGCCAAGTCGAAAACCCTCGTATCTTGCTGTTTGCTTGTGGAATAAGCTACGATCGCTCGAACGGCATTGGGCGAATGAGCTCATTAGACACGTTGATGGAGCAGGAAAAAATTACATGGCCATTTTGGTAGAAAAGATATCGGCATTAGAGCCCGATGTGATTTTTGTGGAAAAAACTGTGTCAAGGCATGCTCAAGAGCTGTTATGTGAACGCCGGATATCGATCGTGCTTAATGTCAAGAGTGAATTATTACACCGAATTGCTCGCCATACTGGAGCTGAGGTCTTAACATCCGTAGATCATGTGGATAAAGCGGATCCTGCACAAGTCATCGGCAGCTGCCGTTCATTCACGGTGAAGTCGATCCCGGTAGTTCCGGAACCGGGGTTGTTACCAACGAAAAAAATCATCGCAGGCACCTGCAGGTGTGTTCCTGAAAGCACCTGCGGTTCCAAGCCGTTTGCGAACGGACACTTACCTGTACTTAGACGGATGTGATCCGCTAAACGGTTGCACAGTGTTAATTACTGGGCCATCAAAGCAGACATTACGTCTACTAAAGCAGCTGACCCGAGCCGTGCTATCGATGACATATCAATTGCTTTTAGAGGCTCACGTTTTATCCGATCTTAACTTGAACAATGATATGTCATTCAGCGAAAATGCAGCGCTTACTGATGAGCAACGTACTACCTGGTGTACAACATCCACTTTACGTGTTCGTGATCCTGGATCTCCGAACCCTCATTACCATCAATGCGTCGAAGCCAAGCATCTTCGCATTACAGCCTGCTCGGATGACGATGTATCGTTTGGCAACTTTCTTAACCAAGAATTGGCAGCCCTCTCCCTAAAATGTCAAGTACGTGATTGTGTTGGCGATATATTCATACGTTTACGCTTGAGCGACTGACTGTAACTTGTGATTTGTTATGCTGATACGTTCTTGTAGAGTGTCAAATGCAACTATTTAATGGCAGATCACGTTCATTCGTTTAGTTGCCGGATGGGAACGATAACAATTTCATTCGAAGAACTGCCGGACCAAAACAAACAGCCGTTATCGTTGTCAGTAAGTAATGTGAGCGACGTTGGGGGCACGGATAAATCGTTCTGCTCGATGAGCGAGCTCTCACTATCAATGCGTTCCGAAAGAAACACCAACATGCGTGCGATAATGACGCCAGAATCCGTTCTTCATACATCCGGGAATGATGACGAAACTGTGATATCGGTGGAGAACGGATATCCTACAGTGATATTTTGGCGATGGTGTCGTGGATGTAATGGTGTGATTACACCTTTTATGCCGTTGGAAAAGTACATTTACAAGTACTCGTTTGCCAGATTCTTGGAAGTCCTCTTTTCGGAAGCAGAACGATCTGTGCTACCGAATTCATCAAGCACAACGTGTACGCACGTCTCGATGGAGTCACACGTGCTTTTCTTGAATATTGGTAAGTCCGTGGCACGCTTTGATTTCTCAAAGCAGGTCTCGCTTCGTCTTAGCCATTCAGAGTTGAAGCGCAGCAATGACCATCGTCAGTTATGTATCAAAATGGAGCAGGCGGTTTTGAAGAAGGAAGTTACGGCTCGTCTTGAAATCTTAAAAGGGCTCCTGAGGTCACTTATTAGTACTTTTACGGAGAAAGTCCAGGGAATCAATCAGGCAGTGGAAGCTTTTGAACGTACGGATAAGGGTTACCACGCTCGTATCATCCTTGAAGTCATGTGCATTTCTAAAATGGTAAAAAGCGGTGACGCCATTTTTTCCCACCAAATGGCGCGAATTGGTGAGAAAACAGTGGACAGTTTGGAACTTTGTGATATTACTCAAGCGCTGAGAATTTGTGATGTTACTCAGCGTGCTTTGTACTTACTAGCATGCAAATGGGTTGCCTGCATGCTGCACCTTCGCAAGTTGATTAAGAAACATCTTTCGACGGATACGGCTCCACCATCTCCAAATAGTAGCTCTTTTACTCTTCGAGGCATTAAGTTTCATCCTGCTATTTCTTTGTCGCCCATTACATCTTCACGGGTCGTAGAAGAATCAACCCTCGCACCAAGCATCATTGTGACAGAGTCCGACTGGAGTAAAGATACTGAACAACTGCCTCGACACCGAAGTAATGGAGCTTTGAGTTCTGAGTCTGAGTCGAGCATGGAAAAGGTGCTGGCATCTTCAACAACTATTGCTAGCATTGAATTATTCAAGAGACCATCATTACCATTCCCTGTCGTTGTCAACAGTAATGGAGATGGAAAAGAGGTGCGTAGTTGGTATTCATAGTTGACATGGCCATCTTTGTCATATTTTCTGTCGTGTTATTTTTTTGTAGGGCCCGCGGAATGGATGGAAGGAAGCTTTGTGGGACCTTTACCGCGTTCTCGGACGAAGTGAACCAGGAAATGACTTCACGATTGACCTTCCTGAAGCACTGACTGCTGGCCACCCGAGTCTTCATCATCGTTCAAAATCTCGAGTGGTCCTGGTTGACGAGGCAAAACCAATTACAAGCGTTGCTTACGCCTTATCGACAGATTCGTATGAAGAAGAGATGGACGGATGGAAACTACGTGTTCATAACGAAGCAGTCGAGTCAGTTGGTTTGCAAAAGCAAAAACGGGACGATGCAAGCGCGATGTTCACAAACTGGTCTCGTGCCGCTCTCGAATCATCATTGAACGTGCCGTTTAAATTTGTGACAGTGGAATGCCGCTGCACTTATCACTCCTTTCAGGCAAATCAGCGTCAATGTTGTCCAACACGTGCTGGGAGCTATCAACCGTTGCGTACTTCCCGCTCCAGGTAAGTTCATAGCAAAATCAACTGTGTGTTTGCTGTGACAACTGACTTGACAACGTTGATGTTCGTGCTTAGTTTGAGGTCTTGCGCGAACTATTCTATGGTAGTCTTCAGAGATACGTGTTTTCAATATCTCATGTGGCAAGCTGGGACGCAAATGGTGGTAAATCGGGTGCCTCGTTTTACCGAACGTTAGATGACCGCTTTGTTGTTAAACACATTTCATCAACTGAAATGCAGGTGCGTATGTATACCTTGATCAGATTGGCCGGATAAACAAATGCTAACTAGATGGTGCTACGTGTTTGGTAGAGCTTCCTGGGCTGTCTTGCTGGGTACTTCAAATATATGGCAAGCATTTACTTTGACGGCCGGGCAAGCATATTGTCAAAGACCGTTGGACTCTACCAGACAACCACAATCCGAAAAGATACTGGGCAGAAGATGGTACACTACATCTGCGTCATGGAAAACGTGTTCTACCAAAAGCAGCTTACACGAACCTATGATCTCAAAGGAAGTTCTCGGAACCGATTTGTTGGACCACAATCGACCTCAGAAGTTCTTCAAAATGGCAACCGTGTTCTTCTTGATGGTAACTTCTTAGAGTTCACCAAAGGTCATCCTTTGGGCATACTCGCAGAGGATCATCGTTTGATACTAAAAGCGGTGAAGAATGATACTGCATTTCTCTGCTCTATCAACATCGTGGACTACTCGATGGTTGTGGGGCTAAGCTATCCACATGACGATACTGGAGACCAGATGGAGAGCCCGTCGGAAATGACTGTTGGCATCGTTGACTACCTACGTCAATTTGATTTAATAAAGCGTGTGGAGAGTGTTGGCAAGTCTGTCGGTATGATTGCTGGACAATCTTCTCCCACAATCATTGAGCCAGGTCTTTATGGAAAACGATTTCAAGACGCCATACGCCGGTACTTTATGCCCGTAACTCCAATCTCGTCCGGCACCAATGACGATATCGAAGACTAAGCTACGATAGGATATGTGGACTGCCAAGTGAAGATGTCGAAAGAGAGGCAAGTGTTTGGCTGGTCGTGTCGATAAAATGTTCAATCGGCACAATCAGCGGCAAAGCGGGAACTGAGCTGCATACCGCATGCAGTTTTGCGAATTCCTTTGTCACGAAGTTTACACTGCGAAAACACGTCTATGGTGTGATCTACGAAGAACGTGCAATTGCGCCTGTTGAATTCATGGGTGACTTGCGTTAGGAAGGCGAAGGCTGGACCATTAAGGTTGAGATATGTATCAACTAGACACGTAAGTAGGTAAGACAGTATCACTTCTTGGCATTAGTTCGCACTTAAGGAAAGTTATCATTAGTTAAGGAGTATTATTATAAGAAGGTCTACTATAATCATAATGTAGAAAGTAGCATCTAGTAAGTCAATCAGAATAGAAGAATGCCTTATATCTTGGTCTTAGTATGATGTCACATACAACCAATCAATTTATTTACGAAAAGATCAAACTTGTCCTCTTCAATCGAGAATATTTTGACCAAAACAATCATGGTAAAGCTGCTATGCATGATCGTTGGTGTGAACGGGAGTGCATTTCCTGTGGATATTGATGCAAGTCAGGTGGTGGGGGACTTAAAAGAAGATATCAAGGCAAAAAATGAAGACATTCAAGTTCCTGCGCGTAACCTGCGTCTCTTCGCGACGAAGAAGGACGGCGCCTGGCTGTCCTCTGCCACGGAAGATGTAAAGCAACTTAAGGAGGGCATGATGACTCCTCTTCTCGAAGAGTTAACGGAAAAGGACCAAGAGCTGCAGGGGGAAGATTCGATTGCTGACATTTTCCTTGAAAACGTAAGCACACCAAAAGCAAAAGAAATTCACGTGCTGGTGGTGGGGGCAGGGGGATTGTGTCGAATTACGCATCGAAGATGCCAAAAACGGTGCTCAGTACACGGACGAGCTGACGCACTACCAGCAACGAGGGGAGCTGATCCAGCGCAATTGTAAGGACTATTGCCAGAAGATTTTAAACAAAATCGACGCACTCTATACCCTCTCCGGCACGTCAACGCTGCCGTTCATTTGTGTGGAAGGATCATCTGGCATGGGGAAGTCGCAGCTGGCGTTTGCGTTGGGAGGAAGCCGACCGTGGTTTTACTGGCCTGTTTTCATTGGGGAATCTTGTCAGAGCTTGTATGAAAATTTTTCGTTAATTTCTGAAGCGTTCCGTGAAGTGACAAACAAGGACGACCCAATGAAAAAGTTGGATGAGAACATTTTGAACTCCAAGTCCGATTTTTACAATAGTGAAAGTCTTTGGACCTTTGGATTTATTCGTGCGTTGCTGCAGTATTGCAGTAAAGAGCAGAATCAGCAAGGAAAAATGATACGTTTTCATACGAAAACATCATGGTACGTGGAAAAGTGCAATCGGACGAAAGTCATTGCTACTCGCGAAAAGATGAAGAAAGATGGGAAGTTGTTGCCTTTCTTTGTGTTGGATGAAATGATGCCTAACGTGAACAGTGATGGCGGTGGAAAGAACATAGCGGCATTCCAACGCAATGTTTTTCGTGTGTGTGGCCTGGTCGTGGTTGTAATGGGGACGAACGCTAAGATCACCAATTTGGTGGGTCAATCAGAAGGAAGCTATTATGGAGAGCATGCATGGATGACGATTATCTCTCGATTCCCTTCATATCAACCAATTCCATTTGCAGATGCTGATAAAGAAACAGCTTGGAATCGCATCCAAGGTACGTATCCCGTTTTGAAAAGCATTGTGGCCAATTCTCGCGGGCGTTTTTCCCGATATTTCGCCGACAGCGCGGCGCAATATGCATTAGAAAATTCTGCAAATGGTATCGAACTCTGCGATTTGCTGGACGTGGCATTTGATTACGTAAGCTTAAAGACACAGAAAGGAAAACAGTTCATGGGGAAGCAGAACGGAAAGGATGCGCAGCTGATAGCGATATCGTACACTAATGTTGACAGTGATGGCTCGTCTCCATCTCCACTTAAGAAAAGGAAAATTACTCCTGTTGTTGGGATCCACTGCATGCATCTACACTTCGCCAACCTAGTGGATCCTCAAGCAACTGAAGTGGATATAATAAAAAGCCAACTTGAGGTTAATGGCAAGTCGTGGGAACCGCTTTGCTGTTTCCCGGAGACCGATGAGGACATGCTGCTTTATCTTGCGATATTGGGTGGAAAGACTTACTCCGGTTACTATGATCGACGCCGATCTATCGGCTACTCAACATTAGCCATCTTTTCCATGTACTTGAAAGGACACGGGTTCACGTCAGGAGAAAACACCGACGCGATCAGCAATGATTATAAGACGTACGAGAACATGGTCGCTCATATGATTTTCTGTGCATCGCGGCGAAATGGAGTGCAAGGAATTCCTTTTGATGAATTCTTCGCTGGGTTGCTCAGTGAATGTCAAGACAAAAATATACGGCCAGTGACGATGACCATTGGTAATACGAAGCAAACGATTGTTGCTAGCGATTTGTTGGACAAATACGCTGATCTGGTAGCTTTGTCTCGCTCGAAAATACCTTTCTTGGCTCCACCGAATGCTAGTTGGCCGCAATGTATCTTAGATACTCGCGCCAAGGGCTGTAACTTCGGTCATCTCGTTCGTGCTAAGAATGTTGAAAGGTGTGACATTTACGTACGCAACATGGAGGATCCGACTGGACCGCCACTTTTTTTCTGTGAGTGCAAGTATCGGGACAGCAATGTGGGCTCTGATGTGATGAAGACGATCATTGATGGGCTAGAGAAAGTTTGGAAGAAGAAGTGGGCAATCTTATTGGTTTTCTGCGTGAAATTAGCAAGCTTTGAAACCGAGTGGGACCACAAACAAGTCGGCTGCGTCAAGGTTAATTGCCGAAGTGGCCGTGTCGATTGGGTTGTCCAGCCGGCGGAAGAAAAAGATCGAAAGAAGCTGGTCATCGTTATGGAAACGGGGCCTTTGACGGTAGGAGTGGCTAGCAAAACTTGATTGAGCCAGTCCATTGCCTTGCGAATCTCTGCATTGCGTCGCAAGCACAACAACTTTGTGCACCTCTTCTTGCATGTCAACTTTTCTTACGTCAGTGGCACTCATCGCATCCCCAGATTGTCCGAAGAGATTTAGCGGCTTGTAACTGTCTAATATTTCTTTTGGATTCGTTGTTTTATCTCACTCTTACACTCTTTTTACATGGTGATACCAAAAAATTGCCCTCGATATATTTTACCATGCATGACAGTATGACTAGTCGTCGGGATTTCATTGCCTCTTGTAGCTGTTGCGTAATGACCATAACTTGGTTACTTCTCGCCGTGCATTGCAAGTCCAACGAAAATCGATGCAGTGTTACGCTTGTCGTCATTGGTTTTGTCTCCTCAACTCATCAAAACACGACAATTGAATCGTGAACGGTGACTGGTATCGCTCCATGAATGTTCACACAAGCAAGACTTACCTACCCACGGTAAGCAACTTGCACAATAACAGTGTAGATAGATAGAGTCGTTGCTCTTTGAATTGAGAGTGCGCAAAAGCTTCTCGACCGAGCAGCGAGCCCTTAGTGCCTGCTTCATCGCCTGACAAGATGACCACAGTATCTTGTTTTTCCGGCATCACCGGCCGCACATCGTTTAACGACACAGTGATCACGAGACCATCTACACCGAGTGAGCAAGTATTACCACTCCCACTGGTAATGGCGCCCACACTGCCATTCTATTTACCAACGATCACTTCAACCTCTACGTCCTCCATCTTCCATGTTACTTCTCCGTTAGCAGGTCCCCCCGCAATGTCGTTTGCATCCTGGTTAACGCCAGGCGTGACGGAAAATTTGTTGCCTCCCATCATGTCAGTGTGTGGCAACAGAGTTCATACGACCCATGGAAGTTTACACACAAATCCAGGAGTCATTGAATTGTGGTTGTATTCCAGAGTATTGATTCCTAGAGTCACAGGGTTTAGACCAGGGGTCATCGCCGACAAGCCAGGTGTAAGCCTGGAGTCATTGGTTCCATTCCCATTAGCTCGAGGCACCGTAAAATTCGAATCATATCCAAACGCGCCTTACTTCCTGACAGCACGCGCATGTGTCACAAAGATACTTGAGTTAGTCGTGATGCGATTATGTGAACGAAAAGATATGTCCGATAAATATGCTTCCCCGTTCCACTGTGGTCTGAAAACGTTCCTTCCACAACATTAACCATTTCGCCAGCACTAACGTGATTGTGCTTCTTGTCCAGTGCTGCTGTTGTGCGCGAAGATTGTATCTTACGCTGCACTTCCTGATCGGAGATAGTCCTGGATTGACCATTCGGACAGAGTACTGTAAAGCTTTCGTACCCGACATTCGTAATCACGCCTACGTCACCATGTGCAAGAGCAACAAGGTCGTAAGGCTCTTTACCCTTGTATGAATCCAATACTTGAGAAATCTCGGCAGACTCCTGCAAATCTCGAACGCGCACTTGAATTTCACGAGCCATACTATCACGAGCACAACAGCAACAGAAGCACCTTCACTATCATCCACTGCTACGACCGTGCCAGTCTCACCCGATACATGCCAAATATCACCTTAATGTGATCACCAACCATCACGTACTTCATAAGCTGTTTGAGCTGAACGTCCAAGATCGTATTCTGAACTTTTTGTGAAGCGGCATGACACGGATGGTGTCGTTGGCTGTGTTAGTGTTCAGCACGACACCTGTGAGGTTGATCAGGTCATCCTCAATCACACGTACCGTATCACCTTTAGTGAGCTCGACCTTATTTTTCCAATCATCAGCTCGACAGAAGCCAGCATATATTCAGCACTATGTTCGCTCTCTTCTCCTGCAACAGACGAAAAACGATTGATCATATCCAGCGTCGGGTTTGCGTCATCTGTTGTCAGCATGGTAGCAATGTTCACCTCTTATATAAGGAAAGGCTATTGGTAATAGTCGTTGCCAAAAGTGTCCATCCTCTCTCCCGTGAAAGGATACCGGCGACGGGCGACGTCCGCTCTGGGAACCATGTTCGTATGGAAAAACTTTTGCGGTGGACTTTTTTCCTATTTGAGTTCTTCCCCTCCAGACAAAACAACTAAATCCAGCCGCGGAATCGATTTCACCACACCACACGCCCCATTGTCAAGGATCTCAATAACGTTGCACAGATCACCCTTGTGCAATCCCGCGCGCTTCATCCGCGCCCAAATGCTAGCGACTAGCAGCTTTCTCCGCGTTTGAACATCCAAAATCGACGTCATTTCATGGATAGGCACCAGCTTCATCAACCATTGCTGTACATCACGCAAACCATTCAGACAATCTCTCGCGTGCGGCTTGCGCTCCGCCTCCACATAGATGAAGCCCTTTGAGTTGGAGGCCACCACAGATTTGACCATCAAAGGTCCACCAAGGCGTGCAAACTCAACAAACTTGTTCATGAGTGCCACCACAAGATGCTGCTCGCGACCAGGCTTGCACTTAAACACCCACATGCGCGGATCCTGGATGAATGGAAGAAGTGAATGCTGCGCCACTTCGCTCTGAATCGCATCACCACTGTCTTCTTCGCCATCGTGCTGTCTACGACTCTGTTGGTGGCGTTTCTAGATGCGGCTGACAATGGCTTCAGCGCTCTCTGACTCGTCAAACTGCGTGCGGTCCTGCGGTTAGTTTTTCTCGCTATTTTCATTACTCCACCGACACCAGCGAATAAAAGTCAGAGACTGCGAACGTACGGTACAACATCGTCAGTTTGAAACTATCATTGAAGACAGCAAGCGCGCTAGCACATCCAATACTTCAACCGCACCACAAGGACATGGCACTCTGGGGCACCCTGCGTCACCTTCACGCGCCATTTTCAACGGAACATCTCTATGAGGCGCCGTTGTACATACAGAACGGCGTCTCATAGAAATGTTCCGCTTGGAGGACATAGGTTGGTCCTCTCTGCCGTCGATATTCCGCAGCAGTTGCAGTTCCAAAAAATTGAGCAGCTCTTCACTAAGTGCAGTACTTGTGTGCTTCATCTGAGCTTTCACTTCCGTGCAGCAATAAGATAATGCTGACGCGGCTGACCTCTATGGTCCAGTACAATGTGTCCTCCTGTAATTGAACACCTAATAGTCCAAGTTTGTCTTCGAGCACAAACTGGGACAGTAAGCTCGAAAGATGAACACCTCCATTTGCGACGCCAACTTCCTTACTTACAGTAAGTGTTCCAGCCCCGAGCATGTGAAGTAATCTGGTACTCGTTTGCTCATACTTGACGCATTTTTTGCCGCTTTGCCACGATTGCGTAATGCACTTAGAAATCTTTGATCGTTCTTTTGACTCACAAAGTTTTCCTTACGAGGTCGAGTCAACACGCGATGTGGTGGTGGCCTTTAGCCCCGCAGGTAACCCGGAAACAATCCGTGATGTTTGGGGAGACTTCTGGTCGGGGTGGGCTGATGACGAGTTGCAGGAGTTTAAGACGGCAATGAAGGGCATTTCGTTTTCGTCGGCTATCAACCTTGTAACCTCATCGGTCTCGGGCGACTATGAACCTGCCTCACAGCTATTGAAGTACATATGGAGTAAAAATTGAAAATGCTGGTCGGACGGCGAGAAGACGCGCATTCGGCAAGCATACCTGTTGCAAAAGTTCGGTCACGAAGGCTTGGCTATCGTCTATGAAGTCGTCGACGTGATTCCTTACAATTGCTAAGAGATCTTGAGAAATCTTGAGAAATCTGAGCGGCATATCAGCAACAGATCAATTATCATGTATCATTCCGTAATCGGCCACAACGCACATCATCAATCTCACCTTTTTGTAAAGCACGCGAAAGTCGCTTCCAGCAAGCAATAGATCTCCTTCCGTACTCAAACAACAAAGCGGCACAGAACTAAAATCTACCTTGGTTCCACTGTTAAGTACCCTGACGGCATTCTGCAACGGCTCCTTCCATATGCCAATATAGTACGCGAAAAGCTGTATGCTAAGTTTGCAGAAGTTGGGAAGCAGAGGTGCCAGGAAGATGCACTCACTCCAGCACTCTTGAAGTGCTTTCCACAAACACTTTGAGTTCTCGAACCCTAATGTCGATGTGTCAGCAATGATGGACACACTGCCGTATAGTGAATCCAACGAGGCCGAATCTTCACGTTTCAACCCAAAAGACTTTTCTACACTTGAAGCGACTTGAGATGCTCGAAGCTGGAAGTATACGTCGATGTTCCACTTTTCCTTGAACTCCACCACACTCTCATGAGACCGGAAGCGACTTTTCATGATCTCGCTTTTGCAGAAGCGCTCCTCGATATCAGCTAGAAAACGCATGCTTATAGTGAAGCTTTGGTGGAAGGTTGTATTAAAATTTATTTTGTTATAAAATCTCTAAATTAATTGTTCAAATATCTACTGAGCAGTTACTCTCGCCCTGACAAACAGACAATGCAAGTGTGCCCACAAACTTGCTCGTAATGAAGTACAAAATGGACTCATAGATCTGTGGTAAGCCCTCGCACGAACCACGAGCTCGACCATCCAGCTTTCCACGCATAAGATGTTCCTCTGCAAATGGATGAACAAGCAGACGACCAATCAATTCTTCTGGAATATGGCTTTTGTCAAGTAGCACATATGCTCTCAGCAAATAGCTCAAAGTGAGCTCGCTAATCGCATGGTCGCGGTTGTAATACGTATCGGGAAGAATTTCAGCCACAGATTCCGTCTCTAGGCGACGAAGAAGTGTCTCTTCAACGATCGCTAGACGCTTCTCCTCTTTCTATACAGCGCATGCTCAAAGTGAGTTACTCATGACGCAACAAACCATCCGTTTCAGCATGTCTATTACCTGAATTGTGGCAACGTGCATGCCGTTCAAGAATCTAGGTCCAATTGCACAAAAATTTGCGCTGCTCGTTCCAATCTTGCGCAACCTTCAGCAGCGCTCGTTGCATGTAGTCGTTTCTTCACTTGTTCAAAGTTCTCAAAATCATCGTCACTGTCCTCATCGAAGTCAGTGGGTCCGTCTTTGTCCAAGCTCGACTCCTCGTCATCACCTTCAATTGGTGACCCAATCTCCAGTAGATCTTCCAGCAGCAGCAATTTCTCAGAGATTTTAATACTGGACTGCAGGTCCTTTTCCTGTTGTTGCAACTCATTTGCAATCTGCAATTGCGTCTGGATCTTGTTTTGCAATGCGCTCTACAGAACGCACTCAAGAAAACGCAAAAGGGTCACATTGTCACTGCTCTCCACCTCCTCCATAACAATAGCCACGTACCAGAGCTTCTTGCACTTCACTTACACGCTTGAGAACCGCCAAAATGGGTGCATGTACGCTAGCAACCGCCTCGTCTACACCCTTGAGCTTAGACGAGAGCTGCAGGAACTCGGCGTAATCTTCATTGATAATGGCCACGAGCTGGTTCTCTAGCGCCGTTTGGAAGTGTCTCAAATCCTGATAAATCGTCTCCATGGGGCTACGTACTCGACAGTCCTCTAAAAAGGTCGCTACTTCGAAAACGTCTACAGAAAAAGCCTCCTCCTCGAAGCAGTACTTGCCCAGCACCATCGTCGTTGTGTATTACCCAAATCAAAAAATGGAGTGCCCTTTTTTAAAACAAAACGTACCCAAATATGGTTATTGAAGTTCCCAAATTTACAAGTAGAGGAATTGTCCTGACCCTGCATGCATTAATCTCCTTCTCCTGTCGTCATACAAAATGGAAGACGAAGAACGACACGTACAGTCAATGCCACACCAACATCTAGACCGAGATCCGTCGCGGTACGAAGTTTAGAGAGTTTTCTCCTGGAATTTATCTGTAAAAACGAATCTTCCCATTCTATTTGGTCCTTCTCTAGCTTGACAACGTTCCCAATGCCCGGATTCTTGGCCTCTACATTCCAGGTGAGCCTTTGATTTATATGGTGATGATACTCTTGCTGTAAAGACAGCAAGTTATTAGTTGCTGCAGCAATAATTCACAATATTTGGTGCTTTTTTGGGGTCACAATTGGGTTAAAAGGCATCGAATGATGATGCGGAGAATGGAGACGATGCTCAAACTGTTGCTGGTATATTGCAATCGATTCAGTTTTGTTTATTATCATGACAAACTTATAAACGTAATCTGGTATTGCTTAGCGTCTCCAGTCAAGATACGTCCTCCTCCTATGTCAACTGGCAATCAGTATTGGATGCCGGACCACCTCTGCAAGGTGAGACTGTTTGAGAGTAACAACTGCTACTTATTATGGTATGTTTGAACTTGATTTGATGGTTTCTCGCTTGTGTCTACACAGGTATGCTATGACTGCTCTGCAGCATTCTCTCTCTTCCGACGTCGTCACCATTGCCGACTGTGCGGGCAAATCTTTTGTCACGAGTGCAGCAACCACTTTATTGATGGTACACCTCACAGGTTTCCAGGTATCGTTCGAGTGTGTAAGTTCTGCTTCCAATTTGCAGACGCAGCTGGTGGGAAGAAGAAGATAGATGAAAGCGAACAAAGACTTAACTCGAGCGAAAGTTTGGATGGAAATGAGACGTCGAGAAATTCTTTGTCTGGTCGGTTTGACCGTTTGTCACGCCGGTTGAGTGGGGAAGTTGGCTCTACAAAGCCATCGCCCCTTATATTTGGTCCATCGGCTGATCCGATCGAGGAACCGATGTTGTCATTGTCACCTATCGACTCGAACACAAGTGATGTTACAGGCTTGGATCAACTGACGGACGTAGCATGCCTTACAACCGAGCCTATCGATTTATGTGAGGAATCTGATAGCGTCGATACTCGCCGGAATTTCCGCCCACAAGTACGAACTAGAATACGACATTCTAGCGCAGAATTGCTGGGTGCAATCGAAAATGGTAGACTGGACACAGAAGTGTTGGCTTTTCACAATTGGGTAAAGAATGTTTCGGCTGACAACGAGGTCTCAACTGTTTCGGAAAAGACGGCGAGGGAAATCAATACCCGTAACGGTAATAACCTTTACACACAGCGAGACATCGCGTTAGATAAACATATGGTAAGGAGGCGCAAAATTGATGACAGTAACCATTGCTGATGACTATCTTGACGTTTGCAATGTAGCAAAGGGCTCACAAGCAAATTCGTGACGGCATTCAGCATTTTGCATCATCCGTCGCGAATAGTTTGCCAGAGTCTGAATTCATTGGTCTGGATTATTTGGTGAAAACCTTGGAAGACATTGCATTTGTTGTGACGGGACATTTGCTTTTCAGTATGAATTTTCGCACTATTAGTGGTTTCAACTACGCACATCTCGTGAAAGTGAAAAGCATTGCAGTCGGAGCGACTGTGCAGACAAACAAGAAGGAGCCGAGCTACAGTTTCAAATGGCTTGCTGGCACTGTGTGTCGCAAGCACTTAAGCCACAAGCAAATGGCGCGCCAAGTCGAAAACCCTCGTATCTTGCTGTTTGCTTGTGGAATAAGCTACGATCGCTCGAAGGCATTGGGCGAATGAGCCATTAGACACGTTGATGGAGCAGGAAAAAATTATGGCATTTTGGTAGAAAAGATATGGCATTAGAGCGAGTGATTTTTGTGGAAAAAACTGTGTCAAGGCATGCTCAAGAGCTGTTATGTGAACGCGGATATCGATCGTGCTTAATGTCAAGAGTGAATTATTACACCGAATTGCTCGCCTACTGGAGCGGGTCTTAACATCCGTAGATCATGTGGATAAAGCGACCGCACAACAACGGTCTCACGGTGAAGCGACCCGGTAGTTCGGAACGGGGTGTACCAACGAAAAAACATGGACCGCAGGTGTGTTCTGAAAGACCGGTCCAACGTTGCGAACGGACACTACCGTACTTAGACGAGTGACCTAAACGGTGACAGGTTAATTACTGGGCACAAACAGACATACTCTACTAAAGCAGCGAGAGGCTATCGAGCATATCAATGCTTTTAGAGGCCGTTTTATCCGATCTTAACTTGAACAATGATATGTCATTCACGAAAACACGCTACTGAGACAACGTACTACCTGGTGTCAACACCACTTTACTGTTCGTGATCCTGGATCTCCGAACCCTCATACCATCAACTCGAACCAACACTCCATACAGCCCTCGGAGACGAGTATTTCAACTTTCTTAACCAAGAAGCCCCCCCTAAAATTCAAGACGTGATGTGTTGCGAAATTCACTTCCTGACGACGCAGATCCGTCATCTCTTTGTCAGTTGGTATTTATCGCTTTCCCAGATTGTCCGAAGAAATGTAGCGGCTATTCAATATTTATTTTCGAGTCGTGGTATCTCACTTTTAGTCCTTAACACATATTGATACTAAAAAATGCCCTTAAAATATTTTACCATACGCGTAAAATATACAAGTCATTCATGTCTTCTTTATTCTTACTTTTGAACACCTTGTTAAATATGCCGACTTCTTTCTCACGATTCATTCTAAAGGAATTTGGAATCAGCACACAGTGTAAATCAACCAATTTTCGAACCATTTGGTGATGTCAATACTCTTCCTTTGCTTGTGTAGGAACGCTAAGATTATCTCGAAATCTTCACACAAGCCGCCTGCTGAAGTATCTAACGAGCACCGCGCGTTGTTATTTTTTCCATCGGCGTGATGGTTACGGAGTTATTTGATCTCCGTAACCATCACACTTGATTTTTAAGACTTGCCATTCAGGAATTATTATTTGATCTCATACAATACTATGATTGGCTTAAAATGTCAATGGTATCTTAGGAGTACTAGTTTAAAGTATTCCTTATTAAGTACACAATAATGGCAACGTCCGAGCGCTCAGTCCTCTGTGACCGGCCGTTCATTACATACCCAACGCGAGATCGACTGTATGGTCTCTGCTGGCGACCAGATGTTAGCTCGATGCAAATTGCTGCCTCCACCTTCATCCCGGGTGAATACGCCAACAAGATTGAGGTATTGAAAGTCTTTTCTAAAACTATCGTCATTTTTGACTTTACTTTGTTAATGTATTAGATTTTCAACTTCACAGTCAACGAGAAAAAGTTGGTTTCTGCATTGGAGATTGATCATCCGTACCCACCCACCAAAATTATGTGGTCCCCTCCCTCTCTTGGTCCGCACATGGAGCTCTTGGCGACGACTGCCGATTTCTTACGACTTTGGAAGATAACGGACTCGTCCATTGAGCTGTGCTCTAAATTCTCGGAGGTTTGCTTGCTTTTCTTTCATTGACTGCTAGAAGAGGAAGTTTGATGAAGAGGTGGTTCTTTTGTTACTTAGAAGAAAAGTAAGAATGATCTTTGTGCGCCGCTCACGAGCTTTGATTGGAATGAAGTGGAGCCCAACATCATTGGAACATCAAGTACAGGCAAAGCATGCACTATCTGGGACATCAATGTACATCTGCATTCCAATAAACAATCTATAATCTTCAAACGACTGACTTGTGTGTTTTTGCTTTAGCAACCAATGTCTCCGATGTTTCAGATTACTGCCCACGACACTGACGTGTACGACATGGCGTTCTCATGTAGCGACCCCAAAAAGTTTGCTTCGGTGGGTGGTGATGGATCGCTGCGATTGTTTGATTTGAGGTGAGCTATAGTGTACACTTTTGAGCCTGTAGAGTGAATCGAGAGGTGACTGAAAGTCGTAGAATAATGTTGTAGGTCCTTGGATTCAAGTACGATCGTCTACGTGTCACCAGATGAAACAGCTTTACTCAGGTTAGCTTGGAACAAACGTGACGACCGCTTCATTGCGACTTTCGCCGACAACAGTACCAAGATTTCTGTGATCGACCTCCGTCGCCCCATCTTTCCTATGGCAGTGCTAGATCAGCACAATGCGGGTGTCAACTCGATGTCATGGTCACCGCATTCAAGGTATGATCTATGTAGTGCTGGTGAAGACAACGCTGCAATCGTGTACGATATCTGCGCTCAGATGACAAGCTCTGGCGATAATGTCGAGGGAACTTGCTACACTTTATTGAAGTCGGATGAGCCAATTAATCAAATTCGGTGGTCATCTACGGAACCAAACTGCATCGCGCTGTGCGACGAGAAAGCGTTACATGTCGTCCAAATGTAGTTTCATTTTGGCTTTCACCTTTGATGCCATCCGCGGCAAACGAAGTTGTTCAATTGTTAATCTTTGACAATTGCCACGATTAGTGAGGGACGCCGCAATGAATTAAGTGGATGTGGTGGTTTGGAGTGGTTTGAAGTGGAGTTCAATGTATTGAGTGATATACAAGCAAGTGCTTGATTTGAGCTGACAAGTCACATACAAATGAGAGCTGTAACCAATCTTGGATCCAGGACTTTCGTGCGCTGTCATGGCGTATGTGATATAGGTCGCTGGGGCAACCGATCTAAGTCAAATTAGCTGTTGCCCCAAGATGTGCTTGCCTCACAATCCGACTACTTGCCCCGTCAATCAGTCAAGTGGCTTGTACTTTCGACTGCGGAAGTATTAAAATTTTACGGTGGTCCAATATGTGGGACCAACCTCGTGCTCAGCATTACTCGATGAACGTGAGACCGAGATGGATAACAGTATCGCAATTGAACGATACACCGGGTATACACGCTGTCGTTTATTCGCTGCTTTGCCTTTTCGCTAACTCGTATGCCTTTTTTGTGAGACAAGCTTGCAGACACTGTCAGATCGGCTTCAAAATCAACGAGAAACAGTAAGCTCATTGTTGTGATATCCGTGCTCGAACGCCTACATCCTTTCTTTGAGACTGTTGCAAAAACCAATATCAGGCGGCTCCATCTATTGTTCGGAACGGGAAACTACAGGAATGGTCTCGCCAATATTTGCAGCGAGCTTTTGAGCTAAAACAACTCCGCTTCTCATCAACGCGGCTGACACGAACTGAGAATTACCTACGCAAGTTACGAGCGAATAATCCACAGCCGCAGGAATCCAATGACTCTTGAGTTTTGAGACCAAAAACGCCATCACTAGCACCGCAAATTGTAATGTGACACTTGAAATCCAAGCCACGATACAATCCTCATCCCAATGATATACAGGTACTTCAATTTGGCTTCCATGGCGTTGCAGTCAAGAGCTACAACAGACTTAAATCACGCATACATTAGCTTTCCAGCTGAGCTGCAAGGCAAGAATTTTGATATTTCGACAACCAACGTGTCTCGCAATGCTGGCAAATGGTGATCGATGCACCATTGCTTCAAATCGGATATATCAACAGTAGCATCATCGTTTAGAACAACTCGAGCTCGGATGATGCTTTTTTCGCGGTTCGCTTTACTCTGGATAAGCACGAGAACGTCTGATACGCTGGGGTGTGACACAAGCACAGTTTCGATCTTGTTGGGCGAGAACGTCATGCGCTGACCTCGCCATGCAATCTCAACTTTTGGACGGATACGCTTCTGAAGCCATACACAGTCAACTCCATTTTTGTCTTGCGTGACAATACCAAGATCAAACGTGTGATGCAACCGATTAAAGCGGAGCAACACGCCTGCCTTTACATACCCTTCTGCCTGCCACGGAGTCTTCATCATGACCTCGCCGTTGTCTGTGGTACAGGTCTCCACACCAGGCCACACATTGCCGACATAGAGCTGTTTCTCGTTGCTTTCCATCTTTTTCAGCTCTGCATCGAAGTTCTTCCCATGTAGACACCATGCCGCCATGTCTCCCATCTCCGTCGAGCCGTAGTTTTGCATCAACAGCAGTCCGTACTTGTCTCTCATTTTGCAAAACAATGGCAGTGAGAGACGTGTACCTGCGCAGTAAGAAATGTCGACATGCAGCATAGTTGGCGGTATTGCGGCTAGTGCGGTGTACGTCCCAGGCGTCGCATAGAACACCGTAAAGAGCTCACTGCGCTGAGCGAGCAGCGAGTAGAGTCCTGCAGCACTAGAGGCGAAGCAAAGATTCGACTGCGCGTCGTACGGAGACGTAAACAGCGCGAATATGGTGTTGATCGAAAACGCGTGCGAAATGGACGTCCCACAAATAAGACGTGCCGGTCCGTTGGGGAAAAGCTGTTGATGCGTTGACTCGCCTTGTAGCAACATGTGGTCCCACGTACACGCCACAACTTTGGGGTCACCAATGCTGCCTGACGTGAGCAAACAGACACATCCATTTTTTGCAACTCTGTCCTCTCTTAGCCATGGAATTGTTGTCCATTCCGTCGGAGAGTCTCCTGCAGCTTGAGAATTGATAACGTCTTGGACGTTCACGGAGGAGGTCGTGTCATTCACAATAAGTACTTTAGTAATGCCTGTCTGCGTCTTGACGTGGTCCAGTAGCGCCACGCGACTTGAACTCACCAATGCACAGACACATTGTAAGTGCATAGCCGCCAAGATACAGGCGACACTCGTGCGATTATTATCCAGCACAAGGACAAAAGCGTCCTTGCGCTTGACACCGGCATTCTGCAGTAGTCTCAGCCCTAACGGTTGTAATACAGCACGTAGACCTCCACGTAATACTTGCACACTCTTGTCTTCAGTTTGCACAGAAATTGGAGACGTCGGACGACCGTCAGCGTCAAATAACGCGAGCTCTTGATGCTTCACGCCTAGACTCGTCATGCTTGTCAACGAACCGTTTTGTTGCTCTTTAAATGTATTGACATGTAACGGTTGAATGCTCTCCAAATGTAAGAAAGTAATTTAATGACCAAGCAAAGCGCTGTTAAACTGAAAGTGCAGCTGCCTGTAAAGGATGACGTGACAGAGAGTGAGCGTGAAGTGAAGTGCGAGTATTTGAATGGAAAGGAGGACAGCAGCATTGTGATTTTGTGCGGTAGTAGTGAATCCGAGACGAAGCAGTCGAGTGACAGCAGTGCCAGTTCTTCCGACACGTGCGATTGGGAGGAAAAGTCGAGGATAAGAAGGACTTTCAGGACTAAGGAGCTCTGTAATGGAGATTATAGTGATAAAGAGGATAGTGACGAGAAAAGTGAGCTGGAGGAGACGACGTTACAACATATGGACGGGCTGATCAAGACAGAAGAAACTGAAGATGGGGTATGCTACAACGAGCCATTAGATCAAGACACGGACTCAGATGATGACGGTTGGCCGATGCTGTTACAGGAAGAGCGAGATGCTGAAAAAAACCAGAAGAAAAAGGATGAAATTGTCGATGAGAGCGACAAAGAAAGTGAAGAAGAGTGGCTTGACGATGAATCGAGGCACCAGGAGGAGGAAGAGGAGAGAGTCGTTTTGCAAGGTGACATTAGCCAAGCAAGGTTTGTACTGCGGAATATCACGTCGCGGATTCCCCTCATCGAGGAGACGGCGATTCGTCGTGGTGTGAAACTTTCAGGGCCGCCACTTGAATTTGCTACGACGCACTTGGATGAGTATGCACGGTAAGTAAAGAACTCTGTTGCATCGTCTTGCTGGTAGATCTCATCATTGTAATTTCGTTTTGCCTTAGAAAATTCCGATGGCCTCAGCATGTTCGGAATCTACGGAATACAAAGTAAGATCTTCCATGTGTCTATCTACGATACTTGTGCATGAAATTGACAAACAAGGTGCAGCTTTTCACAGGATCCGACCGAGATTCTAGAAGATTTCGAGCTGCTGACAACAGCTAAACAGTCAGAGTCCGAGCTACCTGTGTCTTCCTTTCTGCTAAAGCAAACTGAGCGAGATGTTTCGCAGGATAGCGCTTTTGCTCAGGTACCACGTCCTATGGTGGCACTAGCAGCTGGCACGCTGCGCCGATCTCTGCGAAAGCGAAAACGCACAACACAAGAGGTTGCATTCAGTGAATTGCCTTCAGCACACACACTGCTAAATGTCGCCCGAGTTGGCGGACAGTTTGGTGACCACTTTGTCGAGTCGTTGCTCTCATCTAATGGGAAAGCACTGCAAGGCATTGACGATGAATACTGTAACGATATCGACAAGCGTTGCTGGTAAAAGGATTCCCAATAGTTGTAGCTCTGCAAGATTTTCTAACTGGTTGCGTTTGTGTTTGTATACTGTTTAGGTCCTCACTTCCGACGAAGAAAAAGCCAATTGCGAACTGGAGATTTGTTCTTGAGCACGTACGAAGAACCATGGGTAGTTCAACAGGTTCTTCCGACGCTGTGTACCCGCCCATGAAGCAACAGTGAGCGACGGATTTATTCTTTTATTTTGCAAGTTTTGTATCAAAGCACTAATGCTAACCTGACATAATTATGCTGGCAGAACAATAGAGCGCATCACACACCGCCTGAAAAAGCTACACGGCTGCACAACGCAGCACGAAGAAAACGATATTCTTGAGAGAGGAACACCGAGCAAAGAAATGGAAGAGAGGCCACTTTAGATGACCAAACGGGGGATGAATACCAGGTACTTCCAGTAGATGAAACCATCGACATCTCAATGTATTTTTTCCGTACGACGGCAAAGACACTGGTGGCTCGAAAAATCCAACAAACTCCTGTCCAGCTTTAGGTTTTCAGCGCTTTCTTCTTCTTCTTGTATTTATCAAAGTACGCCTGAACCTTCTGGTTGTAGTTCTTGTCGCGCTTTTGCTGGTTAGCTGTCTTCACAATAACTTGTAGCACATCCTCGTCACAAAGCATATGCTCCTTACCAACACGCTGCGGGTTATACTTTGTGCTCGTGCCCCACACCAGTGCATAATTAAAGTTATCCAGCATGTCTTTCGAAATCTACGACAACCGAACGTCAAGAAAATGTCGAGCCATCTCCAATATGACAAGGAAGCGGTTCGTACCGACATGCACGCAGACTGAACGCTTACACCTTTTCGCTCCGAGCCAAGGACAACCGGCTCATCGAATTGAGGGGCCTGAACATTGAAAGCAAAATAATTAGTGGTAACAACGGAGACGATTTATTCTTTTGTCGCACCTCTCCACGACGCTTTGTGTAAACACGTGTCAGTCCCATGTAGTCCCACATCTTGGCCAGAAGTGTGTCGAAGTTGAGCTAAGCCAAAGAGGTACAGTCAGTACGTCTACTTAAAGGGAGTGCCATGATGTTGTCAAGATGAAATTACCGCTGGACGGTCCTCGTGGGCGCACGCAATTACAGTCGAGTTCGGCATGCGCGCCAGCCGATCCACATCTTCAATCGACACCACATCAATCTTGTTGTACACGTACAGACACTTCACATACTTCCGATTGCCTTCGATCACATCAATCAGATCGTCCGTCGTGCAGTCCTCGCGGAAAAGCACCTCACAGTTGTGCAGCTTGTATTCATGCAAAATCTTGTACACTGTCTGGTACGGATCATCTCCAAGCTGGTGTATTGTATTCGACGCATACCACAGTTAGCAGCCGAAGGATACAGAAAAAGTAAAACGCTTCGCACCTTTGTCAGGCGAAGAGTACTGTTAAAAGTGATACCACCACCATTTTTCTTCCGGAAGTAAATGTCAGGTGGCTGTCGGTTGAGACGCAACCCAACAGTCTCCAGTTCGTTCTCCAAGATCTCACGGTGGCGGTTGCCAGCTTCTCGACCTGCGTCCAGGACCATCAGGATCATATCGGCAGACTTAGCCACGGCAATCACCTCTCTTCCACGTCCTCGTCCGTGAGCGGCGCCTTCGATAATGCCCGGCAGATCTAGCAACTTTATTGAAACAAAAGCCCACGGCTTAATTTTGATTACAATTTCCTCATGCAATTAGCTGAAAGAGCGCACCTGAATGCGAACATCGTTGTAGATCAAGTTGCCCGGAATGCACGTGAGTGTCGTAAACTCCACTGCGTTGGTCTCTGACTGTGTTTCGGTCAGTTGACTGTTCATCCAAATTGCACATTGCTCTTCATACGTCAACACTGTGACGTTTCGTGACAACGTGGCCTTCCAGCATAAAATACACACCTTAGCATCGTTGATTTTCCGACACTAGGAAACCCAATCAACGCCACACGTCCATCGCCACTCTTGGCCACATCAAATCCTGTTAGACAGAGACAAGGACAAATCCTATTACCACCACCCAACAAACTTAAAGCTCGTAGCTTCAATAGTCACCCACCTTCGCCACCACCACCGCTTGACTTTCCTTCATCTAAAAGCTACAATGTCATCATTTTATCGTTGTCACCATTGGAATTAATCAGCAAAAAGAGGAAAGAACTTGAATCAGCAGAGCATGACGTACCTCTGTTCGGAGCTTGGCAAGCTTAGCCTTAAGACGACCAAGATGACCCTCCGTGGCTTTATTAATCTGTGTCCGTTTCATCTCATCCTCTTTGCAGCAACAGCACAGCACACAAATCAAGGAATGACACATGATACACTCAGGACTTGAATAGTAATAGCTACATACCAATTTCCTTGATGCGATCAATGATTCCCATGGCTGCCCACTGGTCTGCAGCTTGAGTGAGGACTCTCCTTATTACGGACCCACCAATTTTGGTGTACTGCACTCTATTTGAGTGACAGTTTGATCACTTATTTCAGTTGTTTATTCCACCTCGTGATACTATATCAGTACCTTGCTACATACAACTCAAGATGGATGACAGTACGGACATTTCCATCCCTGGTCGTGGCTTCATTCCTGCTCTGCTGGTCTGTTTTGACTGTATAATAATAATAATAGTATGTGTGGTGTTGCTCATTCGCTGACTTGTTTCACAGGGTGGAGCTATGGCAGGAACATCTGTGGATATTGCGTTGTTCCCGCTTGATACTATCAAGACACGACTGCAATCTGCTCATGGATTTTTCAAGGCTGGTGGTTTCCGAGGCATTTACTCGGGCTTATCTGCTGCAGCTGCTGGTTCGGCTCCAGGAGGTATGTAATGATCTAGTCCTTGTACCAGAAAACAAGCACATATAGTAGAGTTTCTCGACCCCTTCTTGCTGCTTTACATTTACATGCTCTGTGTGGTCCATAGGCGCTTTGTTCTTCAGCACTTATGAGACTTCCAAGTCAATATGTGGCATGGTCGCTCCGAACCAGCAACATTCTCCTCTTATTCATATGGCAGCTGCTGCTTCGGGGGAAATGGTGAAGAGTTTTTTACTCTGAGAGATGTGATACAGTGAAGAACTTATTGTGACGACGCATGATTGTATCTTTAGGCGGCATGTCTAGTGCGCACGCCCACCGAAATTGTCAAGCAGCGCATGCAGACGGGTGTCTACAAGTCATTACCAGAAGCATTCCATGCGATTCGCGTGGCTGAAGGTCTGGCAGGGTTTTACCGAGGATACTGGAGCATGATTGCACGAGAGATTCCCTTTTCATTCATCCAGTTTCCGCTTTGGGAAAGTTTAAAGGTTTGCGCTCTTCCATAATGTAACTAACGTGCATGAAGGAGGCACTAACGTGACGTTGACACACGCTTCGATTGTAGTATCAATGGTCGAAGAAACAGAACGCCCCCGTGTCCTCTCTCCAAGGAGCTGTTTGCGGATCGATCGCTGGTGGAGTGGCAGCGTCCATCACGACCCCACTCGACGTGGTTAAGACGCGTCTGATGCTCGGCAAGGACGCCAATGGTGTTCCTTACAAGGGCATGCTGAGTACGCTATTGCGTGTTTACACTGACGAAGGATTGAAACGTCTGTTCTCGGGTGTGGGTCCACGCACAATGTGGATCAGCATTGGCGGCTTTGTCTTCTTTGGTATGTATGAGAAAACCACCTTGACATTCGCAGCAATCATGTAGAGTGAGATCCACGTACGTACAAGATTCACAAATGCAATAGACTGATAGAGATGTGGTGGCGCTTCACCGTCTACACTAGTTGATGAGCTTAAAAGAGGCCTCGAGTCATTACTAAAGTAGCGGATAGAATCGGTGTCCGAAGCAAGATGTCCCATATCTGCACATAACGTCATCGTAAAAGTGGCTCTAATTGCTCCCCAGTATGTCCACGTAATATACAGTATCCAAGTATATAAAATTGTCTCAACGGTATCGAGGGTACTCTCATTTTCGAATCGACGCGCTACAGACCAAGCACCTTTCTTTTCCATACTAAGATGGCTACTTCCACCAACAAGAAGATTCGTGAAGCCTCGCAGCTGGACCAGCTCAAGCAATTTACCACTGTAGTGGCCGACACGGGCGATTTTGGGCAGATTAACAAGTACAAGCCGCAGGATGCCACTACGAATCCGTCGCTGCTGTTCAAGGCCGCTCAAATGGAGCAGTACTCTGCTCTCATTGATGACGCTATTGTGTACGGCAAAGGCTTATCGGCCGACATGTCCGAGAAGGAGCGTATCGGCTACGTCATCGACAAGCTGTCGGTGAATTTCGGCGTGGAGATTCTCAAGATTGTGCCTGGCTACGTGTCCACCGAGGTCGACGCTCGTCTGAGTTTTGACACGGAGGCTACGATCGCGCGCGCCCATCGGATTATCGATCTGTACGAGAAGGCTGGTATCAAGAAGGACCGCATCCTCATCAAGATTGCCAGCACTTGGGAGGGCATTCAGGCGTGCAAGCACTTGCAGAAAGAGGGCATCTCGTGTAACATGACACTTCTCTTCGGCTTCGCCCAAGCTGTAGGCTGTGCCGAGGCCGGTGCTACTCTCATCTCGCCCTTTGTGGGCCGTATCCTGGACTGGCACAAGGCCAAAACCGGCAAGTCTAGCTACGAATCTCACGAGGACCCTGGTGTAGTATCCGTGACCAAGATCTACCAGTACTACAAAAAGTACGACTACAAGACCATTGTCATGGGTGCCAGCTTCCGTAACACTGGTGAGATCACTGAGCTAGCTGGCTGTGATCGTTTGACCATCTCCCCTGGTCTCCTGGAGGAGCTTACCAAGTCGACCAGCAAGCTAGACAAGAAGCTGGACCCCGAGACGGCCGCCAAGGCGTACACGGGTGAAAAAGTGTCCTACGATGAGAAAGACTTTCGTTTGAGCATGAATGAGGACGCCATGGCCACGGAAAAGCTTGCCGAGGGAATTCGTGGTTTCAGCGCCGACATCGTCAAGCTCGAGCAGATCCTCAAGGAGAAGCTGAGCGCTTAAGCAAGAAAACGTTATCGAGTTAGTCGGAAAGCTACCTTGGAAAGTGTGGACCAGCCGCTAGTACTAATGCGACAAAATGGTCAGAAAAAAAAATATTGACAAAAGACGTAGCATTGAAAAATTGTGAAGAGCGCATTTTATATCGTACTTAGTAACCGTAAGTAAAATTATTGAAATACGTATTTCGTCACAAAAAACAAAACGCTCACTGGCTAAAAACGTCTCAATTGGATATTCACGTGCGAAAATGGTCAACTTTGGTGACGAGTTTCAGCTGAGTCGCTGGTTTAATGCCAGCTCCAGCAGCTGCGCACATGCAACAGACAGCGAGGACGGAGACGCGATGGGCTCGACAGATGACGTTGCAATGTCATCGTCAAGCGGCACGACTACGACTCAATGCTTTGTCTGTCACATGCCCAATCCCGAGTACATGTCTACGAACACGGTAAAGAAGGCACCGCCCGTACCCGTGTGCTCTGTAGGTTGTGAGGCCAAGTATCTCGAGAAAAAGGGCATGAAGCCATCAGGTGACTCGAAGAACGTGGATCCGAATCGCTGCTTCATGTGTCAAGCCTTTAATCCAGAGTTCTTGATCAGCAGTCGCGGTTCTGTGACGTCAGTATGCAGCAAAGAGTGTGAGAAGGCCTTGTTTCGTCGGAAGAAGCAGCGTATGATTGCTGATGGGGATGAAAGCGTGTTGATCAAGCGCTCCAATGGCGACAGTGTCGAGCCTACCAAACGTCTACGCCGCACGCTCACCTTTTTAGGTGATCAGCTGCTCGATAGCTCGGATGGTAAAGGATACAAGAGCTGGTGGCTCGGTGCTCTGACCTTTTATGATTTCGTGTATCAACGCCACGGAATGTGGCATAGCTACTCGATCAGCAATGACGTACCGCGTGTCGACCAGTGTCTGATTAAATTTGGTAAGTGTTTTGGTAGAGAACTGCATTCGTTTGTTTGTGTTGTAATACTGACGGAGACATTTTTTTGGATTATGTTGATGTTGTGTTGTTAATGGATTTGAATTGTAGCAACTTGCAATATCTATCGCGAGCTGGACCGTAGCACGGCATACCTTCGAAAGCATGTGCTTCGATGGCAACTAGCCCACCAAGGACGCTTGGCACTTCGTGAAGTTTTGTGGATGGCGGTGATGTTTAGGTATTGCAATAAGCTGGAAACGTTTTACAAGCTCAAGGGCATTCCCAGCTCGGACGACTTTCCGCATTTTAGAAAGCGGTACATATTGTTTGTTTCAAATAATGGGAACACTGGGCACGTAGTTTCAACTAACAAATGCTATGGGGTTTGCGTCACAGTCTACTTGCAATGGCCAAGCGCTCGGATGCCAACAATATTTTGGCGGGCGACCGTGAGCTTACGGTGGATACTTACCTAGAGACTCTGGAGACGTTTTTGCAGAACATTGATGAGACGACAGTGTCGGTGAAGGAGTGCAGCACGTCTGAGGCCATCTTTGATGTTCTTCGCAAGTTCCAAGACAACGTCCTTGGATCGTTTACATGCTGGCAGGTCGTCTGCGATCTGATGGAGCTCCACATATTGTCCGAGGATTTCATCACGGATGAATTTGTATGGCTCACCCTCGACGCGAGTAAGAGCCTCGTGCAAATATTTGGCAAAAACCGGGCGCGACCCTCGGAGTACGTCGCTCTCGCGAGATTGCTGCAACAGCGCCAGCTCCAAGGTTTTAAAGCTCTGCAAGTGACTTTCCCGTTCTTTATGGACCAGAAGCTGAATTTGAAGAATATTGGGCACGCACTGCACAGCTTCCAAGTGTATCGCAACATGAAACTACTGGAACATAAGCAAAGCCACAAGCAGGAGCCCGGAACCTCGCAACCTGCAGTGTACAGCTCGCGTACATACATGATGGACTCAGAGAACTGCGAGGTTTGTTCTCATCCGGATAATGAGGACGAGTTGGTGCTGTGTGACATGTGTCAGCGCATGTTCCATAAGTACTGCATCAATATGAAGGAGCTGCCTCCGGCCTCGTGGGTCTGCACTGCTTGCAAGACGCTGCAAAATTATCCGCATGAAGGTCTGGTTGTGGAGCGAGAAGTGATTTCAATTGATTAAATAGCCGTTGCTGTTCAACACATGTTGTGGGATAGTGCAGGTCTGCCCTTGATTGAAATACACGAACGTATACAAGACCTGCAATATAATGTAGTGATGCATGCTCACGCGCACTAGTTACGGAAGTCAGCCGAAGTATTCTTGGTTAGAGGCGCTTCATCCTTCCTTTCCCACCGATTTTTCACGACTTGGTAGTGGGAATCGTTTTTCCAAACGTAGTAGAACGCGACCACGTCTCCGCAGGACTTGCTGCTAATCTTCAAGGTACAGCAGAGGACAGCTATCAGCGCTCAATAGACACGTGCAGTACTTTTCTTTTCACTTACTACATCGGCAATTCGTGGGAAATCCTTGCCGTAGCACTCGATCGCAACTTCAAACACTCTGATCTCAAACAGAGTCCATGTGTCTGTCATCGCACATGCCATCGTGTTAAAAACCTATGCACACAAACAAGATAGTGTGGAGTAACTTGCTTACCCAACACCGACGAAACCCGCAATGGTGATAACCCTTTAGGGCCTTGGTGAAAGCAGGAGACGCGCTGTAAGCCAAAGGCGGAAATCTTTTGCCTTTTGTGGTTGGATGCATACGTTGGCTGAGGAGAATACATAGCTCGAGCAGCGTCAAGGTAATCTTGAATGTAAACCTGTCGCTCTGTATGTTCACATGCCCAGCGGTTCAACCTAGATCATCATATACCGCGAAAGTTAAACAAGTACACTTACTTCGAAGACGATCCATCAGCTCGAGCGTCTCGCTGCATACGTCTGGTTCAGGCTCCGGTAGAAAATCGTCTGGCATATTGACATTGTCGCGAAGTTTCGCACATGATCCATGCTTCTTCCAAACATAGTAAAACGCGATAATGTCCTTTACCGTTTTCTTCGGGAGCTGAAAAGAACGAAAAGTCAGCACCAGCTAATAAACTTGAATATGTACCCTCTAAATGCAAGTGATAACCTGCTCAGCAATGGCGTAAAAGTCCTTGCTAAAGCGATCATAAGCCTCCTCGAAGAGACCGACTTCAATTCCTGTCCAATCATCTACATAATAATCAACACACCTCCCATGAGACGTCCACATAAGTGAAAGTTGATATCAAAGAGCATACCAAGAACCTGATGTGCTCGCAGAGGAGACACCAGTGCTGCCAACGCGTCGAACGTTGATCGGCTTTTAAACCCATACTACCATCCACACAGACATGACAACAACTATTAAAATATCCCATAAAACATCAAAGCGGCTTAACCGCAAAGAATGATCTCACCGAGTTAGGCCTCATTTTCAACATAGCCGACGGTCGCTTCATCTGATATTGCATCTCATACAACGCCCGTGCCGCTCGCAAATACCGCCGAATATTCTTCATTTTGACTGCCACCCATCAGGACAATCAGTATCAAAGCGATATGAACAATCATGTCCAAAATAATCAGCAACAAGTGACCAAAATTTTGAGCCTTTGGTTTACCATCGGCATTCGTTGCGGACCCTTCTTTCTCTCTCCAAATAAGCGCTGGCTGGACCATTTTTTGTCTATCTCCATCATCGATACTAGTAATATCATCACCACTGCTACTGTCCGATCGCATCTGGTACCAATTACCAGCAATAAGAAGCATTTTTAAATCACATTGACCCATTTTTCTCGTGCTTTCTATAACGAGTCACTACATGTCGCTAGAAAAACACCTCCTGTGCAGTCACGTACTGGAATTAATCGCTTTTGTACTCGCAACATCCCCGTCTTGTTTGGTGTCATTGGTAGTGGCTCCTTAGATTCATCACTCATACAGTCGTGACTCGCGATAGTACCCATTCTGTCGATAAAATGGGTATCGTAACTTACCCATAAATGCGCTTCATTTAAGTACGATCACATTTTTATTGTAAAATTTTATTAAAAATGACAATAAATGAAATGAATTGCGACGGCCCGCAGCCCATGGAGAATGCCGCTGATTTCCTACGTCGTCTATCCATTGCAGACGCCAAAGTATTGCTAGAAAGGACAAGGTATGTGTATTATCTATCTCCCGTCTAGACTATAGACGGGGCATCATCTTGCATGTCGTTGAGATATAATCTTTCCTCGTGGCTATTTTTTTTATTGTAATTTTTGATGAATTTTAATGTTTTGTAGGAAGGAAAAGGAACAAAAGACGAAAGAAATGCAAAAAATGATCAGTGTTCGATACCGTGATCTTATTGAATCGGCAGATAAGATTGTAAACATGCATTCGGCCGCTCTGCGTCTTGAAGTGTCGCTCAAGGAAATGCCCGAGATGTGGAAGCAAATGGAAATGGATCTAATGAGTGCCTTGACTGTGGAAAGCCAGAAAATTAAAGTTAGTAAGGAAGAGACTGGAGATGCTGTTTTTGAAGAGAAGGCTCTGTCTGATAAAGTGGCATTTCTGGTGGAAGTACCGGAGAAAATGTGGCAACTCTTGGACAAAGGAGAGTCGCTATCGGCTCTGTTGCTGTATCAAGAAGCGAAAAGGATTCACGAGGAATGTATGACGAGGAATGCAGAGCAGGATTTTCTATTCCTGCAGACGCAGTGGTCGTGCATTCAGTGCTTTCGACCGGTAGAATGAAGATCTGATGCGTTCTTGCTATTGCAAAGATACTTATTTGCTGTTGCCTTTTGTATGTGTAGAGGATGGCTGCGTGTGCGAATAGCTACCTGACTTGTCGAGGGAAAGCAAGTCAATTTTACGCGGACAACTTGTGTGCGCTGGCGGTGCTACATGACCCGCCATTCGGAGCCGATAAGCTTTTTGAAGTGTTTTTGGAAAGTCGTTCCAAGTGGTTGACTCCTATTTGTAAAAGCGGTAGCGAAAAACAGCTTGCGCAAACGTCTTCCAAGAAAGAACGCGCACTGATGATCATTTTAAAAACCATCAGTATGACGATAACACATACGGAGGAAATCTTTGGCAATGAGAGCAGTGTCGGCCTCTTAAGCTCGATTTCTCAACTTCCACCCAGTGTCAAGAACGAGCTAGAAGCATGCATATCGTCAGGGAAGTTTCTACAAATGATAAGCAAATGGTTTCAGGAGAAACGGCGACAGGTATGCTAGAAGGCTGTTTTCTTATACCTGCATCAGATGATCCGTATTTGACAATGTTTTGCTCCGTTTTCAGGTAGGTATGGTGATCTCGTCAATTATTTCGAGTATCGACTCGATTTTGCTTCTGTCGCAAATTCAATCCAAGATGATTACTGTCAACAAAATCAGTGGCGGTTGCCAGAACGTGCAACTCTGGCATCGGGTCCTTAGCGAAGCACATTTATCCCGACCTGAAGGTCATGAGAAGGGATTAGCAGCTCCTGTCGAATCTGTCTTTTCCGTTCTCTACGCTGAGGCATTCCGAAAACGTACTCGCGATTTGGTACAGAATTCGTTTGTTGAAGCTCTGGAAGCGATCAAAAGTCGGCTTCGCGCGAGCTTGGAAGACACGGTGGCTAGTATTTCTCGAAGCGACTATCGATTGAAGAATGTGAACTTTTACGACTACTTCGAGACGATACAGAACCGAGCTGCTGATCTGGATGCAAGTGATTTGCAGAGCGTACTAACGGAAGAGTTTCTTCGTACGCTATTTAGACTAGTGATGTTCTTCGAGCAGGATTATCCGCTTCCAGGAAGCCAAAGTTCTGTTGCTGTGAAAGGTGGAACTCAACTACCAAGCGTCTATTTTAGCATTTCCAACATTATCGCGGGGATTGTGGCTGGATTCCCTCATGAAATGACCAAATTGTTTCCAGGAGATTCAAGCACTGTTTCGATTCCGGAGAGAGACCTCGTATGGTTGGCAATTGGCCCGGCATTTGAAAAATATGCTAACGATGGTTTTGTGGACAAAGCGCAGCTAGAGTCTGCTATAAAGGTGAACTGCTTCAGGCAAACTTGAAGATGCGGTAGTTGAGACTTGTAACTAACATTCTATTTTCTAGGACATCATCGAGGGCAAGAAAGACGTGCAAGCATGTTTTATTGACGATGAATTAAGACGGGTGGATAGTTTGGGGCCTCATTCCCTTTATTTGGTGTCAAAGATCAAGCAACAAGCATCCTATCCTCAAATGTTTGTCAACGTTTTACACGGGCTTTCCAAGAAATATTGCGAGGCATGGGCTTCAATTCTTCTGGGGCAGAAAATCGAGCCATTGCGTGAGTTAATGCAGATCGAGCAGTATGATTCGACCAACGAGGTACGATTTCGTATTGTCCAGCTGGTAGCGCTAGCATGTTACACGCCTTGTTTTGGAATTATGTCTAGGAATGGATCGCAAACCATGAGGGATGGATAGAACAAGTGATTTCTGACGAAGGTCTTGGAGAAGACAGCGACGAATCTTTATCGGAGTCTGAGTTAGATCCTGGTGATGAAAAAGTCTGGCTGCCGTGGTGCGAAACACCGACAGTCTCAAGCTTCCTCTTCTCATGTTGTTACAGCCTGGATGATGCAAACCTATTGATTCAGAGCTCCGTCGGAGCAAAGGAAGAGCAGATTAAGCTGATGCAGCGCACAATTCGTGAAGTTCTGGTGGAGCAACTTACAATTGTCAGCGTGGCAGTATACGATGCTGCGGTTTCTCTTCTTGTCAAAGCGAAGACAACTCAAAAGGAATCTGTGCTGAACTTTGGTGAATGTTGCATTCAGCAGTTCCTCTTTGACATGTATTTCGTACGCGCGACGTTGGGCTTTTCGGATTTCATTCGTTTTGGCTGGGGTGATGAGCTAAACCCGGAAAAGTGTTCTCCTGGGTTACTTAAGCTGAAAAGCCTGTTCGAACGCATGCGAGATTTCATAGATCTAGTGGATTGGGAGATCTATGGTCCTCAACTGATCGAGAACGTCGTGCTACAATTCCGAAAGAGTCGGTTGCTCTTCTCATCGTTGTCAGAGTCAAACGATATCAACAAAATCAGTAAGTTAGACTGGCCGCTTGCACGTGAATGTGCTGTGCCCTGGAGCCTACCTACATCCATACACTAACAGTTTTCTTCTGCTATAAACATCAGATGGGAAAGAAATCATTATCGGGGCTCAAGACATTCGGCCGCTAGCTCGGGTTGCAGAGCCTGTTGCGAGATTTTCATTGCTTCCTGTTCCTTCGAATCGTCGTAGATTCCAGCGCACCATGTCACGTTCAAGTGTGGATGACACAGCAGACAGCCGAAGCCGAGCAAACAGCTCTTCTCTTTTCCACGAACGGGCAGGTGGAGATGATGCATCTGGATCGCAGTCTTCTTCCATGAAACTTCAAAATCTACTCTCATCATCGACAGGCTCAAACATCTTCTCTGCCGCGACGTCCGGTACTAACCTGCTTACGTCCGCAGCAAAGGGCATCGGGTTCTTGTCTTCTGCGACGAGCAACCGATATTTTTGATCACTTCAGCAGCATGGTATTGGAATTGCAGTGATGCGAATGCAAATTGGCGAAGAAACTCTTCAGAAAGTCATCTGCGTAATCTCTATACATGTACTTCAAGTATTAGGATAATTACCCATGTGCACGGTTACTCCACGAACTTCATGGACGAACCCTTGGAAAGAGCTCCCCATTGCTGGTCGTACACTTTCTCAAAGGCACCAATATCGGCGTCCTTTGCCAGCAAATCTTTACTCTCCGCAAAGAACTCGTTGGTGATTACACGAAGCGAATCTGCCATCAGGTCACGGATAACAAAATGCAAGCGATCACCTGTTTGCTTAAAGTCCGGACCGGGGTTAAATTCCAGAAGCCATACATTGAAGTCCTCGTCGATCATGAAGTCCACGCCGTAGATCTCGAAGCAGTTGGGTAATGGCTGGAAAACTGAGAACTCACCCTTGTATGCATCAAACGCGTCAGCAGTGATGCGGCCTATGTCTTTCAAAATCTTGGCCTTCTTGTCTGCAGCATCAAGGATACCTTGTTCTGCCAAAATGTCTTCGATGTCGTCCAGTAATAGCACACACTCGCTCTCAACGAAGTTCGGGTGACTCTGCTGCTGAAAAGTGTTGGTGATGTGCGAGTAGTTGTTGTCCGTATCCTCTGGGTGGTACTGCTCGAGGGCACAAAGCACGAGGCAGTGTTGGTACACAAACACCTTGAGACCACCAACCGCAAGCACGTAAACGCGGATGTGAAACTTGCGGCCACGCAGTAGCAGCGGTCGTTCGATGTACTCCTGCACGACCCATTCACGGATGTCAGTCCACTCGTTAACGATGCTTCGCAGCTTCTCAAAGTCCTTGACCACGTTGACTTCCGCGCCCTTGTTCGTTGCACTGGGTTTCATGATCCAATTTTTCTTCGTTTCAAGCGTCTGTTTAACTTCCCACAGACATGAGTCCAAACGCTGACGGAATGAGATGCCAAAGTGTGCCATGCTCTCATCATATGCTTCCCATGTGTCGACTACAAGGGTGCGAGGTAGTGCATAGCTCAACATGCAATCTGGATGTTTGAGCATGTACTTGGATAAATAAATGGACAGCTGTGCCTTGCGTGACAGCCCCTTACGCACACAGTACGCATTGGCCACGAGTTTTCCAGCGAGGATGTTTTTCCAGTCGAGATTTTCATACTCATCCCACTACAACCCATAGCAATCAAAGCCATCGTTAGCAACTATCGTCCACCAAAACACTTGTTTTCACTAGTAACAAGCTTCATACGATTAAATCCGGGAGCTCCTCGTAGCCAATTCCATCGTCCGAGACCACCGTGTACAAGGCAGGATGCAGTGCAAACGCACGATCCACGAGCGGTGATACGTACTCACTAGGAACATTCACACGCGCTATCAGTCCATGCTTATAGCCTTTTGCAGCTTCAGCCTCTAGCAATCGGTACTCAATAGCACACGCCAACTCGCTGGTTGGCCAGTGCATATTATCTGAATATGTGGATAATTTATGAACCCATATCACGTCTTTTTATCTAAGCAAAAAAAAATCCAAACATCTAGATTTTTTTACCGTATCCTCACTTATTCCGGAACGTGTCCATCCGTCCCGTCCGCATTATCAAGAGCTCACTTTGTTATTTTCTTGCTTGTCCGCACTCATGACAGCGAAGCGACCGACGCGTCGTGAAGGTGAAAAAGTGTGGTGTCCAGATCCACGCAATGTGTGGCAATTGGGTGTTGTAGTAGAAGATGATGGCGAGAAACTCCATGTGTTACTACCCGACGCTGACACGGAAGAGCAGTTTACGTTTGAGCAAGTACATCCGTATGATCCGACACACTCTTTTGACTTGACAAATGTAGCGGAGATGGATAATTTACACGAAGCGCCACTGCTTGAACTACTGCGTCGACGGTACCTTGAGGACAAGATTTACACGTACACGGGTGACATTCTCATCTCTATTAACCCGTACAAGAACATTCCGATGCTCTATAACTTTCCAGAGCTAGATTCAATTGGAAAACTGGATAATCCAGTGCCGCACGTCTATTCGACGGCTCATGGGGCGTACCATACCATGATGAAAGACGGCAAATGCCAATCTATTCTAGTCTCGGGTGAGAGTGGAGCTGGCAAGACAGAAGCTTCGAAATACATCATGCGGGTACAGTTATAGTGACTTGTTTTATAGTGACAAGCTGATGCTGATGCTGCTGCTGCTAGTTGTTCTAATGTGGTCGTGTTCTGTTGATTATACTGCAGTATTTAGCCAACATCTCGGAGATTGGGAAAAAGACGCCCAAGGTTCCGAACGTAGATGTCGGAAGCTCATCGGTGGAGCAGTGTGTGCTGCAGAGTAATCCACTACTCGAAGCTTTTGGAAATGCAAAAACGATTCGCAACGACAATAGTAGTCGGTTTGGTAAGTTCATTAAGATTTACTACAATGCGGATGGCACGATCTCAGGCGCTACAACGAGCCACTTTTTGCTGGAAAAAAGTCGAATCGTCGGCAGTGCTGAGGCAGAGCGCAACTATCATGTCTTCTACCAGATTTGTGCAGGAATGCCTACGGAAATGAAGAATGCACTCAAGCTAAAGCCTGCAAGTGAGTTCTACTTTCTCAATCAAGGGAATTGCATTCAGGTGTCAGAGATTAACGACAAGAGAGACTTCAAGGCGCTTGTGGAAGCCATGGGTACTGTAGGTATTCCACCAGAATTGCAACACACTATCTTTCGCCTTGTTGCCTGTGTGTTACATTTGGGCAATATGGAGTTTACAGAGAATGCAAAAAATGAGTCCCAAATTGCCCACCTTGAAGACGTTACAAATTTGGCCGAGTTGATGATGGTGACGTCAGATGAGCTTGAATTTGCTCTCACCAAACGAACGATGTCTGCCGGTGCGCGTGGATCTGTGGCAGAGATTGCACTGACTGCTGTTGAGTCTGTCAAGTCGCGCAATGGTCTTGCAAAGGACATCTTCAGCAAGATTTTCGACTGGCTGGTGTTTCAAATCAATAAATCGACGGCGAATGTCGGGGGCAGTACTGGTGTAGACGTAGGCTCCAAGTTCATTGGAATTCTGGATATCTTTGGTTTCGAAAGCTTGCAAGTGAACTCGTTCGAGCAGCTATGTATAAACTACACGAACGAAATGCTGCAGCAGCAGTTCAACCAACATGTGTTCGTTTACGAGCAGGAGGTGTATGTTGAAGAGGGTATCGATTTTTCGCGTTTGGAGTTCAAGGACAATGGACCATGTCTGGATCTGATTGATAAGAAACCTTTGGGTATCCTCCCACTTCTGGATGAACAAGGAATGCTCGGTCGACGTGCTAGCGACGAAAACTTTATCAAAAAACTGCATCAAACACATTTGCCGAAGGGCAAGGTCCCCGAGGGCACTACAGTCTATTACTCTAAGCCACGTTTTGCCACGGACGAGTTTGTGATTAACCACTACGCTGGCGATGTCACGTACAATGTCAATGGCTTTTTGGAAAAGAACGATGACTCATTGCACAATGATCTGATCTCGCTCATGGACAGCTCGAAGTGTGAGTTCCTGCGGAAGTTGTATCCAATTGCCCAAGCAGGTGCGGCGGCTGGTGCAGCTAACCCGCGCAGACCCATTCGCAAAATGGGCAATAAGATGACTGGAACCATGACAGTTGGGCGTAAGTTTCGCGACCAGATGGCAAACTTGATGGTGGAACTGAAGGCGACAACGCCGTCCTTCGTTCGGTGCGTTAAGCCCAACAACGTCCGTTTCCCGCAGGGATGGAATTCTGAGCTGATTCTCAATCAACTTATATACCTTGGTGTCATGGAGACTGTGCGTATTCGCCGGTCAGGTTTTCCTGTTCGACGGCTTTTTGAAGAGTTTCACGAGAAGTATCAAGTTTTGACCCGTAATGTTACAAAGGAAAAACAGGCGAAAATGACGGACAAAGACTACTGTGAAGTCATACTACGCTTCATTCCCCGTGAGAACTGGCAGCTAGGTCACAAGAAGGTATTCCTCCGCGACAGTCAATTGCGCATGTTAGACAATGAAGCACGCAAGTTCTTGCACGAGGCCGCTACCGTTATTCAAAAGTATGCCCGTGGACGACAACAGCGCCGAAAGTACCTGGACATGCGGCAAAAAGCAGTCCTCATTCAGGCCACGATCCGTATGTGTTTAGCAAAATGGCACTTCTCGCGTATGCGTCATCGTATTACACTTCTTAATGCCGTGGCGAGGCAGTTCGTTCAGCGGCAAAAGTACAAGCGCTTGCGCAAGACAACAATTCTTGTGCAAAGTCATGTTCGGGGCAATGCAGCTCGCCGGTATGTACTCTATCTGCGTACTGCCCCGCCTGCCGCAATTATGATACAAGCCCAGGTGCGACGCTACTTGGCACGTAAGCGTTTTATCAAGCAAAAGCATGCCGCATCGAAGGTTGCAAACGCTCGCAAAATGCAAAAGCAGCGGGCAGAATTCCTGGAGATGCGTGGTGCGGCGAACACGATTGCCTCTCGATACAAAGGTTATGCTGCACGAAACAAGTATCGCGATATGCAGAAGGCAGCTATCGTGTTGCACGCAGCGGGTCGTGGCTTTAATGCCCGCCTGAAGTATGGCAAGAAGGCACGTATGCGAGCTGTTGCGCGCAACAAAGCGCAGATACAAATTTCGCGAGTGGTTCGTGGATTCCACGCTCGGCGTTGCTTCCAGGTCTCTCGCCGACGTATTATTATGATTCAAGCACGTGTACGTGCTAACCGCGTTCGAACTGAATACCTCAAGGGTCGGAAGGCTACTATTAACTCTCAGGCTATGATTCGTCAATTACTTGTGCGCCGCAGATTCCTGCGCGAGAAAAAGATGGCAACACGTATTGAGGCGTTTAGTCGAATGGTTATCTGTCGTCAGCGGTACCGTGATGAGCGCAAGAAAATCATTTTAGTGCAGTCTCTCTGGCGGATGCATAGTGCTCGCAAGCAGTACACCAAACGGGACAGGCAGGTGACACTATTGCAATCGCTCTGGCGCTGTCATGCTGCAGCAAATAAATACCGCGATACGCGGGAGAAAATCATCACAATTCAAGCTTTTTTTTCATGACAGTGAGGCATGCAAACTACCTAAAATTACGGTCTGCTGCACGCGTGGTGCAGGGTGCTATTCGCACGTACCTGCGCCGCCGCCAGTTTGTTCGTTTCCACAGTGGAGTTGTAAAAACTCAAGCACTTTACCGAGGCTACGTCCAGCGAAAGCAGTATCGTCGAACTTTACACCGAGTCATTACGGTTCAAAGCGTTTTCCGCCAGAAGAGAGCCGATAAGCTTGCAGATGTTCGGCGTCGGTCTATGGCGCGAGTGCTCGGTGTCGTTAGGATCTTCTTGTCTCGTGTCCGTATGCAAAACCGCACCCGATCATTGTTTAACGCTGCCAACGCCTACAATTTGACCGAGGTGCTGCACATTGCACAGGAAATGCCAGGAATGTTACGGGTGCGCGACCGTGTGCACGGCATGATGTCATTGATTCACGTGGCGGCCAAGAATGGCGATTTGAACCTGGCGCGTTTCGTTCTTGAGGAAAACCCTCAGCTTGAAGATCTTGTGTATGGAAAGGATACCACGGGCAGTACACCTCTGCACTATGCTTGCCGCCTGGCCCACCTGGACATGGTGCGTTTGCTCACGAAGGTTGCCAACCGGAATTCCAATCCGGGTGCACTTTTTGACTTTGGAGCAGCTCGTACGCGAAGCGCAAGTAGCACGAGCAGTGCGAATGACGACCCGCCCGATGTAAAATTTCGCTCTGTCTCCAGTGTTAGCACGGTGTCCATGTCGACACCAACGTCCCGTTCTCCATCAAGGAGTATTTCAATTGGCAATCGCAGCCCTATTGTGGGATCCGATGCTCGTATGCGTGGAATGTCAACAGCCTCGACATCGTCATTTTCGATGCAGCCAGGCTTCAAACCTGGTGACCACAACGCGCCGAAGCGTCATGGTCGCCGCGCTCTCGTGTCGACTACACCGAGGGCTGGGAACAGTCGCCGTCTAACTTCATCCATCGGTGGACTTCCTTCCGTTCTACCGACAACACTCCAAATTAAAGTATACAAGGAGGGATTTCTTCGCAAGGCTAGCGGTACACGCTGGGCCACGAAGCGCTATGTGATGGCGGACGAGGTATGCTTATCCTACTACAAGACAGAGAAAGACAAAATTCCGCTCAAGATTGTCGAACTATGCGATGCCACTATCAAACGTAACTCGGACGTGGACTGCTGTTTCGAGATCAGATCACCGCGTCTCAAGAGCTCCAAAAACCCTGATGGTATGCTTTCGTTTGTGGCTGACACCGAACAAGAGGTGCACGAATGGATGCTTGCTATTCGTAAAGTGCAGGGTGTGCGCGTGACCACGACGAGTCCTCCGAACCACAACATGATTTGCATTGACAGTGGACTGCGCCGTGACTACGTCAATATGAAGAACAAGCTCGGCTTTACGCCTTTGCATCTTGTTGTGCAAAATGACGAAGACGAAGGATTTGAAGCTGCGAAGGTGTGCGTCTGGCTAATCGAGAACGGTGCTGATCCGAATGCCATTGACGAGAACGGAGACACAGCACTCCACTATGCTGTGGAACTGGACCGTTATGACCTGGTTGAAACGCTAATGAAGCGCGGTGCGGACTCGAGTATTAAGAACCTTAAAGGTCTCTCAGCCATGGAGATTGCTGAGGAAGATGACCTGAAGGAAATTCTCAGTCCAGTGAAACACACCTTGAAGGTGGAAAAAGTCCCGGTCGATGATGATGAGCCTCAAGCGGATGGAATCGATCTCGCTCAAGAGATGACACCAATCGCTTCATCGCTCGTCCCTCCTCCTGACAGATTACGCGACAGTACTTATGTGTCTGTGTTCCTTGGTGCTGTGGCTGTGGCCACGGGCCCAGTTATGGAGACACCACACTTTAATCTCTATATCATGGATTCCAAGGGTGCCATCATCGACACGGCGCAGCGCACTCCGAAGTCCCTTATCCAAACGGGAGGCAACTACTGGTGGTTTGGCAACACGTGGTATCTGCAGACCCCACTTGAGCACCTCAAGGACGGTAAGGACATTCGCTATATATTGATAGCATTAATGGCGTGTGTTCACAATGATCGCTTTACCCTGCTTGCATTTAGGTTGTGTCGCGGTGATGGAGCTGCGGCATCGGAGTCTTGTCACGCAGGAAGTTGAAGTAGGCTGCTGGACATTTTTCCACCTGGACTTGAGTAAGATCACGACAGCACCAGCTACCTTTGAAATGTACGCGCCACCAGTGGATCCGCTCAGTAAGATTCTAGCTCGAGTCCCTGGAGACTCCTTCCTTCAGGCTGAAATCAATGTGTCACTGTAAGCTCCTTAACGTCATTGCAGCACTGTCGGGTGCTCTCCGTAGACAAAACGTCTTCGTCTATTGATCTGGTTGCGATAATATGTGATGTAATACAGATATCCTAGTGCGTGTTCACAAACGACGTAGCGTTGGTTTTGGCAGATAAAAATCTAGCATCTATTTCAGCAAAACAACGTGCGTAGCAAGAGTGGACAATTACAAAGCTCAACTCCCAGTCTACAACACTCGGCGTTTCTTGGCAGAGTTCATATAAGGTCGCAAGACCCACTCGTTTTCCGCTTCCTTCTGATCGAGTGTTCCAAGCTTTACCTGGTACAGTTGCAGTTCGAAGCGAGGTCCACATTCTTGCAGCTCTACTACGCGTCCTGTCACCTTGAAGACGTGATGTCGGAACGACACAAAGTCGTTCTCATTCGAAAGCGTGATAACACGCTTGGTATCAGGCTTGGGCACAGGAAACAAGTGCTTCAGAATGTTTGCAACACGCTTGCCCTGCAAGAATGAAAGATAAGCGTTAGTTTTGTTAACGTAAGAAAGAACCTGTAGCAAAGTATGAGCATACCAGCGGCGTCTCAAACTGGTTAATGATGAGGTGCGGATACGCCTCAGAAATCGTAGCACGGTCTTCAATATCGTGACGCAGCACCGTGCTACTCAGTGAAAAATAGGCCGTAGGGCCGTAAGGCAAGTGACATACCACCAGACCATCTACAAAGCAAGAGACACAAATGTCAATTGCCTCTTCTTCTTCTTCTTCTGCATTCTCGTTCTGTACGTCATACCTGGTTCACCCCGGGTCTCCGTGACCAACACGAGATCTGTAAAGTCATTGGCTCTTGCACTCTCCACCAACTAACAAATACCAATAGAATCCATCCACAAAATCACTTATAGTCAGTATACAAAATCACTTATAGTACCAACAGCAGCATTCTATTTACTCTACAAATACTTACATTGCCTATAGTATGTGCACCACGATTGAGTCGAATGGCATTGGGAAAAATGAGACGAATCTCCTGTGCAAATTGCTTGAGTCTTGAACTTGGTTCACGTGATGTCGTAATGGCAATCTTGGGGTCAAACATACCGGCATTTTTATACTCATCGTCAATGTGATTAAGCGGCTTTTCATGCGCTTCATCGTCGTATTCCATTTCATGTCGCAGACTCTTCTCTGCACTGCGTAACTCGGTCGGAATGGCTTTGCCACTGCGTATGGCCTCTTTTAATTGTTGCTTGTGTTCATACAATGAGCGCTCTTTACCCTCCAGACCCTTGCGGTACAAATATTCGCGACGTAGACGGACATTTCTTCGGACAGACATGATGGATGAACGGGTGGAACGAACAGAATTGAGTGGAGGTCAAGCAATTCTTTTTTTGTTAAAACAAATTGCTCAATTAATTGGTGCTACAATAAAATAAAACTGATTTAATAGTACAGCCTTTTACAAACTACCCGATTTAACTAGTTTAAACAACTGCGAGGTTGTTCACAAACCGGTACGGTATCGATATCACAATTATTGTGACCTAAGTTTGTAGTTACACAAATATAAAGATGTGTTGTAATTATATGTGACACACATAACTCCTTCGACGTGATATAGATTTAGTACATGTTAATAATAGACAAAATTTGGGAATGCAAAAGCTAGCGCTAGGATGGACACATCACCTTGCTAATCTGTGACATGGCGCTGCGAGTGTTACTGCCACCACACTTCCGTGTCAGAGCAAGAAGTGCAAAATTCCGACGGCGCTGCTCTTGTCGTTGCTGATGATACCGTTGCTGCTGTTGACGCTTCTCTGCCTGCGACTGACCATTTGACGACCAATTCCCCGACGAAAATGAAGTTGAAGACGTGGAGCCGTTATACGCACGTTTCTTCTTCCTAGATAAGCGAAGCATTGGCGAGTTACTTGGACTCAGATTCCGCTCCCAAGGACGATCCTTGCAGACGCGAGGCGATCCCGTCTTCGAAACAGGCGGCACGGAGATTGCGATAGGCGGGGAAGCTGGTGGGGCAAATCTTATAGTTTGAATCAAGCTTGACTCAGACGTTGTTTCTGTCACGCAGACTGGACGAGGTATGTCGCGAAAAAAGAGCATCGGGCACTCTACCTTGTAGTGGCCGTAATCGCCGCAATACCAGCAGTCGGAGAAGTGTGACATCGTATTGCACCCCTCGCCAAGTTTCGAACGCAATTGACCGCAGTTCCGGGTGGCGTGGTCTCTGCCGCAGCAAATGTAACACGTTGCCCTGAGGTTCCACGAGGTTTCGTCAGGCACGCAAATGTGCTCAAGACGATGGTCTCGATCCAACAGATCGCTTGCACGCTTGAATTCTGATTGAATAAGATCCTGGCCCTTCCTGTGAAAAACAACGCGTCCCACGTCGTGAGCTAACTCAAATGGGTCTTCAATACTTAGTCGCCAAAACACGGGGTAGCTCCACTTGGTCGTCTTTGACAACGCGTTTCCCATGCGGACGCTAACCACCTCGTTCTCCATACTGAAGTGATGCGCATAGAAATCGAAAAATCCAGCAAGTAGTGCTCCAACTGAGTTTATTTTCGACGTCCCAAATGTAGACGGCACATCCATCATCGAGAACGACTGCAAGCGCTCCAGTAGTACGGAGACCTTCGTCTGCGACTGCAAGTCGTGAAAACAAGAGTGCACCGCTGGCAGCTGCATTTCTGCGTAATGTGACTGCAAGTAGAAGATCAACAACAACGTATATCCTGCCACTTACACAGCCACCATGAGTAACTAAACAGCGTAGCCAAAAGATCCTTACTAGAGCAGTCAATAGCCTCACCGTAGGAGCTTAGCGTGCCGTTGGCCGAGTCATTGATGCCTCGTTGCTTGGCCCAATACTTGACGGCAAACACTAAGGGACGTATTCGAGGATCCACCTGACCGTAGTACTTGAGCAGCGCCGTGTTTAGCAGAGCGTTCACATCGCCCACACACACATCACACGCCACCTGAAGATAGAAACCAATGGACAAAAGACAAAACACTCCACACGTCCGTCAATACATTACAGTCATCAACCTGTCCATGTTCATTATCGTTACCTGCCGCTTGGGATCCCAGAGTTTAATTACCGGTACGCGCGCATTGCAAATGAACTCCTGCACTTGAAAAGGTCCCGAAAGTCGCTCGCACGCGGTAGTTAGCAACTCCACGCGCTCCTGAGGCGAGAATTGGCCTTGAGCGTCCACATTCACGTCCTCAAAATAAATACCGAGGTCGACGTCACATCCACCAAAGCCGAGACCGCTGCAATCATTTCAAAACAGCACAAACAATATCATTCTTCCATTAGTTTATGGTCGTATTCTTTCACAATACCGTCGACTTCACTACCTCTCGGACGATCCAAAGGGCAGCACGTGACATGTGGGCCAATGTTGCTTTAGTAACTGTTGTACGTGACGCTGTACGGCGCGTTTGGCTGCGATCTCGGTCGTATTGGGCTCGAGTTGCTCCAATAGCGCGATACTATCGACCGTTAGTTTGCACACGCTATTGACCGCACCCATGAGACTGCCACGTTAACTATCTCTCTCTCTCTCTTTCTCTCTATTGGTAGTACAAATAATTGAATCTTTCGGTTCGAGTTGAAGACAACAAGGGATGAGTATTATCTGGGCAAGTGATACGAGGTGGTTACGTCAGGTCAAGTTATTATGTGAAAGGACCAACATATGAAGAAAAATAAAGTACAGTACATAGTCGAAAACGAAGTTATAGATAGAAATAAACACGTGGTTACGAAGAAAATAAGAATTCACAGTTCATTTTGTACCTAAACGTTTACAGTTACGCTTTTTCTGAACACTTGGATCCGACAGGTTATCGTTTATTATTTCTATTCGTTTTGAGTATGACACTGTCATTGAAGTCAAAGAACTGAACTTCGATGCGGCAAATCTTCATCTTTGTATCTTTCATTTGGCATAAGTAAAACCGCTAGAAACTAACAAGCGACTATGTCATCATTTTCATTCTTTCATGCAACAACTTGCCGATGTATGTTGTTACCTTATAGTCGGAGCTATCGTAGAATAGAACTTGAAGTCTAAGAGAATCTCGCTGTGTATATTATCACTTAAATAGTACATCATAGTCGTACTTTAATATAATTTTATATATACTTTTTTTTAGTATGCCGGACTTTTACCGATGGTCGATCCTTTTTTTTGGCGTCCACCGATTGGTCACTGAGTTACATGCGCTTGGCTGACCATTTGTTATACAAGGCAAGTAAACAAAAAACCCTGCGACTTTGTACCGCTATAAGTGTTTACATTCAGACAACATTCCACTTACTGTCTGTGAAAGAGTTGGCGTTACCATCTGGCGGTAGATAGACCTATCGACATTATGTGATAGCAGCCAATCTCCCGGTTTCAAAAAGCGATTGATCAAGAAAAACTTGTTAAGCTCAAGACTTAGACAAGGAAGGAACTCACTTGATCTCAGTACGGGAACGTCTCGTCTCGTCTTGATTGTAAATAAGGTACATTTTGTCTCTTGTCTCTTCCTTCATTCACGCTTTCTTTTTAGCTCCAAAAAGCAATAGGAAGTTGTCGTCTCTACCGTCTTGAAACTCCCCCTTACTTGAAGTCTTCATGTCTGTGTGCTTCTCTCTCTCTCTCTCTCTCTCTCTCTCTTTCTTTCTTTCTTCATTTAGGTCACTACTTGTTTTCTCTATGGACTTGAAAGTCTGGCAGCGAGCTGCTGCGGATATGAATCCACCGGGTGTACCCAACTCTTTTCGTCACGCCAAGAACCAGCAAAACATTGCTAGTATTTTACTTCGTCGAGAATTTGGTGGCGCTAGACGGCAAAAACCCGTACGATCAGTTGGAGAAGATCGAGAAGAACATTTTTGGGCTGAGAGTGAAAGTGCTTTTAAGGTGCGGACGTAAAGGACGGAAGTGTAGAGACGCAAATTGAAAAACAGGACGAATACTGACGAGTTCGTGTGCATTTGCAATTGGTACAGCATCAAAGTCGATATTTTGAACTACCACAGACGACCAAGTCTACAATTTCTATTGCAATTAGTCCGGATGGGTGTGTAGTCTATTCTGAAAAAGCTGGAAAACGGACATATAAAGACTGAGTGGGTATTGTGTGTGATGCAGGAAAACGTTTGCTTCGACACATGGAGATCATACAGTCAAGATTGTTTGTATTGAAACGGGAAAAGTCATTCAGGTGGGTACTTGAAATGGGACGACACATTGCTGATGGGATGAAAAACTGATGCAAGTCTTGTATGTGTCATGTAGACACTGGTAGGCCATCCGCGCACTCCGTGGAGTGTCAAGTTCCACCCCACGGATCCACGCTACGTGGCGTCGGGATGTCTAGGATTTCAAGTTCGGTATGTGAAAGCGAGTCATGGACTCCAACGACATGTAGCTGACTCGGCGTTGTCTCTTTTGCGCTTGTGTAGGTTTTGGGATATTGAGACTGGCCGCTGTCTCTATGTTTCTACGCTTCGCCATGCTATCATCTCAATTTCCTTTCACCCATCTGGCGACATTTTAGCAATTGCTAGTGGAACGTGCGTGTACACGTGGGACTATCAGGTGAGCAAGCTTGGCTTTTTTGGGGGGCCGTGGTGTGAACTCAAAAGACTGACTGACACACTTTGTTCTGGGTTGCAGCACACATGCCCACGCATTGCGATGTTTAGCTACCAAACGTTACGCTCCGTTACATTTTTGCCGGATCCGTCTAAAATTATGGTTGGCGAAGCTAATGAGCGCTATGTGGTAAGTAGCATGCAACCATACTCTTGTATTACATCTGGATCGGTAATGTGATTACTCTCTTGTCACTTGTTCAGCGACCACAAGGCCAAGCCCCACCTTCTGATCTTACTGTAACATTGACTATGTGGGACTTTGATCCGTCATGGGCATTATCACCCGAGCCTTTACTGACGAAGAAAGCGATGAATAACAGTCGCGTCATTCTTTCGCACGCTCTCATCTACAATGACGGCGGCTTTGACATTTCGCGCTGTGGGCAGTACTTGGCGATATGTGCTGACTTTTCACTGCGACAAGCTGAAAAAGAGGTGGAGATGGAAGCAGAAAACGAAGCTACGACAGATTTGGAAACCATTCTTTCTTCTGTACCAGCAACACAAGAGGTGACAGGTGGTGGTGCTACAAGTCCTAGTGAAGATGTGAACGACGTATCTGTAGCAAACCCGCAAGCTACTGCGTCGAATGAAAGCAGCTCTTCATCTGGTGCTGTATCACGCACAACACGAGGGACTTTCGTTGCCTCGCAGGCACTACCAGCGACAATGCCGTTGTCTTTTCCGATTCATCCCCCGCCACCACGGCTTGTGCCCATTTCTGGCCTGCATACGGGTGCCCCGAATATGCTGGCAGCACTACAGTCAGCAGCTGCAGATTTATCTCTTACCATGGATCAGTACATGAACCAGCAAATACGACGAGTGAGACCTCGGCTACATCCACCGCATAGCATCCAGCGCTATACTACTACACTTATGCCAGCACGAAGCACAGCAGCTCCCGCAGCTGTCCCCCAACATAGATATTCGCAGATCCGACCCAATATCGCGCTTAGCCGGACACGGTTCACTAGGAACCAGCGCAACCGTCGGGGGCAATTGTCGTCCGAGAATCAGTCAACTTGGCTAGCACTGATATCCCTCGATCCGGAACAGCTTGGTCGTGTCATCCAGACTTGCCATTTAGCTGAGACTACGGCGGGTGGCGTTACTTCGGTAAAAATCTCGCCAACGTCAGCGTACGTACTGCTCGGTTACGGTGTTCGAGATCGTATACAACGGTGAGTTGGTGTGCTAAGCATCTCAACTGCCGATTCTGCTGAATGCTGATGTCCTGTGTTTGCTTTTGCTAGTGAGACGGAGTTCCCTGTTCATCGTGTGACTCGTATTTATCGGTGGGAAGACATGGCGCTGCTATCGCACGTAGAGAGCGCAATGGACGATGTAAATATTGCGCTATTCAGTCCGATATGCGGTGGCGGTTTCCTGTATGGAACCAAGCAGGGCAAGCTTCGAGTCTGTAATACCTTTCGTGGTGACTTCTACGACGAAGAAAATTGCAACGTATTAGATGGTCCACGTCGCTGTCATTATGATCAGAATGTTGATGGTGACGACGAAAATGACGATGATGAAGACGCTGACTTGGGTGAGGAAGGCGACGAGGAGGATGATGACGAAGACGAAGACGAGGAAGGTGCCGATGATGATGAAGAAGATATGGATGGTGACGAGGAGGAAGGTGACGGTGAGGAAAACGAAGATGAGGACGCTGATATGATCGAGTAATTCTCGTGATTTCATAACTCTATGTCACGCCAGCTGGAAGTTTGAAGAAAACGCATATGTAGAAACGTTTCCATGTGTATAATTAAGTGACTAGCTCTTCAGGTTTTGTTTGAGTGCGCAACTAGTCTTGGTCTTATTGCTCGTCATCGGCGACGCGAGCTCTGTCCGTCCCGTGGCCAAACGTCTTTCCCAAAAACATTTCTTTGTCAAAGTCATTTCCAACAAACTGGGCCTTGTCCACTTTTCTCGCCCGATTGATCAGGTTAGCCGTCTCCTGACGGTGCGCTTTCTGGTTAAGCGCACCTTGTGCCCCACCACAGCCCCACACCTCGATGGCATCAATCATAAATTGCTCGCTGGACGACAGACGACCCGGTTCGAAAGACAAGCACTTCGGAGTTGTGTAGCTGTGCTCGTCTAGATCTTCGCTCAGAAATAGCCGAAACTTCTCGGTCGATCCCCCGATGCCGAGTCCACGTGGAAGCGCAAAACCCTTTGAGTTCAAGTACATGTAGTTTTCGTTGGAGCCGCTCGTAGACACTCGATAAATACTAATCTCTGGCTCCATTCGAAAAAGAAAACATCCATTGCCTCCATAGTAGCGGCTTGATTCCTTCCACTCGGTATCACAATACATACCAAACACAGCTAGACCGACCAAAACGATCACTAAGTACCAGAAACACAAAGATGCAGAAACGAATCGACAAAACACTTACCTCCTTCGGCTTCCTGGATCACAGTCAACGTTGGCCCTGAGTATCCTAAGATGTGGTAGCTGAGACGGTTAAAACTTAAACCATCCTGTGCACTCGTGTACAGGCGACTGAGCGATGTCTGCAGTGATGTGGTGACTGTGGACAACGCCACAAAATGGGATCTGTCTCATAATATATGCGCACTGTTAGCATCTGTGAACTTTAATCTAAAGGCAGGAGTGCAGTCTTACGAGCGGCCAACTCACCTGGCCAAAATGGCGCTTTTGTGGGACAATCGAGGCATTTCATACGACGACTTAGTCAGTGATTCGAAACTCTTGCGCGCCATCCACGACATAAAAATCGTGTAGAAAAGAGGGAACTGAGCTCCAATCCATCGAACAAAATCATCACTCGTCACGTGAGTAGATCCTATAGCTGCTGGCATAACACCACGAGCAAGAGCGTTTGCCACGTGTGCTACACGATCTGCATCTTCAACTTCTTCGCCTTCGGCCATAAGTAAGCAGGCAAACAGCATTTGACTCAACTCTTGCTCTGTCATTTCATTAGCTTGAGCATTTTCTGCAAACAGTCGAAACAGTGACCGACAGATTGACTGCGACGATGCTCGAACACATTGCGCCACTGCATAAAGAAGAGAAAGAGAGAGAAGATGCGAATTGAATGAGACATTAACAAGTACGGACAGGCACATACACCCAATACTGGTCTCTCACCTCCTTGTGCAAAGTTCTTCATCTGTAACATTCCATTCGATTCTCCACTTTCCTCTGTCTTCAGACACAACTGATAAAAAGCAGAACCCAGACGACGACACGAAGCAATCAACTCTTTTGGCGCTGTAGCAGGAAGCGGCAACTCTAACCACATCTGTAATAGCATCATAAACAACAATTTTTACCTAAAACGTGATCCATTAAGACAATCCCATTGATATTGTACCTGTAAATTGGCTGATGCCGCTGCTTTCGACAATTCCAACGCGATGGTTTCGTTATATTTCGTCCTCAGACATTCGTATTCCTAGCATAGTATCAATAGATAGATTAGACATAATCACCGTCATCTGATGACAGCATAAAAGTCGTACTTTATCGCTAAATGGTCCCTTCCACTCGACTCTGGCGGTGCTGCTCGTAGAGTTTCCCATGCTTTTCTCAGATTGATATTCGCACTGATTAAAAACCTCTTCAAGTCGATTGTTTTACGAAACGACCAAGTATGTTACGATAAGGTACTTTATTTTTGCAGCGATTAGTGGTCGCTAATTATGCTCGTCGATGGTTCTTCATGTACGAACGAGATGATTGAGCTTGACTACAACCTCATCACCTATCTTTCTTTCCTGTTTTCAAAGGCTTCAGAAGTACGACATGAGATATCACGGAGTCATTGTGCTTTGATCGGAAAATAGCGCACGGAAATAGCGCACAGGTCGGCAAATGACCTTATTTTGCATTTCTATTATTCCACATTACATAAGTCTATCGATCGATCGACACCCCGTGCCGTTATTCTAGTTAAGAGTCCATACTAACTGTTGCCGACGATACCATCAAGATGTCGCGCATTTTTCTCTGGAAACGCTTGGCGTAAAGTTTGGGTGGAGCAGCTGAAATTCCCAAGTGATCATGACGCAGCACAAGCGTCTTCCAGAAACGCTCCAGTCGCTTTCTCCACGTCCAGGTTTGTAGCATGTCTACCACTCCAAGTGTGTAGCAATCCGGGCCAACGACTACCGATGCCTGGTATCCGTGCATTTCTAGAGTCCTGATGCCAATCCACTTAGAATCGTCATTCAAACGGGACTTTACTTCAGGCGAGCCGTACGACACCGAGTTATAGCGTCGAACAGAGCTGTTGGCATGGAGGAGTGGTGTATCAGCCTGAACGATAGCATCACTTTCCTCAATCAGGTTTACTACTGAATAGCGACAGCTCCTGTTGAACTTTCTCCGGTTCCCAGACTCAACTTCGTCCAGGTCCTCGTCCCTGGGATCTTGTGCCGGACGCACGCCATCCGTGGCGATCGACAAAGAATTGCTGTAGGGATGGCATACTGGGTAGGTCACCTTGCGTTTTGTCGGAGACTGCACCTTTTTATCCATTGTAGAGTGTTCCACCACGTATTTTGTATTGTGTACACTCAACATCAAGCTGTAGTCCATAATGCCTTGCTCTCTCAAGAAGTTACTGTCACTTTCAAGTTGACGCACTAGTGCCTCAGCTGCAAACATGCAAATGTCATAAGTAAATCTTAGCAATCCCGCGTAGCGATATCCGGAAGTAACCATAACCGCAAAATTACCTGTCTCTGCTTCTACTCGCATTTTACGATGGAAGTCGTTGTCTTTCAACACAATGTGGGGCAGATGAATACCACGGATGCTATACTCGCAGCTTTCAGTCGTACCATACGGGAAAGCGTTACTACAGTACGTACAAATGACAGTTTTTCCCGGAGGAATCGGCTGCAATTGTTATCAACATAACACAATTAGATCAAATCGAATCGACGATAAGCAAGAATTTTATCGTACCTTTGCATTGCGATTGACCCACGATCCCTTGATGTCGAAGAATTGGTGCATACTTGTACGACCAATGACGTTCCCCATGACCACGAAACTAAATACTTGACCGTACATCTCGATGGAGTGACAACCGTAGAACCGTGTCAAGTGTGAGTTTGGGTTCTGCTTCATGTATAGAATGTAAGCCGGTAGCATATTTAACAGCACGTTGCGTTCGCTTGTTGTCACTGATTTTACCAAGAAAGAGTAGTCGGCGGTGTAAAACATGAAGGCACCACTAGACCCACCAGACTCAAGCCTTTCGTGACACGTCGTCAAGAACGCTTTCCTATACAGCGTCTCATTAATGCCAAAACCGTGTCGAATATCGCGAAAACAGGACGGGCTGTAGTCGTCAAAACACACAGTCATGCCCAATTCGTGCAAGCGAAGGTGGACCACACGTCGGCCTTCAGTGACCATTGGAGTATTTGACGAAGCTGCTACAATCCCTCTCGTCGTAAAATGAAGCACCTCCTTCCGCAGCGCAACATTAAGTTGTGGCTGAAGATCAATGTTCACATCGCTGTATCGATCAGTATCAAAGGTTTCACGCAATCGGCCAGCTCGGCAGTCTACTTGCGGGGGTCCGTTAATAGCCACCCAAATGACCAAGTCGATTAAACCCTTGGCTGCTTGGAGGAAAGAAGATGCGTCACGTACTCGTTGGAGGGCATGTGGGTAATTGCTAAGAAACAGCACGTCTGCAATCCAGAACGAAATGAGGACGATCTGGTAGATAATGTAAGCCACCGTAAAGATCCGAGCGCTGCGTATTACATCCTTCTTGGCTTCCAACGCCTCCTTCATGCCTTTAAATGGATGAGTCTGTGTCTCCAGAACAGCAAAGACCACTGCCCAAAGAACTGCAAGAATAACCACAACGTAATACATAAGAAGTTCATTTTCAACTGTCTCGTCAACAAAGCAGGACGGGTGAATCGTCGGGTCAAACTCGACACTTGAAGTCCATAGCAAAGCAGCAAAAAAGGCCCCCAACCCCCACGAGAAAGCATGGTACCATTGCAAATTTTGTCTCAGATTTGTAAAGGGGTTCGTGGAGCATTGATACAGACTGAATGACATACTAAGGAACCAGCACTCGGACGAGAATGTGCAGAATTGCGTAAACGTGGCGAGTGCGCGGCAGCCCAGTGGATTCATATAGACATCCCAAGTGAATTGAAAGCGCAGAGCATAGAGCAAATCAACGACAGATTTCCAGTAAATAATTGGATTCGGATGACGGCACTTGTGTTTCCACAGAAAAGAGAGCACGATGATCGAGCAGCTGATCACTGAAATGAAAGCACCCGTCTGCGTGGACAGCGAGTCCGGTCGCACATAGGCAAGTACGTAAGTTTCGTTAGACTTCATGTAGATAGAGGAGAGGGACTCGGGTCTGAATAGTCTGGAGCAAAAGTAGTAATAATTGTAAGGAATAAACAATGTTTACTCCGTGGCTAAAGTTTTTGTGGTGCGTGCGTACACATGACAAAAGTTGGTAGCGAAGGGGCGACTAAGTGTAAAGACCGTTTCTTCTATAGAGGGATGCGCCCGCCTCTCCGCAGACGAGCGCAGAAAGGCCAAGGCGTGGCCGTTATGCAATACTGCGGCTACTGAGTTCAGAAATTGGGTCATTGAATACAGGCGTCTCTTTATGCCTGAGCCCTAGAGTCTCTTGTGCCCGATCTTGAAGTCCGGGACCTTTTTCCGTCACGTGCTTTGGGTATTCTTTTCGAGTACACAACAATGATGGTCACGTACGTTTGACGATCGTTCATTTGTTAGACGGTTGAGATGGGGGGGGGGACCCACAGAGCGATATAGAAAAATCAACATTTGCACTACTATCTGAACTGAGGCGGCTCGTATTGTTGCTTGGTGGACGGTCTCAGGGAGTTAAATATTGTTCGTTGTAATTGGGTTGTGCATTTGCATATTGTCTGAATGGAATCGTCGCTGTTTCTTGGGCGAGGGTTGTCTTAGGTAGGACACATGAGGTTGCTTGCGATACTTATTGTGACAGGAACCAGTCACGCGTTTCGCCTATGCCATCGGAGAAGTCGTATGACGCTGTGAACCCCAGCTTGTTGGCTGCCTTCACAGGTGAGCATACCGATTCCTTTACGTCGCCGGAGCGGAAGGGAACGTGCACGATTGCAGCAGACGATCTGAACTTCTCCACAATACGCTCTGCGACGGATTTAATGGAAGACTTGATGCCCGTGCATACATTAAACACGTCAAATTCATCGTCTTCCAAGAGCATTGCAATGCGAATGGCACGCGCCACGTCCTTCACGTACACAAAGTCGCGGTATTGCGCACCGTCACCGGTCACCTTCAGCGTGCCATTGATCTTAGCTTGCTCCATGAACCACGAGACAACGCCACTATACGACGAGTGCGGGTCCTGGCGGGGCCCATAGACATTGAAGAAACGCAGAGCTGTCGATGGAAGACCGTAGTCTTTGTTGAACTTTTGCATTAGCTTTTCCATCTGGAACTTGGTTGTAGCGTACGAGCAGATGCCACCGGTGGCACTCTCTTCGCTCAAAGGCAAGTTCTCGGGCAGTGGAATACCATACGTGGCAGCGGAAGATGCACCGACGACGCGTTTGACGCCATTCTTAGCAGCCCAATCGAGCACCTTGCGCGATCCTTCGACATTAATACGCTCGTACTTTTCAGGGAGACGAGTACTCTCTTCTACTGAGATCGCAGCGGCTAAATGCACTACGTAATCAATCTGAAGAACAAAGAGTCAGAGCAAGAAGGCAGGCTAATGCCTATTGATCCAATGCACCTTGTGGATGATGAAGGAAAAGTCGTCTGCCACTGTGATGTCCTTGACTAGCACAGCTGCTGCGTCGCGGTTAAAGTTCTTTCCATTACTCATGTCATCGTACACAACCACCTGCAACAGCCACATTTTCACGGTTAATCTTGCTTTGGTTCCAATCAATCCGATTCACTACTGCAAACCTCAAAATTATTCGCCAGTAGATCCTCTACCACGTGGCTGCCAATAAAGCCCAAGCCACCCGTGACCAGCACCGTGGGCTTGGGGGATGCAAAGCGATGGAAAACCGGCGCCATGTCACTGCGACCGCCAATCGTCGGGTAGTAGCCGCCTCCAAAGAGCGCCCCAATCGAAAAGATGGCTAGTGCACCCAGGTATACGTAGAACTTGGGTAGCAGTAGCCAGCTCGTCTCGGGGCGGCTAGTGCGGCTGTTCCGTGTAGGCAGCATCGTTGGATACGGTCGAAAGTGGCTCTAGTCTCTAGAATTTTTTCTTCAGATAATAATGACGTGTTGAAAATAAATCGCACACCGAAATATGAACATTCACTTTGCACGTTAAGATTTATCAGGCACTTTTAGCTCAAGATAAAGTGACATTTACAAATTCAAATAGCACTAGAAATGGATAGCTTAAAAGTAGAGTCACGAACGAGTCTGTGGCTTATTTGTAGGTCGTGCGAGGAATTGTAATCCAGTGTGAGTGATGGTGGCCTTCGTAGGTACGCACATAGATTCCTTTGCATCTCTCGGACCGTACGCACTATGCGTGATGTCTGCCGACGAGTCACACTTACTCTTCATGGCGACAGCAAGATCGTTAATCATTACCTTAGCACACGTGATACGTCAAAGTCGTCGTCCTTCAGCACCATGGCCGTACGAACAGAGACCCGATCCGATCTAAGTTCGGGCTCTATGTCATTAGTAACGGATTACCATGGGTGGATTCTATTCCACCCCCCTGCCACATTCCACATTCATGTAATGGTGGACGCCGGATGGCCCAAACGGACGCTCGTCGTCGAGGCTCGTTTCTCTTACTCTTGGTTTGATGAAAAAAAAACTACTGAATCGTCGTTTGTAGGCATCTGGTGTTGCTTTCATCTCTCTTCAAGCCACGACAAATTCAATTGTACACACAGCTGTCTGTCAGCCGTGCAATTTTTTTTACGACAAGACGTACATTGTAAGCGGGATGCTGCATCCAAGAAGAAAAAACGGCTTGAGGAGAAGGTGGGTGGGCGATAATAAGCTAAGGCCGACAAGGACGAGAGTTTGCCTTGTATGTAATGCATGAGCCAGGATAACATATATTTGCAGCGTTATGTCTGTCACTTGTGGCTATGTGTGCATGGCTCTAACTTGTACTGAAGCTAGAAGATGTGTTGCATTTCGACGTAGAGACTTGTGGCGCTGAGCGATTTTCACCTACAATATGTTCTCACTCGCACACAAACCAGTCCAAAGTATAGTTCACCAGCATGCTCTATTTTGCAATCTACATATAGACGTCGACTGCAACTAGCTATGGCAAGCACGCTCACTACGAACAGATGACAAGATGACAGAATAGGTGGTCCTATCCTTTTTTCTTGTCACTCGACAGCGCAAGCAACGCTTGCTTCACCACATACCAAACCACGCGCTCGCAATTGGCACACAATCGACTAGAGCTTACAGCTGAGGAGCGGCAACCACCACGGCGGGGACAACAGCAACAGCTTCCGACACAAAATCGGAAGGCACGTTCAATAGACCACGGCCGTTGTTGATGCTCTTGAAGAAGTCGCCGAACACCAGCGAGATGATAGCCATCAGCTTCATCAGAATGTTAAGGGCTGGACCAGAAGTATCCTTAAGCGGGTCACCCACAGTGTCACCGATAACGGCGGCTTTGTGAATGGCGCTGCCCTTACCTTGCACGATGAGCTTACCTTCCTTGTCCTCAATCGACACGCAGCCCTTCTCAACAAACTTCTTCGCGTTGTCCCAGGCACCACCGGTGTTCGACTGCGAAATGGCGAGCTGTACACCTGAGGTCAGGCTGCCAACAAGTAGACCCGACACAGCATGCACGCCGAAGAAAGTACCGGCAATGATGGGAGACAGCATTACAAGAAGTCCTGGGGGAATCATCTCGCGCAAAGATGCGTCCGTCGAGATCTTAATGCAACGAGCGTGGTCCGGAGGACCATGGCCGGGTAGACCCTCAAGAAGACCGGGGATCGTCGCAAACTGGTGCTTGACCTCTTTCACCATCTCCATAGCGGCAACACCGACAGACTTCATCGTCAAGGCAGTGAACCAGTACGGCAACATGGCACCCATAAACAGACCAGCAAACGTGATAGGCGATAGGATGTTGATAGACTTCTCCTCGATACGGGTCACAAAACCGCCGAACAGAGCCAGCGAAACTAGAGCAGCCGAGCCAATGGCGAAACCCTTGCCAATCGCCGCAGTCGTGTTGCCGGCAGCGTCAAGAGCATCAGTCTTGTCGCGCACCTCAGCGGGCAGCTCCGCCATCTCAGCAATACCACCAGCGTTGTCACAGATCGGACCATACACATCAATAGCCAAGCAAGTGGCGAGTGTACCCAGGAAGCCAAGAGCAGCAAGGGCGACTCCGTACATACCGGCGGTCGAAAATCCGACGTACACAGCGAGCGAAATGATCGTGATCGGGATGATAGCCGACTTGTAACCAAGAGCAAGACCGTAGATGATGTTGGTGGCGGCACCAGTCTCACAAGCCTGCGCAACCTCGCGAACGGGGTGGTAGCTGTGCGACGTGAAGTACTCCGTCACAAAACCGACAATGCAGCCACCCCACAGGCCGACAGCAACGCAGTAAAAGGCACGGATGGGGGTCACCGAGTACGAACCACCGATCGAGAAGGTCGATGGCAGCAGCCATAAGGCAACTGGGACAATCAAAACCGTCATGAGAATAGTGGAGGCGAACAGCTGCACCTTCAGCACAGTCTCGACATCCTTTTCCTTCTTAACGGGCCACACGTGCGTGGCCAAAAAGCTAACAATGGCCGATACGAAGATACCCGTTGCAGTGATCACCAAGGGGAATAGAACGGCAGGCCAGCCGGCAGCGATAATCTCAGGACTCTGCGTGGAAATCACCAGGCACGCGCATGTCGCCTCGGCAAGCGAGCCAAAGAGGTCTGAACCCATGCCAGCAACATCGCCAACATTGTCACCAACATTGTCAGCAATAGTAGCAGGATTACGTGGGTCATCTTCAGGGATGTTCTCCACGACCTTGCCGGCAAGATCAGCACCAACATCGGCAGCCTTAGTGTAGATGCCACCACCTACACGACCGAACATGGCAATAGAGGAACCACCCAGTCCATAGCCTGAGATGGCCTCGAACAGCTTCTTATAGTCCGTCGATAACGGATATTGAGTCTCAAAAGCCTTGATCAAGATGAACAGCACGAGCAGAGCGATGGCGCTTAGACCAAAGCCCATGACGGCACCAGCACGGAAGGCCGTGTTAAAGGCATCACGCCAGCCGCGAGCGCCTTCCTTCATGGCAGAGACCGTCGTACGAGCGTTTGAATAGACAGCCACCATCATTCCCATGTAGCCAGCAGCCATCGACGTGAGACCACCGACAGCGAAGGCCGTAGCATTTAAGGTACCGAAGAGCCAGTCGAAACGCTGGCCATCCTTGTTGACAAACGACGTGAGCACGAGGACCACGGCGCCAAAGACGATGATAAAGGCAAAGCACAGGGTGTACTCCGCCAATAGGAAGGCCCGGGCACCTTCTTGGATGGCGCAGTAGATTTCAAACAGACGATCAGCCGTCTGATGACGCACGTCCGATGACAACAAGGCGTAACCATCACCACGACGAGTCACTTTGATCTTGGACACTTCCCAGAACAAATAGGCCGCAAATAGGATACCAAAGACACCTGCACCAACTACGTAGGCGTACACTTCAAACGCCTCCGTCATGGTCGTTCTTTAAATCGTTTGCACTCGTTGAGAGAGGACACTTCTTCAGCAAGGACGCAAAATTTGAAATGTTAATCTCATGGATACCTTTCTGGACGAGGGTCGAGAACCAACGGTCAGCAAGCGAAGATTCTTATACTTGTGTATTCTATGCAGTATACAAAACTATAGTGGTCGCCGTTGCATCTGATTCACGGCAAAGATTTGATGTCAATTAAGCTAAAATGGGTGGGCTAGGAAAAGTATATGAGGGTTTGTATGGCTTAATTTGAAGCTGCTAATCCGCCAGTAGCATGATGTCTGATATTTCACTACAATGCTACTGATGTTCTAGCATCCAAAGACGACTCTCGATTATAATTCAGTACCGCGTCCTTATTTTGTAGTTCCATGGCTTAAGGTCTTTGTAGACAGCGGGATCGGCAGAGGATAGTGCACTAAATTGTCAGACTACACTATGCGGAAATCAAGAAGTAAAGAAAGCTCTGCAGAATGTCTGACTGATTGTAGAGACTAAGCGACAGTGGGAGTTCTGAAGCACAAAAGCCTACGATAGTATGAGCTTCCCACAATTTACCGGCCTCGCTGATGGATGGCCTCAAAGCAAATAGATGTGCGCTGAGGACGAGCAGTCGCATTACGCTGGCAGCGTAATGCGACACCACTGCGCTAATATTGATGACCGGGTTAAGAGACAGCTCTCGCCAAGGTGCGTCAGGGAATGAGTTCAAGTTACGCCGTAGCCGGTGCAACAATAATGATTGGATGCATCGGGGCCGAATTCCACCGCTGACGAGCACAAAGCACCAACAATTTCAAGGTAAGTCAGATGCGCAGTCTGTTCACGTTTTTGCCTCAGACCATGACGACCTAATGCGTCGGGTGACTTTGTGTACTGCTATTTCTTAGTGGAAGGCAATAACAGCCGCAAGTAGCAATATGTCGCATAATGTACTAGTCCCCGTCACTGCGTGTCTTAACTCCAACATTGAAGCTGCTACGAGGAAAAGAAGACAGAAGCTCACCTCTTTGTAAGGCAATGAGGTGGGGTTTCTTCATCTCATCGCAATTGAAATAGCGGTATCACTTCTATTCCTCATCATCGTCGAGGTTCAGCACATTTTCTTCCCCATCAACATCGTCAAATTCAATTGAGCGCATGGCTCCATCTTCATCTTGTTCGACATGTTGGGGAAAGTAATAGTCATCGCCCTTTTTCTCTCCTGCATCGTGTCCTTTGTGGCGATTGTAAAGCTGATGCTTTGCATGCCCATTCTCTCTATCTCCCTGTTCTGACTGTGAAGTCCGAGTCTTCTTCTTTCGGTGCAAGACCTTAGGAGACTTTGTGAGTGGCTTGAGCGGATCTCCTTGTGCATAGTTGTCCAGAAATGTTCCCAGAGATACTGCATCAAACGCGCCACCACGGTACGCCTTTGCCGCTAGCACCGTCTTGCGTGTATCCGAGTCACGCTGGCGTCGGAAAAGCACCATGCGATGCTCGCCACGCTGAACATCTGGCAGCATGTTTTCAAGCGACAGCTTCAAACTCGTCGAATCGATCCAAGCAAAACTCAGCGTACGGTGCTTATGCATAAGCTTTCCGATCCACTGCTTCTCATAAAATTGGAGCTTTTGGCCACGCAGGAACAGCACGCAGCTAGATCTCGATAGACAACGAGACTCCAGTTGTGCCGAGTTCTGTACCTGCTGCATGATCTTCTTGGTTCGTGCCTTGACATGTTTCGCCAGTGCTGCAGGGGACTGCAAATGGTTGAGAAAAACTTGCTTGGGTTTCTCCCCATTAGCTACCGTGAAGACTGTCGGCGAGATGCTCCTCTTGATGCCGTAACGTTTGAGCACTGACTTTCCCAACCCTTGGAGCTTCTGCTTGCAGTCCAGGACGCCCACAAAGCTCTTGCCCGCCAGTCGAGGCGACACTTGATCAAAAACCTCGGGCAAAACATCGTCTGGACCTGAGCAGAGCACCACCCAGGGCTCACCCGAATGGAAAACGCGGTCCAAATCAATACAGAGTCCGCTACCTCGAGTCGATAGACGTAGTCTTCTGACGTGGAAAACTCAAGGAACGCAGAGCCAGACAATACCGCCACAAGAACAGCCACCGACACCAGACCGTAGCGATGCTCATACCACATGCGGTTGCTCAGAAACATCTTCATATCGCGAGCAGAGCTCGACTGCGTGCCACCAGCTTGCCCTCGCGCCATCGTCGTTGATATCTACACTAAAAAAAACGTCGACCTATTTTATATGACGACACAAATATTTAGATCGCACAAAACAAGTTGACCTAAAAAACAACTTCAATATCGACAATTCTTTTATATCGACAATTTATTAACGGCAGATACTTTCTCAGCATGAAGTCTCCTGTCAAAGATATTATAGCAGGCCTTGCTCTAGGAATTACTGTCGGTCTAGTTTGGAGAAAGTGGAAGGGTGGTGAGATGGACCGTATTAGCCGATACTACGAGTGGCAAGAGGCCGAAATGGCAAAGTCGAAGACAAAGAAGAAGACGAAGAAGAAGAAACAGTCGAATGACAATGATTCAAACTACTGATTGCAATCAAGATTTATGTAGGCTGAAGAATTATTGGTGAAGATTCCCAAAACTTTTGGATCAGATCAGGCAGTCTAACGGTCAGATGCCTGTTGAAAGAGTTCTATTTTAATACGCCAAAAGTATCAACTTTTGTCATTTTGAGTGTACCAAAATGTGCTGTACCAAAAATAGTCAGATCACAATTCCATTCATCAGCCTCATGCCACGTATAGATACATTAGTAGTGCTACTGCTTGCGCTACTTTCTGTGGCTTTTGTAGCAGCCAAAGCGGTGGAAGTGCAGCATTCCAATGAGGTAGTGAAAGCGGATCATTATCTTGAGCTGAAGAACGACGAGACGATCGTTCGCTGTCGCTCGTGCGGTGCCCCAGTCGCCTACAAAAGGTGCGCACTCTTCTTTCTTATACCTTTTCTACTACTGCATTTCACCCATTTTTACTGCATTTGACCCATTTTTCTGCATTTGGCCCAATTCTACTGCTACTGTAGTGATTTTATTGACCTTCATGACACTTCGAAAGCTGTGGGAAGTCGCCATGAGGCTGTGCTGGGTGACAATGTCGAGCTCTATACTTTCGTGAATCCTAGTAAAGTAAGCGCATTACACGTCGCTGCTGCTGCTATTTGGGCATCCATAACATGGCCATAAATTGTTACCTTTTCATAGGCAGAATTTGAGCTCGCAGGCTTCAAGAAGGTGATAGGATTGGAAGGTGATGTCTTTTCCAAAAAGTCGACGGTTTTTGCCGACTACAGTTCACACGACATTCGCTGCAGTGGATGCAAGAAACATATTGGGTATGTTTTGTTGCCGTGAGGAGTCTTATTGACTTTAGATTGTATTACAGCTTACGATTTCATTGCTGCTGTTGATGATACAGGTGGGAGTTTTACCACGACGAGCTGCAACAGTGCATTAATACGCAGTTGATCGAGTCCTTTATGACAAAAATAGCCACAGAAAATCTGCTAGCTTCCAAAGCAGAGACGGAACCGAAGGAGGAAATTGTGAGAAAAGAACTGGAAGGCCAGTGCCTGTCTACCGTTGTCGGTTGGTGGACCTATATGGTCTGCTACGGGAAAGAGGTGCGCCAGTTCCACCAAGAACCTGATGGGTCTCGTATAAGTGAATGGAGTATGGGCGTATTCGTGCCGAAAGCACGGAAGACAGATGCATCTGATGCTGACATGAATGTTGTTCAGTACTTTGATGGTGGGCAACACTGCGACGAGAATGGTGAGCTGCGAAGTACTTCAGTGGTGTACACGTGCTGCCAGTTGCGTCCGAAGGACGTGATGATTGAGAAAGTCGATGAGCCTGCTTTATGCAAGTACCTTATTCGTGTGTGTGTTCCGAGCTTGTGTGATACAAAACCAGTTAAAGAGTATGATTTTGCCGAGAATAAGGAGAATATCGGATCATGCAAAGAAACCTTTGAGGCTTCCCACGCACATGCGAAGTTGCCATCGACATTCTCCACCTTGCGCTGGTCTTCCGTTATTTCTGAAGATAGTAGCGAACTTGACTGGGCTCGACGGATGCAGTTTGCGAATTGATAGAATAATTTGCATTGTGTAAAGCTCTGTTTAGACCTGAAAGACAAGTGTACATTTCTTCCAATTGTGCCATTACAAGAAACAGTTCTTCTTCTAGAGTTGCTTAGATACTCTCGTGACTGGTGTGTTCGCTAGAAAATGTGAAGACCACAAGCGTGCACTTCGTGATGGTGATCTTACCACAGTGCACTGGCATTACTTTGCACTGTTAGCAGCGCATACGTCGCGAAAGCCGTACTGGCCAATTCAGAAATTAACCAGCAACAGTACCGAAGAAAACAACGCAAGGGTTTACTCAGTTCATGTCAAAGAAAACTGCTAATGGCGGACGTTCGTAGGAGCTCATTTTCGGCTTCAGGAGAAGTGAATCTGATATTATGCCTGCAAATTCAAGTCAGGAGCTTGCTTAAACGCTTTCAGGCATGAAGCACCGTAAATTTAGTTACCACATTGCCATTAAGTCGGTTTCTTTATCTTGCTGGACTAGCCCTTCACCCTGCTATCTTGTGCATTCGCGACTATATCTCCTCATAAAAGCGTAAATATATCGCTTCCGTATTCAAGTGACAATGATCTAAAACGTCGGCAATCGAGAACGCCAAGTCAAGGTGGCAGCCACTCTTTACTCCAGTTTCGTCTTGCTTCAATACTTTTCCTATCGCCTTCATTCTCCTATCGAAAGAATACACTGACCGCAGTTCGCATGAAACGTCCAAACAACAGCTCAAATGTGCAAAGATCGATGTACGAAAAAATCTGAAGCAAACTGGGATGCACTATAACATGTCGAAGTCGAAATTTACCTCATCGCATCCGGCATTCCACGTTTCAAGTTGTATCCAACGTTGCTTTACGCAAACGTTATCAACGATGAAACTTTTTTCGACAAAGAACGCTTTCAAAGACGAGGCCGGCATGGTGTCGATGTCGTGAAGCTTACTTTCCGATCCTTTTGAGCCACACCATGAAGTAGCCCCTGACCACTTGCACATGTAAGTGAATCGGGTGGCAGTCGTTGCAATATTGTGCCTGAAGTAAACTCATTCATTGGTATGTAGATCGAACAACTCTTGCCACTTCTAAATGGTCCTTACCACCTTGGATACAGTAGTAACTTCGACGATATTCTGCTTCAAGCACTCGACTCAGCTTTGCTTCTCCTCATCAGCACGTCCGCGACTAAGAGCTTACGAATAGTTGTCGCAATTGCAGCGTGGCGACGTTTTCGCTTTCTAGAAGCAATAGAACGTCTTTCCCAACTGCAACAATCAACATTGTTGCGCTTGATTTTCCCAGCACACAATTACTTGTCGAGGCGCCACGATCACTTTCGTAAAGTCGACGATAGAGTTGGTACATCATATTCATTCGGGCATTCAAACAGAAATCAGAACTGGTCTATTTCGTGATGAACCTACTTCAGCTCTACAATTACACCTTCTTCTTGCTGTCGATTTGTTTCTTTGATACACCATGGAAAGCCATCGCGTAGGTCTTTTTAGCGAATGACCATACAAGCCAGAGAAGAACAAACACGTTCAATGGGATGCAAAGCAGGAAAGCACCGACCACGCCGACGAAGAGACCGTTCCAAACAAAGTGTTGCCAGTTCGGAATCAAGCGCGGGGCTTGGCACTCGCTGGCATCTTGCTCGGGGGAGCTTGAGTAGAAGGGCGTCGACTCGAAACTGTACTGGAGCTTTACTTGATCATCTGCACCACGGGTTTTCACCGTTGCGATAGGGTGTGGCTTGTGCTGCCAATCGAAATCGATAGAGCCCCAGTTAAGATGGCCATAAAACGAGTTTTGCGTCGGACGAAACTCCCACGGCAGCACAAAGTTGGCAAAAGTAAACAACAAGGCCATGATATGCTTCATCGATGGCAAGCGGAATTCCATCTACACAAGTGGACGAGCAAGACAATAATACAAGAAGAATGTAAGATCGATGGATGACTCTGCGTAAAAGGTAGCCTGGCCATTACGTACCCAGCTGTGGGTCAGTCCGGAGCTAGTGATTTCCGTGATTTTGTTCACTCCGTTGGAACACACAACTTGGTTAATCTCAGAGCAGTGCACATCGCCACTGAATGGATAGAAGCATCACACACAAGTAAGTAAGAACCGCGACGACTGCACACCTGGTTACACACCTAAGCAGAATTACGCCTTTTGCGTTCGAGGCCAGAATCAACTTCAGCAACCGCTCGCGTTCATTCGGGAAGCGGCCCCAGCACTCAGCAATCGAATAACGGTCATCCGGAAGAATCTGAACTCCTGACACGATCACATTGAAGGCTGCCGTGGATGTCATCAGCTCGTTTTCAAGCCACTCCCACTGGGTTTTTCCGAGAAGGGTGCCGTTTTTCGTGCCATATGAGTCACGGTGATACCTGTAATAAAAACAAAAAATCGGTCAGGGGACCCCTCCAAGTACTTTTAGGTATGATTTACAGTACCGGTTGTCGACGAGGATAAACTTTACAGTTTGCTCATCAGATCCGATGGTGTACGACGTGTAGACACCCTGACATGGTCAACATAGTGAAGAAAGGAGGATATACAGAGCTAGTAATGCGTTACTTCAAAGAACAACCTTTTGCTTGCGACGAGGTGAATCTTTGGGCTCTCCGATGAAATCCAGAAACACCTGTTGACTCTCGTCTCGGTTCGAGTAAAGCTTGTCACCATTATTAGTACCATAGTCATGGTCGTCCCAAATGCCAATGATTGGCGTGCGACTGACGAACGTCTGGTAGTCTTTATTGGCCATGAGCTTACTACAAATAACAAATCAGCTGCTGTAAGACCTCGTCATTTCAAGCGATTAGCCAGGTATAGTCAGTTACATGTAAAGACTTTTGTATCGCCGAATAAGGTCTTCACGTTGAGCCTCTATGAACGTTTTGCGTGGTGAAATGGACAACGGACGTGGCTCGCCCACTTCCTTTATATCAGCGTAAATCTTTACAATGAGACAACAATTTCTCAGTGAGTTTCTCGTCACAACAACCCACAACCTCTAGCTTATAGTTTATAGTCATTTCACGCACATTGTCGCCCATCCAGATCCAGAGATCGGGCTTATGCGCTGCAATGGTAGGCCACAAAGGCTGCGGCAAGCTTTGATCGTTGCACGATCCAAAAGCCACGTGTTGCAACGGCTGCTTCAGGTCATGAACGCGAGGGGTGTCAAGAACAGTCAATTCAGAGGACGCTGAACATAGTGAGGAAAGAGCTACGACCGCTGCAATGACAAACATAGCGACCTTCCGATGGAATTTACGGGACGAAATGAGAAATGCGCAGTTCACATACATACGTACGAATATCCCTGTGTATCTCGATATGGATACATCGGAGACACTTTGTTGTCTGTTGAAATCGTACGGTTTGGAGTACAGAAATTACAAGAAAATGTTGCAAATCAATTCGTTGGATTCGCAAAAAAAGCTTGGTCGAGTTCACTAGTCACTCAGGACAATTCCATCGGTTACTGCAGCATCTGCAACACCTTCTTCAGCACCACTTGAGCTTCGTTGTCCTTAACGTCCAGCTTTTCCTTCTCTGTGTTCGATAAGCGACAATCAAGACGGAACTCTTCTTGACGTTGGTCCATGTAGCAAATAGCAAAGCAAAGACCGTTTGCCTCGACATAAGCTTTCGACCTCGCTTCGAACGAGTCGATCTTCATCCCTAATGGGGCTGTCCTGTTTAAAGAGACTTCGGTACGATAAAAGTCACCATCGTCTGGGATCGAGATGTCAAGGTGGCGTTCGATATCAGCCGAGGCATTCTTCGAAATCTTCTCGCGGGTAACAGCGCGCAAGCGGAACGAAATGTCATTATTGAAAATGACGTCGTAGCTGCCATATACGTGGCGTTTGCTGTACGCCTTGTACAGTTCCCACTGGCCTTCGACGAGATGGTACTTCATGTTAAACCCCCTGTCTCTAGAAATAGCAACATGCACGGACAGCAACTTTTGCACCTTCACCCCTTCCTTCATCCACTCCTCCAGGTCGTCCATCAAAGCTGCGATGGGAGGCGACGTCCGTTTGCAAAAGTTGGACCAGCGCGTCAAGAAGTCATGGCAATAGTCGAGTTTCTGCAGCTCCGGCCACGCGATAGTCGAATCCTCATAGCGTATGGACTTAAATTTGAAGCATAGTTTCCCAAACGACAATTTAATCTTGGGCGGCAATTTTGACGGATCCTCTAGAAGATAACTCATCACATTGGTTGTATCGTCTTCATAAAACTCCTTGATCCAAGCTTCATCCTGACTGGCAGTCTTCACAGCTCGTCCGGACTGCTGAAGGCGATACGGAAACTCTTCAACTTCAAAGTTACTAGAAGCCTCTTTGTCCTTTTGAAATGTCCACCAATAGGATGGCCCGTCACGCGCTACGACTTCAAAGACTCGTCGTTCACTAGACTTGGTGGTCTCAAGAGAGGCGAATAACCTTACGAGTTCATCTTCCGCACTTTCAATACAACTTCTCGGCCCCTTCAGCGCCACTTTTCGGTCGGTTCGATCTACAAAGCATCGAACACCATGTTTCTCACGAAGCGCTTTGCAGTTGCTACCTCCTCTGCCAATGACAGCTCCAACTGAAACATGGTCCGGAATTGATACATTCTTGGCAGTCGAATAATAGCTCATACTGTAACTGTAGCAATTGCCACGACGAATGAAATTATCAAGTGAAAAGATAAGAGCCAAGATTTACAAACCAGATTTATTTAGTCCAACGATTGACGTTCGATGTAATGAGACGTAGCGTTTGATAGATGGCATTATATAATGAGACGTTGCGTTAGATAGATGGTATTACGCGAAAGAATCCTGAAAATATCTTGAAAAGATGAAATAGGATACTATTACAATAATTAGGATAATAATAGGCTAGGAAGCAGGATAAGCATTTATGTCCTGACAAATGTTAGGCTTTAGTTAGATCCTAAATAAAAGTGCTTTTAATTTGGACTCGTAGGTTTAATATTAATCGATACTTAAATTCTTCCATAAGTAAAACTTTGAGTAATTTTTAGCATATTCAATGGCTCTCCAAGGCAACGTAGCGATCTTGACGCGTCTACAGGACGCAACGTCGGCCACGCAGCAACTGAAGAAGGCGAACCCGCAAGTGGAAAATGTGACGCTTTTCTCCATTCCCCAGGACTCGGACATAGTGCAGACGATGGCCAGTAACTCCGCCGCCAAGGAAAACACATTTGATGCCGTCGTGTCATTTAACGAACAGACGGAGCAGCTGGAAACGGAACTGGGTGCAGTGCTACCGCTTCTTAAAGCTGGTGGTACACTGTATCTGCACGTGACCGACGTGAAAGAGGAGAAGAAGAACGCCATCCTCATGGCGCTGATGATTGGTGGCTTGGTGGACACGTCGGATAAAGACGAGAAGAGTCCATTTTATCCGGAATTATCTGATTCTGTCTGCTTTTCGTCGAAGAAACAGATGTTTGAAAGTGCTGCTATCCCGCTTGGAAAGAAGACTGGGACTGCTCAGCCAATGAAAAAGTGGACGATCCTGGCAGACGACTTTGGTGGTGACGAGGAACAGGACGATGATATTATTGATGAGGACACTCTATTGGATGACACAAATGAGGTCCTGCAGATGGCTAAAGCGGACTGTGGTGAAGTTGGTGGGAAGAAACGTGCATGCAAGAATTGTACTTGCGGGTAAGCAACATTTGTCTGCATTGATATGCGTTTTTGTGTGGACCTGATAATTTTTGTTTCTTGTGTAGACTTAAGGATGAAGAAGACAAGCCAGTCATGTCGGAGAAGGACTTGAACAAGCTGGTGTCTGGATGCGGAAATGTGCGATTGGTCACACAATCCTTTACTTCGTGCATTCATTTATTTTCTAATGCTTTGTGTATGTTTTCACATCTTAGTGCTTCAAGGGAGATGCCTTCCGATGCGGTAGCTGCCCGTTTTTGGGCAAGCCTGCCTTCAAACCTGGAATGGAGAAGGTTCTGCTGAATCTCGACAACGCAGACGATATTTAAATTCACACATCACTCAGCGAAATCATCATCTGGCTGAAGGCTGAAAAATAGCGATTGAGCTAGCTGGCATATCCAATAGGCGCACCAATACACCATAATGCAAGTCTGCATCCACTTGTACATATATTTGTTTCATTTTAAACGCGTTTGACACCTAGGTGGCTGTACAACACGCAACTATTTGTAGGAAGGTCAGTTCACTGTCTTGCCTATCGCATATCAACCAGCTGCACTGTGAACTGCTTCAACCACTTGCACTCGAATGCGGTCGAGTAAATTTCGATCTGGCTTGGATGTGTGTGGAACCCCGTCAGATTGCAATTTTGAATCAATTGCAGCCCGTTTGGCTCCGTCAACCGAAACACTCCGACACTGAGGCAAAACAACACGTACATACGATTAGCAGGTGTAATCACATGGCAAAAACACGCTATGCTTACTTCTTGTGTGGATCGCTTGGTGCAACAACAACAGCGACAGCCTAGTAGTGTTCGCGACAAACAGAGTAGTTGTGGTCACTTCACAAAACGCATGATAAGCAATGTAGGTCGATGAGATGTACCTCGGGCAAGATCGACTGAAAGCCGCACTGGGTGTGAATATCAACCGACGACAAAAAGCAGTCCTGCTTAGGGTGCGTCTATATGGAAACACATTCGATACAACTACGATTAGCGTAGTGTAAACAGCATAACTTCTACGTCCACGCACATTACAAGACTTACATGAATCCAGCCGAGAGTGAGCAGCTCGTTACTAAAGCAAAAGTCATAAAGTTCCTCTTCATTCGTCATAGTGCACATGTCCGACGATCCCTTCACAATCAGACATCAACGTTGGTTAACTTCATGGCAGAATGGCGAATGAAATTTCCTGAACCCACGCACTTCTTGCTTCGGGATGATAAGCGTAGTGATAGCTAGTTTCTGATCGTGCTAAACAGAGAGCGAAGAGCAGTTAGTGACTAAGCAATAGCGTCCAACATGCTGTGTTGCAAGAATATAGTACCAAAATCCCGGCCAATATACCACAGGTCTCGATTCCGTAAGGCGGCCTATTGGTGTTTGGTGCAGCTAGCGATGTGAACTGAACAATGATGCCTGCTGGAATCTCTAGCGTACGAATCTTTCCGCTACGCAGATACGATTTAATGAAATCATACTCACCTCACTTCATGAGGTTTGTGTCACACACTTACCTAGTTAGATTGGCGATGGCTTCTTGAGATCGCCGACGACTCAGAGGTGGCATCGATACGCGCGTGCGAGAATACTGACCAGCATCGGCTGTCATCCATGACGCCTTCCCCACTGAAGGATACAATAGAGAACTGCTCCGTTCCTACAGTATCAAAACATGGTGTTAGTACATCCACAATCAACTTCATGCATGCAAGACCTGGCTCTACCTTTTGGCGCGGTTGTAGCAGGCAATCGAGTTGTGACCTACTCGGAGTCGATTGGTTAAGCGTAGTGTCTTTTTTCTCGGCTACTCCTGCATCCTGTACTTTTTGTCGACCCACGCTCTTCTTTGCAAGCCGCATCGCTTGCAGGCGATCTTCCAGCGCAGTCATCTTCACTTGCTTCTTTGCTTGATCCGTCGCATTGATTTGCTCCTTTTCCTCCACTAGCGACCGTTCATATTCCAAATATTCAAGTTCTTCTACTTTCATGCCATCCAAAATTGCGTCAAATAGCTTAAACCCATTCGCTGCTTGCTAAATACACGCCGTGTATAAGTAAGATGATCTAAGCTCAGTCTGCAGTGAGATGATGGTATACATACCGCTTGCACCCACTCACGTTCCTTGCCATATCGTGGTAGCTCATAGTCCTTGTGTCCAGTTATTACCTTCGAACAGAGTCTGTATACAAAATGCATATCAAAAAATAGAACCCATCGACTTTCTTTCCAATCTGTTTGCCCCTTACTTGATGAATTTAGCCAGAAACACGTAACTACAGTATAGCAGAAGCAGTCATAACATACAACATCACATAATTATACTAAGTTCCTAGCTCCACATCTTCGCAGCCAATACTGCAAAAAAATAGAACCTCTGCGCTCTGTGGCCAAGACACCTACGCGTTATCCCATGCACCGTCGGCAAAGTACGTCTCGGATTGGCGGTAAAGCTGGCGTGCCAAATGGTAATAGCTATGCAACCGTGAATGCTGATTTACGGGTTCTACATCACATAATGTCGCCAGATGTGCGCGTCGAGCCACCAGCCGTTCACTAACAACGTCGTCCATACTAATGAGCGCTCTTTTTTTCGAATTACGAAACTGCTAAAACAAGTTCAAGTTCGAACTTAAGCGGAAAGTGCATTCCTGTTCATACTAAGATCAAGACAATTAGGATGACGGTTTCAAAGATGTTGATAAAGACCAAGAGCTTGAGTGGTATGCAGCAACGCGCGGCCGGGTGTGTGAATACGAAGATACTGTATATAAATAGCAAAAGAAGACATTGTGGTTGATAATATGGTGCTTTCTACTCTACAGCAATCGTGCGCATAATCGTATGGTGCTTCGAAAGTTGGTAGTGTTCTCGATTCTGATGGGTGTCGTCCCTTTGAGCACGTTCTACGGCGTACGCAGCATATTTAAACCCGGTAGACAGTTGCAGTTTTTGATCTGGACAAGAGGTGATCATCTGATGGGGTGTATATGTTTAGGAGAACCAGGCAATCAGTATGCGGATGCGTGGAGGTTTGAATACTCAACTGTTGCAGAATATATGAGCTCAAGGTATCTTTTGCTTGGTCCATGACTAATTGCATGCTTGATTTGTTTGTGGTGTTATTGGTAGTGGATTTATAGCAGTTCTTTCGGTAAATATCGTCATTGGACTCTACATTTTGTCGGCGTGGAAAGAGAATGATGAGAAGGACGTGGCTCCGCCAGTGGGGCGTTTTGCCAAGGCGAAGGAGCAATAAGAATGTTTTTAGTTTATGAGAGTGTTAGTTATGCGTCGTCATCAAGACAAAGTATCCGTTTGCAGTACCTGATCTATCGTAATATCTGGCTGGCTAAGCGTACACCAGGAGCAGTTGCTTAGTTCCTAGCTCCCCAGGCATATGTGGCAAACGACATGTGGCTCATTGCCCACCCGCTAAACAGTTTTTCCGCTTCGGGCTTACTTTCGTCCATACCCGCGCCAGCTCCGACGACAAATGGAATGAAGTGGTCGGGCGTCGGGTGTGCGAGTCTAGCAGCGGGAGCATCATGCCAGTTGATTATCTGGTCCCTACGTTGACTGTAGCTTAGCTTGGAGTCTGCCGTGAACGTATTGTCCAACCAGCCTTGGAATGCCACGGCCCAATCCAAGAGCGGGCTATTCGGCTCGCCAGACGCACGCATATTGTGTGTAGCTTGACCGGAACAAAGAATTAGCGTGTCCTCGTCACGGAAAGGTGCAATTGCCTGACCCAAATCGAAGTGTGCCTGGTTGCCTAGGCGTGAATTGATCGACATGGTAACGATTGGGATATCGGCTTCGGGACAGATCAGAAGCATTGGCACGAACACGCCGTGGTCAAATCCGCGGTCCACGAGCTTCGCCTTTATGTTGTTCTTTTCAAGCTCAGCCTTTACCTTTTGTGCAAAAGTGGGATCGCCCTTTGCAGGATAAGCAACGTCGTAGGCCTCACTTGGAAAGCCGTGATAGTCATAAATCATGTCCGGCTTGATAGCGCTAGAAATTTCAAAGCCACTGCTGTCGGATTCCCAGTGAGCAGACACATAGAGAATGCGCTTGGGCAGGTTCATGCCCTTGGGGTAGAGCTTCTCGAACGTAGTGGTCAGTGCACGCGCCGGGAGACTGGAGTTGTTCATATCGACAGAGCCCGATGAGAGAAGCCACAATGGACCGGGTCCGTGTGAGACGGCGACAACGGGGTGGCGGAAGGCGACCATTGTAAGGATTCTGCTTGAATTTTGGAGGACGAAACGGATTGAAATATGGATTCACTACCGATTTCGTGAACATATTTTGTCTCAGATTACGTTTCATGATACTGTCGTACTACGACTCATAATAATATCTCAGCCAACTTCGCTTGGCTTTTGCAACTGGTAGTACATGTAAAAAATGCTCTAAGCGACCACACATACAAACTTAAGCTTAAATGCCTGATTTTGCAAGCTCGTAGTAGTCTGTAAATTACTGAGTGAAAAAACTCGCGTTGGTCAGGTTCTAGCAACTACAGTAGCTGCATCATGTTAAAGAAAGCTAACATGTTACGCGAGGCAGCCCTGGCAGCAGCAAAACGATGTAAAGCTTCGAAGTATCTTGTGACTACACACCAAAAGCCATCGTCTCGGCGGACGCTATAGAATCTTTGTCTAGAAGGGCGTATGCGCATTTTCCGAGAACAGAGTGGACGCCAAAATTGACAGGAAAATTTTGACCAATTCGAACACATAAGTTGCACCTGATGTTGTGGAGCGGACAACGGCCAAGATGAATTTGCTACAATCAGGGATATTGATCCTTAAAGCTGCTGAGAATCAATCGGTGTGACTAGCGCTATTAATCCTTTAGCCGAAAAAGGTTGACGGCACTACTGATAGTCTATCGATCTAAGGAAAGATACTTACGTCAAAGCGTAGCGGAGCATATAGGAAGAAGTTTTTAACAGTGGTAGCGGTGATGACTAAGTAATTAACGGACGTGGTCCTAACGGGCAGCAAGATCCTAGGTTCCACCAGCACTTGGTCTTGTTAGAGGTTGGTGGCGCCTAGGATCTTGCGGCCCGTTAGGACCACGTCCGTACCTTCCCAGACGATGGAGCTAGACTGCAACTGTAACGGAATGAGCCCTTCACATAATATTGGCACGAACATTAAGTACCAGTGTGAGTATTATCCTAGCTGATAATATTCGACAATATTATTTATTAAAGGAATATTGTCCTTGCATCTCCTGTAGGGAAAAGAAGAACTATGCCATCCAGTTTTGCTTGCAGCGATCGCCCGATGAGCCAGCAATACCAGGACGCCATGGCTATCGTGCGCCTGTATGGCCGACCGGACCTTTCTGTGACGTATACGTGCAATCCAAAATAGCCCGATATCACAGCCGAGCTGGAACCTGGGCAACAGCCTCATCATCGGCCGAACATGGTGGCAAGATTGATAAACCATCAAATTGCAGGTGTTCATGACGAGCCTTATTGAGCGAAATTGTTTTGGAACGGTGGACGACAAAGTATGGGTATAAGAGCTCCACAACAGAGGCCTTCCCACGCGCACATCTTATAATCCTCGATGAGGCATCCAAGCTCCGTAGATTGATTCAGAAGACTCCGCACAGACTTCTTACCCAGACACTCTTCCTGATTCATATGAAATGGTGACGCGTTGTTTGGTCTATAGGTCGTTTGGTAAGACAAGCCCAATGCGCCATTCATGGAGAATGAGAAGTGCAGCAAGCGATGCCCTCGAGCGTTTGCGATTGAGATTTCCGCCGATCAATATGCGTATCCAGTATACATACGGCGTGATAATGGACAATTTTTGAGGATGCAAGGGGTCGTTGTGTCGATAGTCGACGGAATGTGCCGCATTATCTGTACCTGTCATCTAAATATAACAACGCGCACATCAACGTTGAGGTGGGTTGGAGGAGAACGAAAAGCACTCATCTATTTATACACAAAACAGATATGATATTGCTTACTACATCCAAATGATATTGACGTGAGACATCTTTTCAATCAGATTTGCTCATCGATCTCGGCCATTAAGTATGTATACAAGGGGCCATGATCACACGACAGTGGTGGTGAGGATGTAAACGAGATCTAGCAATACATATACGCCCGATATATTTCGGCTCCATAGGCGTGCTGGAGCAAGTGATCATGCATCTTGGTCTTCAAGATGCACGATCACTCGCCTCCAATCGAATGCCTGCGAGTTTATTTGCCAGATCAGCAACAAGTTGCATTCGACGCAAACGATATTTGGTGGATGCAGTAAACAATGACCAAGCACGTAAAACAATACTCACACAGTGGTTTGAGGGATCTATAACACTGACGTGCTGGACCATCTTACGGCTTGCATTCTTTTTGTATCACGTTTTGTCTGGAACAAAGCCATAAAATAATGGACGCGAGCGAAAGCGAGGGATGTGCGTCGTCCGTCTACCTTTTAAAATTGTAAGTTGGGGATCGATACTTCCCACGGTCATCGTTGACAACCAAGAAGGTAAAAATATCTTACGAGGACCTGCAAACACATGATGGTGTACGTTACAGGCGGCATGTGCTGCCCGTGGATTGTATGAAATCGACGGAGGGTGGGAGCAACGTCTACGTGAGGCATGGCTGATGCAGAGTGGTGCTCAATTAAGATCATTCTTTGTCACAACCTTAATTTATGGACCACCTGCTGATCCTCGGCACCTATGGGATGAGTTTCAACATTATTTATCGGACGACTGCGCGCATAGACTTCACCAGTATGTAAATATGGAGCCGTCAGCTGACCAGATTACAAGTCTGGCGCTTAATTTGATAGCACATCTATTGGCAACCTAGAAAAGACCCTTGTGGACTTCAGCCTGTTTGCATCTGCGTTTAAATTAGAAAAGCTACAGGTAACTTGCTTTATTGCAGAGAAGCTAGCATTCATCGTAGATGAGTAGGAGAAGAGGCAGACAACGAGGTGCAGACTTTGAACGCGGAACAGCTTGACACTTACCGTTAGATTATTCCATCCTGCAACGAGGAACAAGGGGATATATTCTTCATCAATGGTTCAATGGAACCGGCAAAAGCTCTCAATTTGCCTTTTCCTGCCCCAGTGACAGAGAAGTCTGATTAAATGCGCTCAAGTGGCTGAGTGCAAAAAGTAAAGTAGGTACATATAATATAATCTATCATCCCATTCTTGAAGTGGTCCTGGTTCATGTTACGATTACGTAGCTTCTAGCCGTAATCACGAAGCTGGTTGAGGCGCTATATATTCAACAAAGGCCAACCTCCTCGCGACATCGTCGAGCCTCGTTTTTTTGCTGTATCCTTCACGCATCCTTCGCTGTTCTCTTCGGCCTCGTAGACTTGTTCGTCGTGCCGGTAGTCTACTGCGTTGTCTCTAAGCTTCAAGTTCAGCTTAGACTTTGCTGTCTCTTTACCTCAGGTTCATACTTGCAGCGTTGCCTTAATCCTCTGAGATCCATCTCTCTTTCCCCTGGACTTTCATTCCCATTTCCTGACATCTTTATTAATCTCAATTGATTGAGAGGACGTAAGAACCACTATTCAAGGGGTTTAAGAGTCGGTAAAGCTGTTGGTTAAGGACTGCAGACGCAAAACGCCGTGCATGTAGGTACGCTTGGTGTTGCTTGGCTTACGATATAGACTCTCTTTTCTTTTTGTGGCACAAGCCCTCGAAGTTTTAGCTTGCATCTTACCACAGTCATCCACCCGCGTAGTTTCCATTGGATTCTTGGCAAATCTCTTTAGCATAGTTAATTTGACATATTCTAACAAACAAAAAAATAAAAAGAGGATTGATAGCAAAAAATACAGGGCATAAATCCCCTATCTTCGATAATTTAGACCGATTGATAAAGATGCCTCGTTCACCACCTCCGACGTCGCGCGTAGCTTGCCCACGCCAAGTCCTACTGACTCGCTCCTTGCCGCGAGCGACCCGAGTCAGAACGACTTGCGATCTTAAACTCAAAAGGAGAACTGATTATATTTATGCTTTAAGATTTTATAAAGAGTCCTACTCTAAGAACACTACACTAGATTAATTACTATAATAGTAATTATTATATGCAGACTTTGCTATTGGACGACGTATCGTCTAAACATCTGTGTATGATGTACTTAGTACAGCGTTATCGATTATCGAATCCTAATCGATAAGATACGGTATTACCGAATACCGTATCTCAACGCTTATACTTAATACCTCTCTAAAGAGAAGTATCATAATGCATTATATGCAATACAAGGGGAGTTTAACCGTAAACTCTCGGAAAGACGCTACACCGTCGTGTAACCCCGTTACACCCTCCCCCACCAGACTGACGTTCCCATAGAATGTCACTCGACATCTTTCCTCTTAGAGGTAGTGCTTTAGCGAACGCTTAAAACCTCACGGTTTGTTCACGGCACTAACATGACGCCTCCTGGCAGTGAGTCACAGACTCTTCGGGACCTCATTTAAGACAACTTTGGCGAAGCGGTTGATTACGAAAGTGACACCGTCTTTGTGGGACCCGATGGTCCCCCTTTAGACACCCTCACGGGTGAAGATGACACTAGTCATGCACCGAATCCATTCCCTGAACGTGGTGCTGCAGATGTGCTAACAGCGTTACGTGACCAGCCTGACGTATCGTCAACGGTGACGGTTACCAACCCACTCGACGAGCAGCAATAGAAGACCATCGACCAAGAGGAAGGCGCCAAGAGCCGGACGAAGAATATGACGATACTGCAGGACCACCAACAGTACAGGTTCAAACCACCTACGGTGGAAGAACGCCTAAAGGAGGCATCTGTGCATTCCCTTTCTGGCTGGACCATTGAGCCTGAGGCCATTTCACCCGAGGATGTTGCAACGCGAACGGCACTTCGACAACGATATCTGGAACCCCACATTACTACACAAAGCCAATACTTGGCACGCCTTAACAGGCAAGTGCGCGGTGTGCCAGTTCCTCCGATGAAGGGCGTTCCCATCCTTCTGTTCGCGGGGGAAACCGAGGACGAAGAAGACACGGCTTTCAGCCGCTGGGCGCATTATGCGCGACGTTAAGCAGCATGTGGGCCCTACGGGCAAGCGCCGATGTGGCAGATATCCGACTTGAGCGGAAGATGCGTTATGATTACGCTAAATTAAAGTGCCCGGGGAAATTGAAATCCCAACGAACGCATTATGCGCCTGCTGCC